TTTTCTTGTTACTCTAGATTAATACTATTATAACTGAATTTATATACACGCCTGATAGACAGAATACTTTAATAATGGATTTCCAGAAACCAATTATTTGTTCAATAACATTTTATTGGAGATAAATGTTTGACAAAAAGCAATCTTTTCTAGTAATTTACCACTTGAGAATTCTCAGCAAGATAGTTGTCTTGAATACATTTTTTCAGTCTGTTATACCAATGCATGTATTGTATTGTCTTATGCAATTCTTCTGTTGAATAAACAAACTTGCCTTTTAATATAACATTATTAATGTCTCATCAGTTCTAGTAAATATTGTTATTTTCATCAAATATTGTTATTTTCATCAAAATAATTCTGAGCTGCTGAGTTTTATTACTTTCCCTTCAGATTAAATTAAAATTTGTGTCAATTTGGAATTATAATACTTAGTCTATTTTTCCTTATCCTGCCATATTTGTTTTGTTCCATTAATGGTTGTATATTCAAGCCATTTGTTTTCTCTTTTGAATTGTTTCATATTTTGTTATACGCATCTCCTTATTTTTATATCTCTTTTTATTCTAATAAAAATAGTTCTTTGTTGACTGTTCCTTAATGTCAGTTATGATTTTGCATTGACTGTTTCTTATAAACTGTTCTCTACCCACTATATACTGGTCCTTATTAACTGTTCTCTACCCACTATATACTGTCCTTATTAACTGTTCTCTACCCACTATATACTGGTCCTTATAAACTGTTCTCTACCCACTATATACTGGTCCTTATTAACTGTTCTCTACTCACTATATACTGGTCCTTATTAACTGTTCTCTACCCACTATATACTGTTCCTTATTAACTGTTCTCTACCAACTATATACTGGTCCTTATTAACTGTTCTCTACCCACTATATACTGGTCCTTATTAACTGTTCTCTACCCACTATATACTGTCCTTATTAACTGTTCTCTACCCACTATATACTGTCCTTATTAACTGTTCTCTACCAACTATATACTGGTCCTTATTAACTGTTCTCTACCCACTATATACTGGTCCTTATTAACTGTTCTCTACCCACTATATACTGGTCCTTATTAACTATTCTCTACCCACTATATACTGTCCTTATTAACTGTTCTCTACCCACTATATACTGTCCTTATTAACTGTTCTCTACCCACTATATACTGTCCTTATTAACTGTTCTCTACCCACTATATACTGGTCCTTATAAACTGTTCTCTACCCACTATATACTGGTCCTTATTAACTGTTCTCTACTCACTATATACTGGTCCTTATTAACTGTTCTCTACCCACTATATACTGTTCCTTATTAACTGTTCTCTACCAACTATATACTGGTCCTTATTAACTGTTCTCTACCCACTATATACTGGTCCTTATTAACTGTTCTCTACCCACTATATACTGGTCCTTATTAACTGTTCTCTACCCACTATATACTGTCCTTATTAACTGTTCTCTACCCACTATATACTGTCCTTATTAACTGTTCTCTACCCACTATATACTGGTCCTTATTAACTGTTCTCTACCCACTATATACTGGTCCTTATTAACTGTTCTCTACCCACTATATACTGGTCCTTATTAACTGTTCTCTACCCACTATATACTGTCCTTATTAACTGTTCTCTACCCACTATATACTGGTCCTTATTAACTGTTCTCTACCCACTATATACTGGTCCTTATTAACTGTTCTCTACTCACTATATACTGGTCCTTATTAACTGTTCTCTACCCACTATATACTGTTCCTTATTAACTGTTCTCTACCAACTATATACTGGTCCTTATTAACTGTTCTCTACCCACTATATACTGGTCCTTATTAACTGTTCTCTACCCACTATATACTGGTCCTTATTAACTGTTCTCTACCCACTATATACTGTCCTTATTAACTGTTCTCTACCCACTATATACTGTCCTTATTAACTGTTCTCTACCCACTATATACTGGTCCTTATTAACTGTTCTCTACCCACTATATACTGGTCCTTATTAACTGTTCTCTACCCACTATATACTGTCCTTATTAACTGTTCTCTACCCACTATATACTGTCCTTATTAACTGTTCTCTACTCACTATATACTGGTCCTTATTAACTGTTCTCTACCCACTATATACTGGTCCTTATTAACTGTTCTCTACCCACTATATACTGGTCCTTATAAACTGTTCTCTACCCACTATATACTGGTCCTTATTAACTGTTCTCTACCCACTATATACTGGTCCTTATTAACTGTTCTCTACCCACTATATACTGGTCCTTATTAACTGTTCTCTACCCACTATATACTGGTCCTTATTAACTGTTCTCTACCCTCTATATACTGGTCCTTATTAACTGTTCTCTACCCACTATATACTGGTCCTTATTAACTGTTCTCTACCCACTATATACTGGTCCTTATTAACTGTTCTCTACCCTCTATATACTGGTCCTTATTAACTGTTCTCTACCCAATATATACTGGTCCTTATTAACTGTTCTCTACCGACTATATACTGGTCCTTATAAACTGTTCTCTACCCACTATATACTGGTCCTTATTAACTGTTCTCTACCCACTATATACTGGTCCTTATTAACTGTTCTCTACCCATTATATACTGTTCCTTATTAACTGTTCTCTACCCACTATATACTGGTCCTTATAAACTGTTCTCTACTCACTATATACTGGTCCTTATTAACTGTTCTCTACCCACTATATACTGGTCCTTATTAACTGTTCTCTACCCACTATATACTGTCCTTATTAACTGTTCTCTACCCACTATATACTGGTCCTTATTAACTGTTCTCTACCCATTATATACTGTTCCTTATTAACTGTTCTCTACCCACTATATACTGGTCCTTATTAACTGTTCTCTACTCACTATATACTGATCCTTATTAACTGTTCTCTACCCACTATATACTGTTCCTAATTAATGTTTCCCTACCCAGTACATACCTGCCAACATTTCAAATTGTCCATGGGGGTTTTATGTGCAAGATGGCTATTATAGTCCTACAAAACCTTCCAGGGGGCCTTCAAATGTATTTTAATGGTGTTTTTTTTGCTTCTTCATGCTTTAACAATCCTATAGCCATTGTGAAATTAATTGTTTTGTTTTAAATTGTGGACAAAATTGCTCTTTCAAAATTTCCATTTGGAAGCTTTCATGGGGGAAATCCCATATACTGCTCCTTATTAACTGCTACCTTCCCAGTATAACTTTTCCTTATTTACTATTCCCTACATAATATATTGTACCTTGTTAATTGTTCCATACCCCAGTATATACTGTTCCTTATTGACTGTTCCATCCTTCAGTATATACTGTTCCTTATTGACTGTTCCATCCTTCAGTATATACTGTTCTTTATTAACTGTTACTCAATGACTATTCCTTTTTAAAGGGGCACTAGCTACGAGATATATAAAAATTTAAAATATTTTTTTTTGTTGAATCATTAATGAAAGTGAAATAGTGAAATAATAATTCGCTTTAAGCGTCCAATATGGTTCAATTTTTTTTCAAAATAAGCTAAGAAACATTGATGATGAATTATATATATGTTTATATCGCAAAGTTATATGACCATCGGAGGTTTTCGGAAGTGCGTGCGATAGTTAATTAGATGGGGTCTAGACTAAAATACACACGAAACGAAGTTACATATTCTTGAGCCCATTCTCTGTAAATTGTTTATTTTAGACTTTTATACTTTGGATAAATGTTTTCCATTGTTATAAATCAAATATGAGAATTTGAGTCAAATCGGTTAACATGAATATGACAGCTAGTGCCCCTTTAATAGAATGATTATACATTATGTTACATTTTTATGTGTGACTGTGTTTTGTCTTAATGGTTAATATTTTATTGTTTATAACATTTCATGGCGATCAATTTTAATGAAAGCAGAAGTACAAGTAAACTTCATCCATGCAATTATCTATTGCAAATTAATGGAGCTTAACAAATCTGTTTTGATAGTATCAGTAGGCTACATTGATCTGTACAGATAGTGTTGACAAGCTATTTAGATTATTTCAGAACAGAGTTAATGATACATATAGTTCAAACAGTGTATATTATATTTGGTCATTTTTTTTCCAGTTCAAGGTGATATAGGTGTTGATACATTTACTTTAAAATAATAAGTTAGATTTAAAAGAAAGGTTCAATATTAAACCAACATAATAACGAAGAAAATTCAATATCGGAAAAAAAAAATCAATTTAATATACCGAAAGGATATTACCGTAGGTACTTGAAGTTGCTTATGATAATGGCACTTACTTTACAACATTACAAAAAAAATTTTTTAAATTAATATGAACAATTTACTGCTATATGTTAAGCAAACATCAATCCATCCATCATATGAACAGTTCATTATTTTAAAAGTTACTATGGGATCTTCAGTTTTGAAAAAATAAGATAATTTGCAGCAATTTTTTGCTAGAACATTTTCCAAAGTCAACAAAGTTTTTCTTATGAATGCCAAAAATGATTATAAAAAATTAGGTAAAATTCTGTCCAGATAAAAAACCTACTTCTGCTACTGGCAATTAAGAAATGTTGCCCTTCACATATTTCCAAATACTAAAATTTTATTAAAAAAAAAATATATCAGTTGGGTAACTATATAGTTTGTTGAGTTAAAAGTCATACAAGATATACACAATTGTCATGACTTTGTTAGGAAAAGAAATAGCATATTGTATAACATGTATAAATCAGACAGTTGTGGGTTATTCTTGATCTTAATCGTCAGGTTTACAGGTTGAGTCAATATTTAAAAAGTGTACACTTATTGATCAGTCTGTGGAAATCCAAAAAGGGATTGTCTGTCTTCTAAATAATTACAACATATAGATGTTGTCTGCTATTTCTCTAAATACAGACATATAGAATTATCATGAAGAGCCTAAGGTCAGGGTTACTAATCAGAATACTTCTTTTGTTTTAGGTGTGTATGGATTTCCTCGTTGCCCTGGCGTTAATGAAACCTTATGTGATGAGGTCAGGAGATTACTCAATCTTGGAGCTTATATAGAGTATGTGTTATTTTATTTTTAGCTCACTTGGCCCAAAGGGCCAAGTGAGCTTTTCTCATCACTTGGCGTCCATCGTTGTTGTCCGTCGTCGTTAACTTTTACAAAAATCTTCTCCTCTGAAACTACTGGGCCAAATTAAACCAAACTTGGCCACAATCATCATTGGGGTATCTAGTTTAAAAAATGTGTCCGGTGACCCGGCCAACCAACCAAGATGGCCGCTATGGTTAAAAATAGAACATAGGGGTAAAATGTAGATTTTGGCTTATATCTCTGAAACCAAAGCATTTAGAGCAAATCTGACGGGGTAAAATTGTTTATCAGGCCAAGATCTATCTGCCCTGAAATTTTCAGATGAATCGGACATTCTGTTGTTGGGTTGCTGCCCCTGAATTGGTAATTTTAAGGAAATTTTGCCGTTTTTGGTTATTATCTTGAATATTATTATAGATAGAGATAAACTGTAAACAGCAATAATGTTCAGCAAAGTAAGATCTACAAATAAGTCAAACATGACCAAAATTGTCAATTGACCCCTTAAGGAGTTATTGCCCTTTATAGTCAATTTTTTACAATTTTCATAAATTTTGTAAATTTTTGTAAATTTTTACAAAATATGTTTCACTGTAACTACTGGGCCAAGTTCATTATAGATAGAGATAATTGTAAGCAGCAAGAATGTTCAGTAAAGTAAGATCTACAAACATATCACCATCACCAAAACACAATTTTGTCATGAATCCATCTGTGTCCTTTGTTTAATATGCACATAGACCAAGGTGAGCGACACAGGCTCTTTAGAGCCTCTAGTTTCATGATTTCAAAATGTAAAAAGAGAAAACAGCAAAACAAGATGCAATAAAGGCAGGATTAAGTTGTTTTTTCACTGAAAATACTACTGATTTAAGATTTCCTTTCTGTACTAAGTTGAGGAAGTACTTTCCAAAAAAGCAATTAGGAGCCATTACATCACAATAGATATTATTATGATGACATGAAAAAAGCAACATTCAAACATTTTCATGAAAGTATATGCATTTTGATTGATTTTAATATCTTGAAAGTTAATGTAGTATGATTACTTGAACCAAGTAAATAATTCACTGCATCCTCCCTATGAATATATTATATATATACATTTTAGTATTATAATATTTGAAAAGATTTTATTACTTCATTTTTTGCCAAATAAGGCCATAAATGAACAGACTTTAGGCAAAACTTAAATGTTTTTCTCTGATTGTCTCACCTGCGAAGAAAGTAGCAGAATGCGAGACATAGAGATAATCGGGTGGCAGCTACGGGGTAAACTATTTGTTTAAAGCTTTATAAATCAGAAGATAGAAGACCTAGATGCCTTGATGTTTTGTATGCAGATACCTTATGTTACAAAATATCCGTCTGTCATATGTCCATTATCCTTGACCTCATTTTCATGGTTTAGCGACTGCTTGAACTAAATTTTTTTGTCATGTGAAATATTCACTTATTATGAGTTATAGATTAACTTTATTTGGATATATATATATATGATCCTTGCAAGGTTTACCTATCCATCAGACATGATTCACCCTACCTCTACCTAATTTCATGGATCAGTGATCAAGGTTAAGTTTTTGTGGTCAGGTTCATATCTCAGTTACTATAAGCAATAGGTCAACTATATTTGGTGTGTGGAATGATTGTAAGGTGTACATGTCTGACTGGCAGTTTTCATCTGACCTTGACTTCATTTTTATGGTTCATTGGACAATGTTTAGTTTTTGTTGTTTGACTGTTTCTCAGATAATATAAGCAATAGATCTGCTGTATTTGGTATAAGGAATGATTGTATGGTGTACATGTCTGTCTGGCAGGTTTTTCATGGTTCATTGGACGATGTAAAGTGTTTCCAGTTTGGTCTATTTCTCAGACACTATAAGCAGTTTGTCCACAATATTTGGTGAATGGAATGATTTTAAGGCGTTAATGTTGTCTGGCAGGGTTCCTCTGACCTTGACCTCATTTTTATGGTTCATTGGTCAATGTTCAATTCTCATAATTAGGTCTTTTTCTCAGATACTACCGGTATAAGAAATAGGACTAAATATATTCGGTGTATGGTATGAAATTTAATTAAGATAAGTAAAGCAGGCAAGACATTTCAGCATGTGCATTCTTGTTGTTATAAACAAAATCACAATGGAATTACTTTTATTGTGTCCATTACAGTGGTAAACATACAGATGTCAATTTTTCCGGTAAAGGAAACTTCACTTCTTATTCTCACTTAAATGGATTTTTTAGAGTTTCGATATGTAAATTATCATCTCCTTTGCATTTTTTTTTTGGTTGAAACAATTTGTGGGACTTACTTAAGCAAAATATGGTATTGGTGGTAGCTATCCGACATTTGTAGTTATTGGAGATTTTCCTGAAAGGACCATTTATTAAGTATTAGCTAATACTGCATGTTATTTCAATAGGTAATTAAGTGAGTGTTTTTATGAAACATTTTTCATATTCTTTTAATCAAGTTAATATCTAATTTCTGCATGTATTTAAATACTGTTAATTTTACTTATCTTTTCCTTTATTTTAGTGCAATCCAGGATAGGTAAGTTTATAGCGTTTAAGGCAGCGGAGTACTATAAAAAAAAAATTGTAAGAAATATGAGATTTTTCTTTCGCAAAGAATTATAGCATTTTTCAGGAAAATATTAGCACTTGCCATCCAAGGTATTTTCTTGGAATGCCTCAATATTGTTGCATGCTTCATTTTTCAGAATTGAACATATGCAATAAGTTTTATACAACTTTTTTGTATCAGTCCAATTAGATAGTTTAATCATGGTTTGAGGTAAATACAGTTCATGACATCAATAAGCTTTGTCCCATTGTCAGTTGAAGGATGCAGGGAGCCAGTTTGCCCATTAAACCATTAGATGACATCAAAAATTTGTATAGTAAAAGTTTTTTTGGTAATGTTAATGATATGAATCAAACATGAATGATCAAAGTAATCTTAGATTAAAGAAAAAGAAGATCTTTATAGATATTAATGGAAGGGATGTAGAGATTATTTGGATATAGGCTTTTCTTCACAGAAAATATAATAGTCCTTACCTATAAAAATATTGAAAACATGATCTTAATGTTTTACAGGTTGGTTCAGGCAGAATATTGGCATGATCCAATGAATGAAGACGAGTACAAGAAGAAAAGCATTTTCTTAGCTGATATAAACCAGGAAAATGTAATATATTAATGATTATAGATCATTGATATTCTTATCATGAACAGAAGCATGCAGATTTTACCATTTTGCCTTAGAACAATATCTCTCATCAAAATTTTCATTTCAGTTTACTTTGTCTTGATACTAGCACTGTTAAATTTATGGCAAACTAAAATAAAATTTAAGGTCTTCAAGGTTGTACTTAGCATTGGCTGTTTTGATGGAACAACATATCCAGTAATCTTCAAACACCTTTTCCCATACAAAAATGAAAATGTATAAATTAAACCTGGTTTAAGTGAATTGACAATGTATTGCAAAAATATTGAAAATTAATTTCAATGATATAAAACTACTACCGTATACAAAGATATAAATTTTCAATATTTTGCAGTTTGGTAATTGTCTTTCTATTATTAGATGATTTTATCATACAAAATAATATTATTTTTTAAACAAAAATTATCCAGGAAATGTTTGGTTTATTTTTACAATTAGGAAGGAAGCTTACAGTCATAACCATAATATATCATTTAGTTAGAAGTTTCAATGATACAAACAATATTAACCAACAATATGTTATAATATTTATCCTAACTAAAGCCAATCTATAAATGAAAACAAAGTTAACCCACAATAAATTATTATATTTACCTTAACTAAAGTCAATCCATAAAAGAAGCCTAACATCACTTTTTTGCCCCAAAAAAATTGAAGTTTTTTCCTTTGCATGGATGAAAGCATTGGTCATTATTCTTTGTTGATAAAAAAACAAAAGTGAACTTCAATTGAACAAATTAAAGGTTGGCTGCCAACCCTCCAACCTATGTCTCCCAAGTTGCATTGATGAATGGTTCCCTTCATATAAAAAAATCTTTTGGAGCACCAAAATTTGGATAGAGGTTTCTCTGACCCAGGGTAATCCACTAGGTCTGGAGAGGGGGGGCATATGCCCAATAATAGAATTTTGTGCCATGGATATATGTCTATTTTTGCGACTTTGACCCTAACCTTTGACTTCAAATTAACAGGATTTGTCATTTTCTTACTATTTACCATTATTATAATTTCATTAAAATTCAACAAGTGTACTTCAAGTAATCAACTTAGAAACAGCTAATTGCACTTCATATTTTTAACATTCAGTTGATTTTGAGAAGCTGTGACATTGACCATTGACCTAAATTTTGATAGGGTTTTACCATTTAATACCTATTATTTTTAATTATGTGAGTTTGATTTCAAAGAAATCACAAGATATCACATAGATAAATATTTTTTAGTGACAGTGACCTTGAACTTTGAGCTAGTATCCCCAAAATCAATAGGCTTATTCCCTTACCTACATTTTCCATTAGTTTAAGTCTTGTTCTAACTAAGCAAGGGAAACCTCAAAATTTCATCCCAAAAACATCTGTTTAAATTTATTTTATTTTTTGTAACAGTGACCTTGAATATTTTAATACCTTTTAACCCAAAATTGAATGGGCTTCTTCCCTTCCTCTGTATCTTCCATTGATGATAGTGTTATAATTAGGCTAGGGGGGACTCAAGATTTCACTCAGTAAGCATTTGTTTTGTAAACTAGGATGGACAGATAGACAGACAAATCAATAATAGATGCTTCCAAAAATATTTTCAGGAGCATAAATAAAGTGTTGTGATAATGTTGTGTTTTACAATGGTAATAAACTGCTCCTGATGTGCAAAGGAATTCAGCCTATTTAGTTTGTTCAAATATTATTTACTGATACAAAAAAGATACAGTTATGAACTTGAAATTTACTTTTCTTTCTTTTTAGCTCAATTTGTTTGAAAGTTTATGTGAATTTTTAAACACAGTTTTTAAATATAAGAAATTAGCAAATATGTAAATTCTTGAAAAATTTTTTTTTTAATCTTATGACTTCAAACAAAGGGGTTACATGTCATAAACTTACTTTTAACATTTTTAAAAAATGTTTTGCATGGATATATTCAACTGTTCTTGCTCAAAGAAATTATTTTACCTCTCCAATATCAGGTAGGGGTATCTGTGCAATATAAACAGTAGCTGGTATTTCTCAATATTTATTCAAAACAGTGAGTAATTCACTATTTAACTTTGACAGAAAATGAATGCAACCTACAAAACCAATTTGCTGAAAGTGAAGAATATTGCTCTTGTTAAGTTCTTGGATGATGGTATGGTACAACCCCGAGACAGTGAGGTAAGACATTTGTACTCTACCAAATACCACACCTGGAAGAAATTTAGTTTTTATGTATGCACTGAAAATCATCTTAAATTTCAGGAAAAGACAAATATTAGTATGAAAATAATAATTATATATGGAGTAGTAAAAATTATCTTAGAAATGTAAAAAAAAAGATAAATTAAATGCAAGGAAACAAAAGTCCACAGCAATGTCTGCAACAAATAGTGTAATATTTCTCCATATTGAAGGTCCTAACATTGATGTTTTGCAGTTCAGCACACCGTCGTTGGTAAAAAAATCTGCCATTATATTAAAGATGAGTAAAATATTTCCTAAAACAAAATATAAATTGCAAAACACAATCATTAATGTTTGGTCCTGGCTTAACAAAGGTTCAGTTTAATGTAGCTGGGCTATTTAGTGATTGGCAGTGGCAAACAATAAATGAGGAAAGCTGAAAGAACTTAATACAGAATAGGATCAAAACTTTTCGAAATTATATTTATTTAAATTGTGAACATAAAAAAAATAGCAGTGAAATGCTCATATTTACTAACCAAGAACCTATTTACTATTTTGCATGTAAAAAGGCATAATATCCTCCATCATTACTCAAGATTAATTTTTTATTCAATGTGGTATTATACAATGGTTGGAATTATTATATTACTGAACTTTATTACACTGATACTGTAGATTCATTAATTTTGGTTGGTACCAATTTCATGGATTGACATATTTCTATTGATAATTGCTTTTGCAGCTTTCTCAAATTCTGCATTTAATCCTGTAAGAAACTTGTAATTTGTCAAATATTTAAATTTGTAGCTAAACCATGCACATGAAATTCATGAAGAAAAATTGATACCTCAGGAATAAAAATGAATCCACAGTAAATAAACTAGTAAGCTATTCATTCTTAACTATCTTTTAAAACATGCAACTCTGTTGGTCATGCCAGAAATAGGAAGTTATTACTGATTAGATTTCTCACAAAAAATCTAAACAATTAAACATATTATAAAATCAATATGACAGAGTTTATCTAATCTTTAGAAATAGTATAATGATTTATTCATATATGAATGTGATAATTAAATAATCTGTATGTTATCTTTCAGTGGTTTGGTTTCTATAACCCAGGACAAGCAAAGACTGTATACAACCTAACACAGTCAAAGTTATACACACAGGTAAATTTATTTTTGTTGTGAAGTCACAGTTCAAAGCCTGGTATACCATGTGTTATGTCTCAAGACTCAAGGTCATCAACTTTTAGGTGTCAGACCACCAATTCAAAATCCCTATCTATTCAACCAAATTTTTCAATTTTCACAGCTTTCTAAATATTTTACCGTAAGTATAACTTCATAGAAACTAGGTACCAGTATATCCTGAATTGTACATGTATCAGCTTTCTACATGCCAATTTTCAACCCGTCTAAAGTCTTGTAGTAAAATACTAATGTTCCGAAGGTAACTACTACTAAGAATAACCCCTGGTTTTCTGGAAATCTTAAATAGGTATACTATGGAGCGCATTAATCCTCAATTTTTAATGCAAATTCATGGACAAGTAAATTTTGGCTTAAAATGCTCTAAATATATTTCTCTTTCATCAACAGTTTTATTTCTGCAAATTAGTTGGTTAGTTTAAGTAAACAATGACATCAAAAGCACTATTGTTTGTCATGGAAGGGTTTCTTTTACATATGTTCTAAATTGGAGTGAGTGAATTGGTGGTCTGACACCTTTAGGCAGAAATCAGAAGTTTTTTCATTTATTATGTATCTATTAGATTATTTTAGGTAGAAAGTTTGGCCAATATGGAGCTGCCACTTATTCATCTTCTGTTACACACATTTCCCTATCATGCTAAAAAGTGTATTTTACATCAAGAAATGGAGTGAAGCACACAAAAGTGATCAATAGTGGTACTGTTCTTAGACTGATAACTTGTGAAAAGATGCTGTGTAATGAAGCTGGCAGGGGAGTTTCTTTTGATGCAAAATATAAGTTTTAATTTTTATACCCCCCCCCCCCCCCCCCCTGTCATGTTAAATTTCAATAAGATAACTAAAGCAAAAATTTTCTTTTTTCCATCAGTTTTTATAAACAGTATTTTTAGATGATTTTGTAATTCTCTATTTATAGGATTTGCTTGGTCTGAAACAGATGAATGAGGCTGGACGACTTCATTTCTTGGCTAGTCCTGGTGATCATCTCCAATTTACAGAGGAATGGTTCATCAGCAATATTGTCAACAAGTTCCTTAAGTAGAACATTACAAGGACCCAAAGCACATGAACATGACTGTGATTCTTCAAAAAATTACTTTTTATTTATTAAAATACAAATGGTGCATCAATTTGAAATACTCAACCGGTCATGCTTGATACTATTGTTACCGTTATCAGAAATTACTCACCTCATAAATTAATTTTATTAAAATAACAGAAAGATGCAACAAAAGTTATTTTATATGAGGTAAAAAGTGCTAAAGGTTTATTTTAAAAATCCACACATATTATGTTACGTTGATCAGATATATATGATTCTCCACATTTTCTAAAATGTTTTAAGGTTTGCTTGTAAATATTGTTTATACTCAAACATTGTTGCTCAAAATAGCCATGGAGTTTCTATGAATAGAAATTCTTGTAATTGAATCACTGCAAGTAAAAATTGTCTCCCTTTACTTTCTTGAAATTTTTATATATTCTGTATATTTAAGGAATTTTTCCTTAAACTTTCATATTTGTTGAAATGCTTAAGCAATATATGTAGTATAATATTTTTCAAGTAATGTAATGATTGCACAGTATGAATGAGTGCCTTTTCACACAATGACATCAATTACAATGAATATGAAAGATATTTTTCTAATAATAGACAAAATAAAAGGGTAGATTTTTTAAAGAAATGAATTGTTTAATCAATAGAATCAGGAATGTGAGCAAGGATCATTTGTATGATTGTAATTTATGTAATTTATTCTTTGTGTCTACTGTTATATCAATTTTCTATAATTTGTTTTGTAAGACTTAATTTGTATAAAATAAAATTAACATTCCGTTTTCATGTTTTTCTTCATATCAAAAATGTATCTGATTTAGCCGTACTTGCTTTTTCACTCTCTAAATACATCATTAGAGGAGGTCTATACTAATATAATTGTGCCAAGTGTCATACTTCTGAATTGAAGGATTAGCAAGAACAATTCTTGAAATTATCAGGAAACGTGTAACCTTTTTCTGTTATGTTACTATATTTGTTCGAATCAAAACAAATTTTCAATACCTAACGGGATATAGAAATAAGATGTGGTATGATTGCCAATGAGAGAACTAAAATACTAAATACAATTAGGCCATTTGGGGTCAACATTAAAAAAGAACGACTTTAATTTTTCTAATTTCATATACTTTGACTTTCATTCATAAAAAGATATTATGACGTCATGTTATTGTGACTTCAAATTATTGCGACGTCATAACATTACCAAGGAACTAATCTATAACATCTAACTGATTGTGAAAGCAAAATGTCTACCATGTAGGTAAGAAGGATAATAAAGAAACTGAAGAAGGCCAGTGGCCGAAACGTCTTATAAAATGGTTTATTTACTACAATAATATAATATGTGTTCCCTTTTGGAATTGTGAAACAAGAATGAGAAAACTATCAACCAGAAACCTAAGGATGTAAACAACTGAAGGTCACTATATGGTTTTCAACAGCGAGAAACTCCCATACCATATAGTAAGCTATAACAGGTGAAATATGAAACAATTAAAATGGGAAAACCAATGGCCTGATTTATGCTAATAATGATATACGAAAAACAAAATGGCAGACAGGGGTTAATTTTAAGTTTGGTAAGTTTGCACATTAAGGTAAATAAAAACCTCCAAAATCATAATTCATCCAACTCTTGTGTCAGTCTGATATAATGTTCCAGTTATCATCTGTAAATCCTTATTTTGCACACATTTATGAACTTTTTTTAGTAACTATGACCTGTGTTTAACAAATCTTAGGATTAAAATGGATTGCAAGTATACTGAAATATTGACGACTTAAAATCAGTTTTAGTTGTAAGAATTCTTTGTGAAACACAGACCTGGACCTTCAACGTATAAGTTGAAAATTCATAGAAATCTTCCTTTCAATATATATTACCCTACCTGAAAGTTTGGTTCCAAAAGAAAGTGAGGTTCTTCTAGTTATCATCCAGAAACTCCTCTACCTCACAACAAATTTCAGTCCAATTTTAGTTTGAATGACCTTTACCTTGGAAGTATTAACCTCAAAATCAATTTTTTTACCATATACCCAAGATTGGTTCCAATCCCAGGTAAGCCTTTTCTGCACTACTTTCAGTAATTGGTCCTGTACAGGCAACTGTCTATGATTGAAGATGGTATGGCTTTGGTGTTTTTGAATTATTCATTGACACATGCCCATATCTTCTTTTATTCAAAATCTTATTTTTATATCCATCCAACCCTTAGGGTGCACATAGAATGACATAATCTGAATAGTAAGTAGTAATATACAATCAAGCAGATAAATGGTTTGACTGGGCATGAATATTCTCCTCACATATGTAGGGGAGATAAATATATAACCATTTTTTTATTGGAAGTGATTCTGTTCAAGGATATTTTAACCTTCTCTAAAGAATCTATCATGTTAGGAAATACAATACAAATGTTGAAGTTTACAGGTAAGTTTTCAAAGCAGGTTTTACTATAGAGAGTCATTTGACCAGTTGGAAGTATAAAGCTGATCCATTGACAACATATGCTGGTGAATTCAAGCTTAAAATAAAAAAAAAAAGGATTCACACTATGTCCATAAATAGTGTCAATACCATGGAAAGAGAAATGTTGTTCAGGAATTAAAAATAATCCTATTAAGTGAACTCAAATCTACAATACCAATATTTCATTTGGTATCAGACATAAGCTACAAAATTTCCTTTAAAGTTCTAAACAAGACTATTAGCAAACAAGAAAATTCCAAAGTATATGACATCAGTACAAAATGTTGAATAAGCGATTATCCTATTTGTTTGTCTTTTTGTTGTTGTTATGAGGTTATTCCATTTTTATTTTCTCTGAACATTGAAAACAAGAATACAAATTAACTTAAATTTTTCTAATTTCTATTGAATGAACCAGAAAATAGGTAGCTCACCTTTAAAACATTTAGAGGAAATTACAGCTGTTCCAAAATCAACCGTGGTAGGGGAATAGGGGGCACTCAAATTAATAATTGTGAGTGTTTGTGTTTTCTTTAGAATTTTGTTAGATTTATAAGTAAAATGGAATTATATCCTTTGTTTTTCTATTATAACATTATGGGTGGTCTAAAAAAAAGTGCCTCCTATATGTTTAATTCTGGAACACCCCTTTTGTTATCTTGAAATATCCTATAAACAAATGAAACTAGAAGAAAACTTTTAATTCTTTTATTAACATTCAAACTTAACTATAGTAAACCAAAAAAATAAAACCAAACAAAAATTGTTACAATGTCTACAAAATGGAATGCAAGATCAAAAGATCTAATTATAATCTTCAATGACTAAATGTGGGACTAGAAAAAAAGTTAAGTACTATTTGTTTTTGAAGATAACAAAATTCTTTTTATCAAATTACAAATGATATAAGTAACACTATAAAAATACAAAAATATTATTAACACAGATAAAATAAAACAAAAATAAATAACTATGTAAAACAACAATGTATAAAACACAATACATATATCACATATTGGAAAACAATATATGATAATTTTAAAATATGAAAAAATTAGTAAAAAGTATATCAATAAAATACTACACAACAAACTAGACTGATGCATGCCCTTCACAGCAATATAACACGAAAGAATTCGGTGATTTGTTAGTTTTACATTTGCTATATCTGTAAGATACATATGAATCTCAAAACAGTTCTACAATGTAACTAATTTTTCATATGAATTTAAAATTCAAACCCCAAAATCAGTCAATGTTCCAAAAATCAAAATCTTGACAATATGCATACATGTGGTATATATAAAATGTAAACATTTAGCTTGAATGCTGATGGTATACATCATGGTTCTCAAAGGATTTTAACAAAATATAAAGTTAATTCTTTACTTAAGCTATAAATAATCACAAATGATTTCTGGAATTATATATTCTGGATATGTATTAAACATTACCATGAGGGTGTCAGCCTGGTGATGTATATCTTATTGACACCATGATACTATGGTTAATTAAAATTTATAGATTTCAATAATTTAGAAGGGAGTTTATCAGGAATTTGACCTTATTTTAGGATAAGAATGATAAATGCAGAACATCCAATTACATTTCATGGCATCATGGTGAAAATATAAAGATATAAAAGCTGTAAAATGTTATGAAAAAATTATGTATTACAGCAATTACATTTATGAAGGGAAGCAGTAATTAGAATTATTTGAATGTCTTGTGTAGTCTTCACGAAAAATATATAATGTGAAAAACTTTAGGAATTATTATTGTTAATGATTACCAATTAAAACTTTGATATTTATTTCTAATATTAAACTGATTGTCTTTTATAAAATAACTATAAAATTTGGAGAAAGATTCTGAAATTTTAAATAATACCCTTTTTTTCAGATTAACAGCTAATGTCCTTTTTTTATTGAGAAAAATAATTGTTACAACTATTTATAGCATTCAGTTTATCTTTCACTGTTGAGCAATCACCACGATGAGCTTTCAATTAGTACAACTAAATGCTTAAACTATTTGAACAACTGATCATTTAATTTTTCGATGTGTTGAACAATATCATAAACATATAAAATACTATTGTGCCTAATAAAATACAAGTGTTAAAGACACTGTTAGTACAGAAAACAGTAAATACATTGATATTTGACAGATATTTCCATGTGTATAAGCACATTTCAGGTCAAGGTCACGGAGTACTGGACATTTTTCCTCAGCAGCCAGTGTACTGGTGGAATGGTCCTCATGAGCACAGGTACCATTTATAATTCTGTGAGCACCAGAATTCACAATACTGTAATAAGAAAATGATTTTAGTTTTAAACATTTCATTCGAATGTAACAGTATGATTCAGATTATTTGATACCAGAATATGCTTATCATTTTAAGGCATCAGATTTGATGTCAAGATATTCTAAACCTTCAGGAGCATCTGTTTTCACTACTAGTGTTTTAATATGAGAGATACATTACCCTACACTTTAGTAATTTGTTTTTTCTTGACTGTTCCTGTACGTCTGAGTATTTTGTTGTTGTTCCTTAACCTATCTAGTAAGAAGTTATATACTTTGTTTTGTTCATGTATTGCTCACTGATTTTTTTTTTATTTCCCTTTGTACCAAAGTTGTTTTGGTATTATCTGTGTGTTATTTTTACAATGGCATGAAAATATTCAATTAATTAGCATATAAATTTCTATATTGTTCAAAAACATTTAAGAAAAAAACCTACATAAAACTCATATAAAATAGTAACAGAATTACAAATGAAGTATGTGAGCTACAATATACTCATTTTGCATAAAAATTTCGTTTATTTTATTTTTTTCCAAGAATGTTTTAAAGCTTCCTTGCAAAACACAGAGGATAAAAAACATAACATAAATACATGAAACTAGATGTGTCTGTACAACATCAAATCTTTAATTTTATTCAAATTATTGAAAGAAACAATTTTTATTTCACTTACCTTCTTGTGATTCTACAATTAAAGTTATAAAACAAAGTCTCTCTGTAATTGTTCCAGTCCTCTATGACTAACAGATAAAGATTGGTCCTTGGTAAAGATGTTACATAGTAGAATCCTGACATACATGGTCCAGAAACATTCCCTGTCAACATACCTCGTCCTAAAAATATAAATCATAATAATTAGTTTGACTCCGCAATTTTGCATTTCGGATACTCCGCTTAATTGCATAATTTTGTCTGACTAATAGGCTATGCAAATACCCGGAATCGACTTTATCAGCAAACAGGAAGTAGGCATCTAACAGATCCTAAAAATGCTCACACATTACAACACATCACTGTTGATCTGTTAACAAAATATGGAGTCATTCTGTAAAATAGTTTCTCAGAATAGTGTGACGACAATTTTAGTTTATAAACAAATATAAATCATAATTATTAGTAGAGCTCTTCTAGACATAATAGTCCTGAGATATTCCCTGTCAACATACATTGTATTGTGTCATAGTCAGTTTATGTTAGTAGAAATCTTACCTAGTGCTGTATCATTAGCACTGAAGCTGACAACATCCTGGATACAACCAAACTCACTACTAAACTGAGGAATTGGACCTTTGTTTTTGAAATAATCATCTTTCTCTGCAGGATTCTTTGGTATTCCTTCCAATGTTACCTGAAAATCAATTCATAGTAATTTCATAGTAACAATAAAGCTGTCTGAAACATCAATTACATGCTTCAAGAATTATGCAACATTCAATTTCATATTTTTATAAAAGACAGTACAATCTATATTTCCATCATTATTGACAGTTTACATAAGTCATTACAGACCTTGATTACTTTTAAAAAGTAAAATAACAAAAATACTGAACTCCATGGAAAATTCAAAAAGGAAAGAAAGTCCCTCAACAAATGGCAAAATCAAAAGCTTTAACACATCAAACGAATGGAAAACAACTGTCATATTCCTGACTTGATGCAGGCATTTCCTTGTGTAGAAAATGGTGGATTAAACCAGGTTTTATAGCTAACTAAAAAGATGACTGACCCTTTGATAATCATTCATGATAACAATTTTGAAGCAATCTTGAAAAAGCAATCAATTATAAAACTTTCAGTAGATAATGGCCAAACACCAATAAAACTAAAACATTTTATTACAAGCTAAAGCTAAGCTTATGCCTATCACTTTCTTTAATCTTGTATATATATATATTAAAAAAAAGAAGCCTTTAAGTACATATTTTAGTTAAGGTATTGAAAGGAAAGGGAGAGCTAGTAAAGTATCAAAATAATGTCTTTCATTGATTCTTTGAAAAGAAATCATTTAGAAGATATCACAACATACAAATCAGCTAATTTAGGTGGATCTAAACCCATTATCAAGTAAACAACATTATCAGATAGTTATTATTCAAATTACCTGAACTTGCATTTGATACCTATCAAAGTGCTGATATATATTTCATGTTTGATATAGCTAGCAATTAACTGCCATTATACTTACTGGCAATGTAAGATTTTGTCCAATTAGATAAATAATATGAATTAATTGTTCTTTCAAAATTTAACTTTTTATCAAAATTCTTTATGTTACCTTTGGTTCGACTGGAGTAATTCTACATGTGCCCTGGAATTCTAAAGCTTCCTTTCTGATAAAGAATTTATGTTTGTAAATGAGATCTTTCATAACCTCCCCTTCTTTCTTCCCAAGTTGCACACCTGCATATTTACTCTTGTCTAAGTTACTAGCCGTAATGAAATCAGGATCAACAACCAAGTTTGCTTTACTATCAAACAGGTAACATCTGAAATAGTGAAAAATCAAGATTATTCTGTTGTTCTTTGTTAACTGATTATTTTTAAACTTTACAATCATTATTAAAGGCATCTTGTCTTATCATTAAACTCTATATACAACTTTAAGTACCATGTTCTGTGAGATTATTTTTCACAAATCCTGAAATGTCTCAATAAGGCCTTACAAAATAAATATCAATTAATCAAAACCCTTTGGAAAAAAAACCTTTAAAAAATCCAATGAGTTCAAACAGAAATATAATTTCTAGATTTTTGCTAGATTTTCAAGTTGGAAACATTATTTCCTTGGTTTTCAAGGATGTTAAGGATATACAAAACATGACAAGACTTCCTTTTGACCACCACCCCTCTCAATATATATCTTATTCCATTAACAAAAGGCATTCAAAAGAAAGTCTTTCCTAATTTTCAATAGAAAAATATTTAATATCACCTTTGACATTTTATCAAACCTTAGAAGCTAAGAACCTAATCATTATTTTTTTAAAGGGACTTCCTTTAGTGTTATAATGTAGAATAGCTTTTGACACTTGCATACTTTTAAAAGAATGAATGACAACTTGCATTAACTGCATATGATTAAATATATTTACAGAAATTTAAATACCGGTAAATTAATACTGTGGATTCATTGTGGGATACCATTTTGTGTGAACTGTGTTGGTAAAGGTGAACCACGAATTCAAATGTTCAACGAAGTACAAATTTTCAATAAGCTTCTGTGCAGACTTTTGCTAAACCATGAAATCAAATGTCCACAAAAACACAATTTTTTCTCAATCCACGAAAACTGGTATGCACGAAAATATATTAATACACAGTAATCATGACTAAATTTCCTTAGAGAGTTCAACTTATTCATTTCAAGCATCAAATTAAGGTATTGTAAATTAAGTGGATTTTTACCTTGTTGTACAGCCTGGTTCTTTATCAGGACAGTCATAAATCTGACCACAAGATTTGTTGAAATTACTAGCCTGCATACTCTCCATGATCTTATTATGGAAATCATCATATAAAATATCAAGGCCTGTAACACCTTCTACTCTAACAGTGGCACAACGTCTATGATCAGACAATTTGGTAGCTTTACTCAGATAACACTTTCCTGAAATTTTCAGAAATGACATATTTTTTTCTGGATTGCAAAAAAAATGTAAATTTATAAACTCAAAACCTTAATACTCTACTGAAGGAAAAATAAGGCAACAGTGTTTACAATTTTCAATTACATCATGAATCTACCAACATTTTTTATTTTATTACGATTGTTAAGAATATATTTCCAGGCAATTTCGTAGCTTTTTACTCCATCATTGAAGACCTTCAACTAACTGCCAAAGTGAAGCGCAACAATAAAAGCATTGTTTCTTTGCAATTTTTTCTTAAGACTTTGGTCTTGTGTGTATCCATTCCTTATTCTTCTTTTCCTATCAGTTAACAAAATAATATTCATTGAGACTAAAACATAGCATTGTTCCTGCCATTACAATAGAACTTTTAGCAATATAAATTGAATCATTTTCTTTGCCATCAGGTCTGAATTGGAAATGTTCAAACCCTATATTTTATAATTTATGTAAAAATTATTTCCCTTAAGGTTGGATATCATTGTCCTTGTGCTATGTTTTGTTCAGCTGTAAATCTTCTAATTACACTAGAACTTCTTTTTTTCGTTTAGTTACTGACTTCATACATGAAGTTAGGTAAATTAACAAAGTATAAAGGTCTTGTGTCACATTGAAAAGGTAGAAATGACAGCAGTAAGAGTGATGTATGCTTTAAGTTTAAACCTTACCAACCATTTTTCTGTTTTCTATAGTATGTGACATAATCAGTGGAAAACAGTTTTTTTTTCCCCAAACTGCACTGATTTTAATTCTTTCAGTTGCTCTTACTTGACAGAGTACAGAATGTCTTACCACAGAGTAACAGTCAATCAAAGCACGAAAGCGCTGTAAAGGCAGTTAATTACAGGTTGTGTGTATTTTAAGTCCAGTTATATCATTATCTTGCATAGTACAGTGTACTTATCAGAGGTGGCTTTCAGTATTTAAGATTTAGAGTTCTCTAATGATATTGAACAAGTTATATGAATGTCATATTCTGAGCACTATATGAAGGTGATTGTTCTCACTTGTTTATGAACTAGTGTATTATGTCCAGTTTGTACCTTTTTTATCTATGTTTATAGTCAAATTAGTTATCAAAGGTACCAGGATTATAATTTAATACGCCAGACGTGTGTTTCGTCTACATAAGACTCATCAGTGACGTTCAGATCAAAATAGTAACAAAGCCAAACAAGTACAAAGTTGAAGAGCATTGAGGACCCAAAATTCCAAAAAGTTGTGCCAAATACGGCTAAGGTAATCTATTCCTTGGATAAGAAAATCCTTAGTTTTTTCATTGGCAATCATAACACATCTCCTTATTTATATAATGATCTATATTCAACGACCTCAGGTACAAAAAAAATGTATGTAACTAAACTATGATGGGAAACCTTTGACTTCTTTCTTTATATAAACTTTTGATTTGGTACCATAGAACTATGTACAGTAAATGTACATTGCAACATGTCAACTCTTTCAACTCCAAGCAAAATTATATTTCCAAGCATAAAGTAATTTATGAATGAAATAAAATGCTCCGATGGGGCGCATCTTGATACGACCGCAGAGGTTGAACCCTGAACAGTTGGGGCAAGTATGAACACAACATTCAAGCTTGATTCAGCACTGAATTTGGATTGTAATTAAATATTTGACACAGCATAGGTTTCTGACACAGAATGAAAGTGGTCTAAGATACTTAAAAAAATTTAATTTACCTATTCAAACCATATCATTATTATTTGCTTTTATATATAAATCAGAAATAACCAATTTAAAATGGAAAATTTTAAAGAAAAAAAAGGAAAAAGAATCCCCCCCCAAATTTTTTGAACCCCCTTATGATTCATCACCCCAAAACTCAATCCCAGCCTTCCCTTTGTGGAATGGTACCTTGCAGTACAATTTCAGAGAGATCCATACACTTGAACACATGTTATTGTCTGGAAACTAGAAAAATGCTTGTTTTTTGGCCCCTTTTTGGTCCCAAATTCCTAAACGTTTAGGGCAATTACCCCCAAACTCAAACCCAGCTTTCCCTTTGTGATATGGAACCTTGTAGTACAATTTCATAAAGATCCATACACTTATACACAAGTTATTGCCATGAAACTAGAAAAATGCTTGTTTTTTGCCCCTTTTTGGCCCCTAATTCCTAAAATTTGGAGGCAATTACCCCCAAAATCAATCCCAGCATTCCCTTTGTGATATGGAACCATGTGATACAATGTCAGAGAGATCCATAGACTTACACACAAGTTATTGTCATGAAACTAGAAAAATGCTTGTTTTTTGCCCCTTTTTGGCCGTAATTCCTAAAATTTGGAGGCAATTACCCCCAAAATCAATCCCAGCATTCCCTTTGTGGTATGGTACCTTGCAGTACAATTTCAGAGAGATCCATACACTTGAACACAAGTTATTGTCTGGAAACTAGAAAAATGCTTATTTTTGGCCCCTTATTCCTAAACTTTTTGGGCAATTACCCCCAAACTCAATTCCAGCTTTCCCTTTGTGATATGGAACCTTGTAGTACAATTTTATATAGATCCATACACTTACACACAAGTTATTGCCATGAAACTAGAAAAATGCTTGTTTTTTGCCCCTTTTTGGCCCCTAATTCCTAAAATTTGGAGGCAATTACCCCCAAATTCAATCCCAGCATTCCCTTTGTGATATGGAACCTTGTGATACAATGTCAGAGAGATCCATAGACTTGCACACAAGTTATTGTCATGAAACTAGAAAAATGCTTGTTTTTTGCCCCTTTTTGGCCCCTAATTCCTAAAATTTGGAGGCAATTACCCCCAAAAATCAATCCCAGCATTCCCTTTGTGATATGGAACCTTGTGGTACAATGTCAGAGAGATCCATACACTTACACACAAGTTATGTCTGGAAGTTACAAAAATGCTTATTTTTGGCCCCTTTTTGGCCCCTAATTCCTTAACTGTTGGTACCATAACCCCCAAAATCAATCCCCACTTTCCTTTTGTGGTATTGAACCTTATTTTAAAATTTCATTGAGATCCATTCACTTAAACTAAAGTTAGAGTGCGAAAACTAATGTGTCTTCGGACGACGACAACGACGACGACGCCAACGTCATACCAATATACGACCACAAAAATTTGTTTGCGGTCGTATAAAAAGGAGTTCTTAATTAAGAAATAAACTGATTCGCTGAGCGCAGCTGGATACACCCGCAGAGGTACTACCCTGAACAGCTGGGGCAAAAATGGACACAATATTCAAGCTTGATACAGGTCTGAATTTGGATTGTAATTAAATATTAGACATATTATAGTTTCTGAATAGATGTAGTCAATGAACTTGAAATCGGTTATATGAATTGAATTTATATTCAATTAAAGATTTCTTGCTGTTGTGCAATACACTGTGCTATTGTGCAATACTTAATAAATCTGTTGCCAGACTATAAACAAATAAAGTTCAATTTCTTCTCAATGTCATATTTGAAATTTATGAAAATCAATAGGGAGATTACATCAATAGCTATAAATAATTCACCAAAGTTTCATGTGAACTGCTTAAAGCATTTTTGAGTTGTTGTCCAAAAACTGGAAAATCCCCCCTTTTTTAATGAATAAAACCCCATAACTCAGAAATGTAAAATCTAAAATTTATAAAATTCTAAACATGCTAAAGGGAGCTTACGGATTGATAATTTAGTCTTAGATGCAAGATTTTTTTATCAGTTGTTAGTGGCTTTGAACTAGCTGTCAGTAACTGCGAGTACTCTCAGATTTGTACTTAGTGTCTTTTTGTTGTTTGGATGTACAACTACCTGACCACGTCCACTTGTATTTGTATTTATCCATCTGATGAGTTTAGCCTCTTTCAACTGATTTTTATAGTTCTTTCTTATATTGTACTGTTACACCACTGTCCCAGGTTAGGGGGAGGGTTGGGATCCCGCTAACATGTTTAAGCCCGCCACATTCTGTATGTACATGTATGTGCCTGTCCCAAGTCAGGAGCCTATAAAAGTGTAATTCAGTGGTTGTCGTTTGTTTATGTGTTGCATATTTGCTATATTTGTTCATTTTTTTACATAAAATAGGCCGTTAGTTTTCTTGTTTGAATTGTTTTACATTGTCATTTCTGGGCCTTTTATAGCTGACTGTGCGGTATGGGCTTTGCTCATTGTTGAAGGCCGTACTGTGACCTATAGCTGTTAATTTCTGTGTCATTTGGTCTCTTGTGCATGTGTGGAGAGTTGTCTCATTGGCAATCATACCACATCTTCTTTTTTATATTTACATCAACAGATATAAAAAATTCACCAAAGTCAAGGTGAGACAACAAAACTTAGTTGTAAGATCTCTGAAATTTTTTACAGGGTACGAGTTTTTCTCATTGTTGGAGATTGTACGGTGAAAGTAACACCTGTAACTGCTTAAACCCATTTCTTATGCACTTTAGTTTGATAAACTCACTGAATATCATACCACATCTCCTTATTTTTATATGCATTACAATTTACATGTGCATGTAATTGTAAATATATATATATCAGAACAAAATTCATTGCGTCACTTTTATTTATGCATCCTTTGGCACAATACAAGTTCTTAAATTACACAACATAAAACAACTAAATGTTATTTCAGATGAAAGTTTTGTTTCAGTTCCATTCATAGGATTTATTAGAATTTTGTATGTTTTGCCAAGTCCAATAATTCGCTCTATGTGACATAGAGACATAGTTGACTAAACCACCAGGTGTCGAACATTCAAGAATTTTCAGTGTTTCTGTTTTTATTTGATGAAAAGGTTGCCTGAGCTCTAGGAGCTTTAGGTTTTATCACGGGATATTCTGTGCTGTCAATAATAATCCAAGTCGTAGGAAACTTTAATTTGAAGTTGGATGGTGAAAAATACCTGACTTAACCACTAGATGGCCAAGTGTTAGCCTCACACCACTGTTTAGACATAAAAACAATCCATGTATACACAATATTCTTAACACTAGATTCAATCTAGAATCTAGACAGTTCAAAATTGGTTGTATGATGCCTCAATTTCATCAAAGTCATAAAAAAACTGATTTTCAACTGACACCCTATCAATTTGAAAATATATGTATCTCAAACAATGTGCTGCTGGACCAAGTGTGGTCAAAACAAATAAAAATTTAGTATACAACTCTAAACCGGTATAAAAATGCATGGCTGTGTCACGTGTCTTCATTTCAAAATTCTCTGCTGAAAACATAGGCATTGATGGTGTTTGCGTAATTCCATCTGTGAAGCTCAACATTAGCTCGGCAGTTGGTGGTGGACAGTCATAAATCCTTTCTGCAGTATGAATGACTTCTTCAGGAAAACCAACTTTACAATCAAAACTTTCCTCTAGATTTCTACTACAATATTATTCAAGTTTAGTTCTTTTGTTTTCACAGGAAACTGCCCTGATTATTTTTTTTTGCGGACGATTCAGTCTCTTGCTTGGTCCAGGAAAATAGGCTGGGAATGGCAGTAGACTTAAGTCTCTGTATGGTGGGTTTGCGCCCTGAAAAAGGTTATAAAACATTAGTTTTTTTATAATTAAATGAACTTCCATTAGCAATGTATACTTTGTACTACCTGGCGAAATATTAACTAGATTTATTCATTACAATCTGGATAAAACTATGTTTGCCTGATTCAATGTATGTTATGTAAATCCAAAGGACAAACAATGAGAGACTTATGCAACAAACGTACATTGTTTGTACCTAAATTACTATAATATAGATGAGAGCATGTCATTGTTTTGTTCCTGTTAACATTGTCATTGATATTTTTCAAGAAAGTCTATGAGGCATAGCTTATGCATTCCTGTCATTACTACATTAGCATAATTACTGCTAAAATAATTCTCAGTATGATATACCTCTTGTAAGAAATCATTATAATTGTAGCAATCACCAAAAAATCTCAAACAGAACACATTGAATCGTAATCCAAAAAATTATGACGTCTTGAATTACCCACCCCCTTTTATTCTAAAACGATAATTGCGGTTGTAAACAGACTTTGGTTTATTCGCATGGCGATTACATATATAACTATATATTTCACAAAGAAAATAGAGTTTTACCATGAATAGTTTCCTGCACGTAGTCTTTTTCAGTAAAACGTGCCTTGCAAACAACAGCTGATTGAGATGGACTCCACGATATCATCGTGTTCTCGTCCAATCTGCGTATGGGCCATGGCGTTGATCCAACTTTTCCTTCTTTTTAAGTCATTTGGAAATGCATGTCCTCCTCTTAAATGACATCCAGGTACACAACAACAAGTACTTGGCATCGTTAATTAAAAATATAACTGAAATAGTTGCTCAGTGCAGAAACCGGAAGAAGAGGAACAGGATCCGCTACCACGGCGCCACCTATTCAGGAACGATAATTTGCTACTTTATATAACTGCGAAAATAACGTGAGACGGGTTCACGTGCATAAACAGAAATGCGCTTTAAATTGTATAATATAATTCATGTTCAGTCGACCTTTAATTATTATATCAACGACTGAAATGATTTATAAACATCTAGATTGCAGATAACACTCGAAATTAACCCGAGCTCTTTCCACACGGAATTCAAATAATTCTAGTTTGTCAATCGGTTGACTGCTTATAATGCAAAATACTAATATATCAAAAGTTTTTTAAACTAACAAAACACAATGATCGTTTCTCTATTTCCCAATGTAAATGAAATGAAACAAAAAACATTTTATATCGCAATAAGAAGAGGAGAGAATTCAACATTTCCGGATCTACTTGGAGTCTAATGACCCCCCACGTAGATAAGTTGGATATCGCGGAAGGAAGGATTAACCCGGCAACTAGAAAGGCATTAAAGCACTGCCTTTAAAAATCATATACTCAGGAGTCAAAAGTCAGTAACATGAAAATTGTCTATTGCTGAAGTATCAATGTATTCAAAATACAAAATAGAATGAAATCAGAATTAAACAGTAAAAGGAGTTATCATTAATTGGAAGAAAAGGCCTTTTTAATTTTCACCAAGTTTTTGCTCCAATGCAGCTTCCATATGGCATCTACCACCTAATAATTATACATATAATGCATTTAGTTAATCAATTTTTGGTGTTAGTATAAAAACCATGTTATCATGCTGTGTATATTTCTTTATAACAACCTACTGCTACTACAATCAGTATCCAGATCACATCTACATCCACCAGGTAGTGGTACTCCATTCTGTGATGCATTAGCACATTCATCATTACTTATCATTGGCATCCCTTCAAAAACAGCCTGAGATATAGTGTTGATTTTACCAACTCCTGCAGCATCCATATAGGGTGTAGATATAGATGTTTTCCATGGGGCACTGCTGGTTCTTTTGTACCATGGTCTTCTACAAAAATACATGAATATATGATGCTCAGAAGCATAAATTTCTAAAGATAAAAAATGCATATCTGGTGAAAATTTCATTCAATATAGTATAAGTTACTCTTAAAATGGAGCATAGATGGCCATATAGTATAGGTAGTTAGTTGATACTTATCAGTAGAAAGGACCTTCAGTCTATTGCAACTTAAATTAACTTCAGGACAAACATAGGTCAGTTACACAAATGATCCATCTAGACCACATCAATTTTTGTATGAATAACACTTCTTCATTTGAACTTTTCCTTATGGGAAGGAGGGTATGATTTGCAAAATATCAATTCAAAACCTCATTCTATATGTCAAGATATACAAAGTTAGGAAAATGGCTCAACTAAATCAAAAGTTATCATATCAAATATAACTGATAATCAATATCTTAATGAATAAAACTGAGTGCTTATAGATTCCAACATAACTACTTCCTATCACAACAGCAAAGATTTTTAGTGGTAAGTTTCTCTTTACTAATTTTTCATATAAATTCCTTTCTTTAAGGTTGACATTTTTTTGTACTTAGAATTTAAATGAAAGTTATATTGTTCTCTTGTGTCCCATAAATTAACTTTCAAAAAAGGAATAATTCCATCTGAACTAGAATAAATAAATGAAGGATGTGTCCATGGGACATAGATGCCCCCGCTTGTAAATATACGGCAAATATAGCAATTTTATCCATTTATAAAGGAACATTACTTAAGAATGGTGAAAGTCACGTCACCCAAATTCAAACTTGATCTGTGTTTGGTGGTAATAAGCATTTGTGTATAAGTTTCATAACATTTGGTTGAGGCAAACTAAAGTTAGAGAAGGGAAACTAATTTTGGGATGTACGAACAGACGGAGACATATGGACAAACGAACAAAGTTAAAACTAATTGCCTCCTCTGCCACAGCGAGGTCATAAAAATTATATGAATGGTTAAGAGATATACATAAGGAGAACAGTGATCTCATATTAAACAAGAAAGTAAGCAGAGTTTACAATTTCAGTACTTAAGTATTGCCCTGGACATGAAAAATTTGGTGGATTGTTTCCCATTGGCAATTACACTATATCTCCTTATTTTCATATACATACTGAGTTGGATCATATGCTCTGGTTGACCTATGACCTGGATATGTTCTAAATACTCCGCTTCTTAGACCAATATTTGTCCATTTTACTTGATCAAGGGACTCAAATGCTCTCTTTTTCCACATTTCTTCTATTGGTTGTGTAATCAAAACATCAGCTCTGAAATTAAAAAGTATAAACAAGTTGAACTGAGAGCTATTGCTCACTAATGTTACCAACAAGACAGGTATTTAGTGTCACAGATGATTTATTCATATCTTTTTCGAATTCATTTATTTCACAATCAAAATCATGTTTGTCTTATATACTAGAATTATTCATATATCATATACATTCATATTCATGAGTTCATCTGATTTCATATTTCATTTGACCTGACCTGACATGACCTGCAATGACCTGAAGTTCTATACATGTACTAACATTTATGTGCACAAGTAAGTTTGCATGCTTTCACCCTCGGAAATTTGCAATTTTAAGGGTACTAACATCCACTATTACTCTTGGTTCATTAATCGATGTACAAGGTGGTTAGTTTAAAACTATGGCTGTTATATTTTTTATATGAAATAATTTTAACGTTGGCTTTCACAGATTTTTGTTTCAATATGGATAAAGTATTTGCGGTCTGGTCATGTTATTCATATTGTTATTATATAAATATGTTGTGGAAAAATGTATTTGCAGGTGGTTAAGCAATTTGACCTGTTGTTTATGAGTCTTAAATGTTGTATTTTCAGAAATAAAATTCTGTAAGCTATCCCTAGTGTTGTAGCAGTTGTAAAGCCATTTCAATAAAGAGTGTCCATTTCTAGCAGTGACATTAGTAAACAAGAAATTGATAAGTGATGGATGTGAAAATGCATCACACTGTATACCATGATCACATTAAGCTTGAGACTAATTTCAGGAAGGTCTGATTTGTAATTCCTGAGAAAATTTGAATAGCAATAGATGTGAAAACTAATCACAAGGTATAACATGCTCACATTAATGTTGATACTAAATTGTTGCATGTTCTGATTTGTAAATTCTAAGAAAACTATGGCAAAAATTGTATACTGTGGATTCATTTATTTTCGTGGGTACCAATTTTCGTGGATTAAGGAAAACTTACATGTTCGTGGATATTTACTTCGTGGTTTTGCCATATTGTGTATACACGCCTATAGGAAATTTGTAATTCGTTGAATATTCAATTTCGTGGTTCATCTGTACCCACGAAATCCATGAAAATTGGTATCCAACGAATAATAATGAATCCACAGTACATTGTCATTATGTGTAAGACGATATCAGTACATGTATTACAGTACACAGGAAGTTGATAAGTGATAAATCTGAAAGTGCATCAAATGTAGAATGTGCACATAAACCTGAAAAAAAATTTCAGTAAGCTCTTATTTTGAGTTCTATAAGAAAATGCAACAGAATTTCATACATAGCCATTATGTCTTAGATTATATAAATATTCAGTAAACAATAAGTTGAGTAATGAATCTAAAAACACATGTTAAACAAGGTATAGCATGTTCATTTGAAGCTTAATAACAAATCTCAGGAAGCTCGCATTTCTAGTTCTTGAGAAAAGTGTAACATAAGAAATTTCAAGGTCACAAAAACGATATATCATCTTCATCAAAGAAGGGGTATAATAAATTAACTATTGTAAATGTAAACAATTCTTTTTTTATTTATTCAGAAGTCTGCCTTATGAAAATTATAAATGCTACCTACAACAAAGATTTTATAACAATTACCTAATCCCTTTATGAAATTTCTGTCCAGCTTCACATCCTCGATCTGTTTCAAAACTGTTAATCCATCTATGTGCTGTTAAAGTCTTTTTAGCCAGATTATCATCATATATATATTGTGTTGGATCACAATGACTTTTGGGAGGAAGAAAAATGGTAGAATGTTTGTAGGTAATTGTTAGTCCTGGGTACCGTTGTTCATTTTCCCGGATATCTAGATTTTTTACTGCATCAGGCAACTCTTTCATCAAGTTTTTATATTCCTGAAGAAGGTTATAATAGCTCTTTGGATATTTGGATCTGTCTTCGGGCTCCTGAGATCTCCTGACAAACTAAAATATAAAAAACGTTTTACTTGTTTTTAACAAGAAATTATTGTGTTTGATCTTTTGATCTTTTTTTCGAGTTTTAATAGATGCAACAGCCAATATATTTCTGTATAAAATCATTATTATATAGTGCTTGTTCAGTTCAATTGGTATTGTATAGTGCTTATTCAGTTCAACTGCATCTTTTTTTTTTCAATATTTAGATATGAGAAAGAAAGCCATTTTCAATTATTTTTGAAAGTCAACAGGAACCAGTTTGATAGCCCTTCTTATTCTTTAGCTGGAACATATTTCATTTTCTTTAAAGAAAACTTTTATAAAGATTTTAAATGTTATGAGCAAAAGAGAAGTTAAAAATCCAGGACGGTGATTAAATATATTTGGTGCAAGCAGACAAACATACATGGCTGAAAGGAACAACATATAGAGTTCTAAACGAAACTTAGTATATGCCTCACTCAGCAAGATGTATGATACATGTACTAACATTTAGTAAGTAAAGGAATGCTTACCATGTCAGTGTCAGCTAAACTGTAGGCAAAGGAATATTCTGATTCATTCAGTGCAGCATAGTAGTAAGTCTTAAACATACAAAACATTTATTACTTTTTTGTTAGTTACTGTAAATTTACTCTACATTCAATTACAAAATAACTACTTAATACTTGACAAACCATAACTACAGGGTCAAAGAAGTCTGTGTAGCTTAACTTACATCTACATATACTGTTTCCTATATTAATAATGTAATACATGTCATGTACTATGCTTTATAATGGAAAGTCACCTCTTACACTGAATATAGTTTTAGAGAAAGATACACCTAGCCTGGTTTAAATTGTTCTATTTGATTTAGGGCAAAAGATCTTTTGGTAGACTTACTGTATGCAAAGCTATGTCATTGGTGTAAATTTTAAAGTCAACTACATGTACTTAAGAAATATTCTTGAGTAAACTAGTCTAAATAGGCCAAATCAATGTTTGAAGCAGACTTTTGTTGTTTTTTTTAATTTGATATGCAATTTATACAGTAACATGACATTTACAGGAATTTTCAGAATTTTCTGAGAAATTTCTTTTTTTGATTGCTGCCATATATGATAACAATTGGGATGATCAACTCTAAAATATACCGCAGATAACTTATCATTTCTCCCAAGTTTGGCAGCTTACCCTTTTTCTTCCGTCCTTTGCTTTTTCTATTTCTACCATTCCTTCTCTTCCAATCATCATGTTCTTAAGGACTTCGGAAAATTTACCTTTACTGTCCATCTCCAACTGGGAAACTGGTATAAATATAGGGTCCTCTAGAAGCTTAAAATTAAAACCATAAATGTAAATTCATTATAAGATTTACACCATTCAATTAAAACGATATTAAAATCATCACATTGGGAATACTATGCAAAAGATTTTCAAGTTACATGTATGTACTATCATTTGACCTTGATCATAAATGGTTTGTTGTGAATTTAAAGAAGATCTTTAAAGTGGTTATTTTGGAAATATCTTAGAAGATATAAACAAGACTATAAGACATAATTCTAAGTCTGGGTCACATACCTGTGTTTCAGTTGAAGATTGTATGGAATCTGTTTTCAAGCATATAGTCAGTTTTATTATAAAATGTAAGTACAATCAGATATTAAAAAAAAATAATCTGTAAGACAGTGGTGATCACCTTTATATATTAAAACTATTTTATGAAGGTGCTTCAGCTAATCTTTATCTTAATGTAAGTTTGGGTTTATATTGTCATTGGAAAAATTTCAGCTGCAAGTATGGGCTTAAGTTATCATTGAAGAAATTTCATTAATTTAAAAAAAAACATTCAGTTAACATGTCATCTTCAAAGTTTAAAATTTTTCTTGGTTTCAGATTTTTTCATTTAAAAAACTTACATTTGTACTTGGCTTCAGTTTTGGATGATAAATTGTCTCCCCTTGATCATTTATTAAGAAGGAAATAACATTTCCCCACTGATGTTTCTTCAGAAAGTTCTCAATCTCATCCAGTGTAGCATCTACTCCAACTACTCCTATTGTCCTAATTATAACAATTAATTATTAAACTACACAAAGCATTATCTAAAAAGTAATTATCTAATAACATAATGTGCTATGACAATATATCCATGTGGATTTGGTAATGTCTCAGTGGTCTCTTGATAGCATGCTAGCATTGAAAATATTTTTGTAATAATAAATTGGTATTTTTTGCTTCTGTCTATTCAAGCTATGATTTATAGATGTTAAAAATATTCAACAACAATTTCTTCTATATTCATCAATGAAATCTATTTTGAGAGAAAGACAAACCATTCAGCAATTAAAAAGAGGTCTTTCTAGAACGTTGGTATTTTCAAACAGGTCAAAATTACAGCATGGTACTTTCAATAACAAAGATGTAATTACGCTCAACTTACTTGCTATCTGAGTCTAGATTGCTTATGACTGGGACAGCATATGTCACCATCAAACCAAGGCCCCAGGCATCTAAATAAGGTGATGTCCACAAAGGTTCTGTGCTTCTGGCATTAGATGACAAGAAATCAAAATAATTATTCATCTGTGAGATTAAATTTTCACCAGTGGTTAGTTTGGTAAAGCTGCCTCTATGCCCACAAGCCAACTTGCCTGGAAACTCTTCAGCATCATCTTTAATTAAATAACTAAATAATCTTGCCTGAAAATGTGTAATAATCATGTCAATAATATCTACATTTAAGGTAGCACTACAGTCAGACTTTTCTGACTCCAACCAACAGTCTTCAAAGATTAATTTCTCAAAAACCACTCAATGGATTTTTTAAATCTTTAACTCATTTTAAAGCTGAAATGTTAATCTTTCTTAATCTATAGATAAAGCTATTTTTGGTATACCGGTAACCGATTAAAAAATATATCTCATGAACTGCCAAAAAAGTGCTCTCCAAACTTGGATGAAATTAGCACATTCAGGTCAAATGGTAGTAAAATCTGTTTTCATCCCTTTAATTGACCATACACAAGCTACAAAACTGTGTCTCAGATTTTTGATATATGCCTCCAATTAGAAGATATATTGATTTAACTGCTGGGTGCCAAACCTCATTTCACCTTTCATTTTTGGAGACCTATAAATTCATTCAGAAACAAATTATCCAAAAACTGGGACACCGTTTTGTAGAAAATACCCCCTTTAATCACATACATCAAAGCCAAACCAAAGGGGGCCCCCATAAATATTCTATTTTCATTTTTTGATGACAATTCCCATGAAAAATTGTTTTGAAAAATCATCTTCAAACTGAATATCCTCCTTTGAACCCCTAAAAATGCAACATAAATATAAACATTCCTCTGGGAACACCCCAGGAGTGTTTTGACACCATTATTTTATCAATAGAACCACACAGTTTGTGTCTTTTGTACACTTAAACTGTAAATTTTGCATGATTTGTGCACTGTCCATCCCTTAAATAAACTAATTTAGCATTTGGCGGGAGTTTGACGTCACAGATTTGACCAACATCTGTAATTTAGTAATTAAATATGGTCAAAGCTCCTCCCCTGTCCAGAGAGTATAAGATAAGAGAATATTAAGAGTGATCAGTTGCATATTATCAATATTTAACATAATTCTCACTATGAAATAATAATTATAACTCATACTGTAAAAGCAGAAATTTTCGTGGAGGATTTAATTTCGTTTATTTCGTGGAAAGAATATATCCACGAAATTAAAACCCCCACGAAAATTTAATCTACATATAATATCACTTCCATTTACTGGAAACCACAAAATTAAATCCCCATGAAATCTTATAAAGAGACAAAACCACGAAATTTTAACCCCACGAAAATTAATGTTTCTACAGTATTTAAAAAGAAATATATGGTACTGTGAAATTAACTAGAAACTTAAAACTATGCAATAAAAGATTTGTTCATACTACCTACTGTCCTCTACAAAATAGAACAGATACTTCTTATAGTACAAGTTAAAAAATACTATTATCTAGATGATTTGTCTAGAATAAGGATAGTTGCTGGTGTCAGATTCAGATTCAAATTCTTTTGCTTTAGTAAGAACATTTGTCAGGGCTTTCAAATTTATTTTGAAGCTACTCTTACACATTTATATCTATCTATATGTGTCTTCACTTCAGATTTTATTCCCTCTACATTTTTCTCTCTTTTAAATTTTCTTTGTTTACCTCCATTATTACATAAATTAAGTTTGATTGCAACATAATAAGATAAGACCACATTATTTTTCTTGTGGTCAGAGATAAACAGCTGGACACTTGGTATCAACTGAAGATTGAAAGATTAGCTCCTCCCATATACTCTTATATGTAAAGTATTTACCATGTGCTTTTATTTACATAATTTAATTATTAATTTACTCCCTGTTGTGACATCAAAATGACTCTGGGATTTTTACAAAATGTTCAGATGGATAAATACTTTAAAATAATGGGATAAAAAAAAATTCACTAAAAAATCATCATTAGACTGTATAGTGCTACCTTAAGCAAAAACATAAAAGATCAGAAACTGTCAATATTTTCAATTTCAGGGAATCAGCTTGTTGAACTCTACCTATACAGCTTACTGTTAGACCTTAACACTTTATGTAGACCTGGCTCTCGGTCATAAAACTTTACTCAGTACTCTGAGTACCAAATGTGTGCTCGAAACACCAAATTCAGTATTTTGATTGGTTGATTTCTAATTCTTAGTATAATAATCGTGCTTGAAATTTTTGTGACTTACCATATTTTTTCTTTAAAAGCTAATAGTAAATTTTAAGTTGCATTTAATATGAGAGGCAAAAGATAGATAAGGGACATTCAAACTCATAAGTCGAAAATGAACTGACAATGTAATGGCAAAAAAAGAAAAGGACCAAAAACCATATCAACAGTGTACAAAACACAGAATAGAAAACTAAAGAATGAGAAACATGAACCCCACCAAATACCGGGGGTGATCTCAGGTGCTCCCTAAGGGTAAGCAGATCCTGCTCCACATGTGGCATCTGTCGTGTTGCTCATGTCAATACAAATCGGGTGATAAATCTAATTCGGTAGGTCACATTCTAGGAAAAGAGGACAGAGTTGTGGTTATGACAATTGGAACATATCCGTCGTCATCTGTGAATCAGATATTCCATAACAATAAACCAACTTGTGGTGGCATCCATAAAATGTTTGAAGGGATGATTTCAACTTAATCACTTGGAACTTTTGGGTTTAATAGCTTCCTTGTGAGCAGCAACTCTCTAATTACCTGTGGGTTGAGGTACTTCTGTTTTTCTTCAGCTACATCCCATACTAGTGTCCAGTTATATTTACATACAGGTCCAGGTACAAATCCACTTCTTGTATAGTAACCTGTAAGTAGTAGAGGCTTTATACTTAGAATCATTTTCTTTTTAGCAGATAAAATAAGTGGACTTCTGCGAGATGTATGAAGGATCATTCAAATAACTACCATTTCACAAAAATTTCTTAACATTCATGATCATAGAATGTAATTATTAGAGCAGATTACTTTATAATACACAATTAAGCAGATGACTTAGTTCTTTTTGCCATTGTTATGAATAATATTTTCAACAAAATCTGTTGAGATAAATTGAAAATACTGCAAAATCTTTCTAACATTGATTAGATTTTTGGAAAAAGGATTTTTGATCAAGTCTTCTAACCATGTTTTAAAAAGAAAATTGTGTTAATTCTTTTTTTTTTTATTTAGCAAAATACTTTGACAATAACTTACCAGGTCCACATCTAACACTTTCAGCATCTGTATCTTTACCATCAGTGACAAATACAATAATAGACTGACATCCTGTCCTGGGACTTCGAGTAAGTAGGTCATACCCAATAGTAAATCCCTTTCTAAAATTAAAATTTACTGGTACATGTCAAAATTAACTCAATCTATGACAATTACAATGATAAATCTACACAAAGGTAATAAAAGTAGAAAGTAAAAAATAAATTCATATTGAAGTAAGCAGAAATATATAAAGAAAGCTACTACATACTCAAGTTCACTTGTGCCACCTGCTTTAAGCTTCTGAATCTTTTCTATGATATCCTTACGATGAGCATTAGTAGCAGGCACCAACTTTTCTTCACGGCAGCTGAGAACATCTGTAGAATAGGCATGCCACCTGTAATGAAAAAAGAAAAGATTCATTTATTTTATTTTTGGTTCAAGTTGTTTGTTAAGTAAACACAATTCTTTTAGTTGAAGATGTAATTGCATTCAACTGTTTGAACCAAGATAGAAAAACACTGACCCCCCAAAAAAATACCCAAACACTGACACATCTATCTACATGTGAGTTCTCCCCAAAAGAAATACCCAAACACTGGCACATCTATTTACATGGAAAAGCCTCATCTATATAACAAATTACTCGCCTTAACATCCCAATACATACATCATTGCCATAGTCAAGTTTTGTCAATGTTTTAATCACAATTTACACATACACTTACTTGCCAACATCATCCCAGTATGATTCTCTGGCACATATAACACTGACATAGTCCTGTTTTGTCAGTGTTTTAATCACAATCTACACATACACTTACTTGCCAACATCATCCCAGTATGATTCTCTGGCACATATAACACTGACATAGTCCTGTTTTGTCAGTGTTTTAATCACAATCTACACATACACTTACTTGCCAACATCATCCCAGTATGATTCTCTGGCACATATAACACTGACATAGTCCTGTTTTGTCAGTGTTTTAATCACAATCTACACATACACTTACTTGCCAACATCATCCCAGTATGATTCTCTGGCACATATAACACTGACATAGTCCTGTTTTGTCAATGTTTTAATCACAATCTACATAATACACTTACTTGCCAACATCATCCCAGTATGATTCTCTGGCACATATAACACTGACATAGTCCTGTTTTGTCAATGTTTTAATCACAATCTACATAATACACTTACTTGCCAACATCATCCCAGTATGATTCTCTGGCACATATAACACTGACATAGTCCTGTTTTGTCAATGTTTTAATCACAATCTACATAATACACTTACTTGCCAACATCATCCCAGTATGAGTCTCTGGCACATATAACACTGACATAGTCCTGTTTTGTCAATGTTTTAATCACAATCTACACATACACTTACTTGCCAACATCATCCCAGTATGAGTCTCTCGCACATATAACACTGACATAGTCCTGTTTTGTCAATGTTTTAATTACAATCTACATAATACACTTACTTGCCAACATCATCCCAGTATGAGTCTCTCGCACATATAACACTGACATAGTCCTGTTTTGTCAATGTGTTAATCACTGTTTTGGCTACACCTTTAGCTATACTGAATTTTTCACCATCCATTGACAGACTGAAAGAAAAAATAATTTAAACATTACATATGCAAAGTTATCATGGTTTATGAATTTGGTGATGTCTTAGGGTTAGATGAAGAGTCAATTACCAATCCGCTATTGTGTGATGCCTTATCACTTGTGTTGTACCACAATTATTTACAGTAACATTTTTTAGCATTCATTTCATTCGTTTTTCCCAGCGTATATTTTCCGTGAAAGTGGGTCATACTTATGTTCACTTTTGCACACTTGCTTGTTATGTGGAATGATCTTTCATAGTTACAACATAATTACCTTATTCAGACGTTATTAATGCATCCTATTTAATCCATATTTATCCTTTTATAAAGTTAGAACTATCCCAAATCCTACTTGTCAACTAGAAGGTCACGTTGGTTTACTTTCACATTTGTGTATTTTTAGCGTGTATTGAGTGATGTCGTCTAACAAACGTTTTTAGAAAGTTTAGTCAGTTTCAAATTAGTAACCAGACAGAACAGCTGATTTTGACAGTTAACAGTATTTTATTATTCAGGTATTTTTGCACACAATGCAAATTATTTCACATATATTGTAATTTATTTATAATAATTAACAACTATTATTAATGATATCAGCTTTTAATAAAGCTGTTTTTATTTATCTAAACAAATCTTGTTTCTAGTTTTCCAAAGTTTGGACTTTCAAAACAGTTTAATACTGTGACTTTTATAATTAATATTTGCATAATATCTGTCAACCATTTATAATAATGGTTGGCGTATCAACTTGATATAACGTATCAACATATTTCATATAGGAGACACACAATGGGTGTCACATGTGGAGCAGGATCTACTTACCCTTCTGGAGCACCTGAGATCACCCCAGGTTTTGGTGGAGTTTGTGTTGCTCAGTCTTTAATTTTCTATGTTGTGTTTTGTGTATTGTTGTTTGTGTTTTGGTCTTTTTCTTTTTTAGCCATGGCATTGTCAGTTTATTTTCGAATTATGAGTTTGAATGTCCCTTTGGTATCTTTCGCCTCTCTTTTTTATCAGTTTTTGCACAGATTACTAGTTGAGAAATGCAATGTATAATCCTTTATTTGCTTCAAATGGGAGACTTTAACATTTGACATTTTAGTTAATCAAATCCTTTTGATTTTACAGACTAAAAAATTCCAAGATATTCTCTTTCTTCCCTATATTTCTATATGATTGACATACTCTGTAATATTCTTACCTACAATCTAAGATAATGACAACATCTTTTGGTCCACTTGTAGCAGCAATATACCAAGGTCTAACTCTAGGATCATAATCATTGTAAAATCCAGCAAAATTTGTAGACCATTCTCTTCCTGGATAAATTCTTACAATGCCTGCTGTTGATCCAAAGTACTGCCATCTTTTAATATAAATATTTTATAAATTATAGAAGGTTATCATCATGAAATATTTTCCTATACTTACATAGGTTACAATCTCAACTCTGATATCTCTTTATTATGCAGAAAAAAACACAAGAGAACAGCTGCCAAATTGGCAGTATATTGTGTTTTCTCACTAAGGGATTACATCAGTTAATCATAATTTCAAGCAGACACTAGTCCACTCATCATACTTAAATAATTTAATAACTATATTTTTTGCCAGAAAATTAAGTTAAAATAGCTCTGCTTCAACTCGTAAGCATGAAAAATGTAAATTCATTGTGTTTGCTTCTCATGCTTACAACATTAATCCTAATATTTTTTAGCCGCTCTAGTTTGTTCCTTATATTTTTTTTAATGCATTTAAAGAATTTACAACTCTATATTTCTCAATATTCTTCAAAGACTTTAATCTAAAATTCAAGCCTGGTAACAAATTTTGGTATTCTTGTTATTTCTTAAATATTTTTCATACTTCTTTTTATTCGTAATTTTTTCCAAATACATTTTGTAAGAAAAAGTTAGAGACATCTTTTTTTCCCAAATAAAGTTCTTTTTTTTCAAGAGCTTGTATCTATAAATGTGGAAAGTGTCCACATGTGGATACAGATGATGCCACCACTTGCATATCATATAGTTATAAAGGGACATAACTAAAGAACGGTAAAAGTGACGCTACCCAAATTTGAACTTGATCTGAGTTTTGTGGTAATAAGCATTGTGTGTAAGTCTCATAACACTTGGTTGAGGCTAACTTAAGTAGAGAACAGAAACTAAAAATTCAGCAATTTTTCTATTTGTAAACTCACATAACTCTAGAACGGTTGTGCATAAGTTTTATAACATTTGGTTGAGACAAACTAAAGTTAGAGAACGGAAATTAAAAATTCAGCAATTTTTATGTTTATAAAGGGACATAACTCAAGAATGGTAAAAGTGTCGCCACCAAATTTCGTACTTAATCTGTATTATGTAGTAATAAGCATTGTGTATAAGTTTCATAACATTTGGTTGAGGCAAACTAAAGTTAGATAACGGAAACAAAAAATTTGTACTTGATCTTAGTTTTGTGGTAATGAATATTGTGTATAGGTTTCATAATGTTTGGTTGGAGCAAACTTAAGTTACAGAATGGAAACTAAAAACTTTGCAATCTTTCGATTTATACAGGGGCATAACTCAATAATGGTTAAAGTGACACTACCCAAATTCAACTTGATCTGTATTTTATCAGTGGAAGTCAAAATTAAACATTGCATTGTATAAAGCATTGATTGTAGTTGATTCAACTATAATCATGGACAAAGAAAGATAACTCCAATTTTAATAAAATGCTCCGCTGGGCGCAGCTTGATACACCGCAGAGGTCGAACCCTGAACAGTTGGGGCAAGTATGGACACAACATTCAAGCTTGATACAGCACTGAATTTGGATTGTGATTAAATATTTGACACAGCATAGGTTTCTGACACAGAATGAATGTGGTCTAAGAACTTAAAACCTTTTAATTTACCTATTCAAACCATATCATTATTATTTGCTTTTATATATAAATCAGAAATAACCAATTTAAAATGGAAAATTTTAAAGAAAAAAAAACAAAAAAAAGGAAAAAAAAATCCCTCCCCCAAATTTTTTGAACCCCCTTATGATTCATCACCCCCAAACTCAATCCCAGCCTTCCCTTTGTGGTATGGTACCTTGCAGTACAATTTTAGAGAGATCCATACACTTGAACACAAGTTATTGTCTGGAAACTAGAAAAATGCTTGTTTTTAGGCCCCTTTTTGGCCCCAAATTCCTAAACGTTTTGGGCAATTACCCCCAAACTCAAACCAAGCTTTCCCTTTGTGACATGGAACCTTGTAGTACAATTTCATAAAGATCCATACATTTACACACAAGTTATTGTCATGAAACTAGAAAAATGCTTGTTTTTTGCCCCTTTTTGGCCCCTAATTCCTAAAATTTTGAAGCAATTACCCCCAAAATCAATCCCAGCCTTCCCTTTGTGGTATGGTACCTTGCAGTACAATTTCAGAGAGATCCATACACTAACACACAAGTTATGTCTGGAAACTAGAAAAATGCTTATTTTTGGCCCCTTTTTCCTAAACGTTTTGGGCAATTACCCCCAAACTCAATTCCAGCTTTCCCTTTGTGATATGGAACCTTGTAGTACAATTTCAGAAAGATCCATACACTTACACACAAGTTAGTCATGAAACTAGAAAAATGCTTGTTTTTTGCCCCTTTTTTTGCCCCTAATTCCTAAAATTTTGAGGCAATTACCCCCAAAATCAATCCCAGCATTCCCTTTGTGATATGGAACCTTGTGGTACAATGTCAGAGAGATCCATACACTAACACACAAGTTATGTCTGGAAGTTACAAAAATGCTTATTTTTGGCCCCTAATTCCTTAACTGTTGGTACCATAACCCCCAAAATCAATCCCAACCTTCCTTTTGTGGTATTGAACCTTATGGTAAAATTTCATAGAGATCCATTCACTTAAACTAAAATTAGAGTGCTAAAACCAATGTGTCTTCTGACGACGACAACATCATACCAATATACGACCGCAAAATTTTTTTGCGGTCGTATAAAAATTACTTGATATTCAGAAGAAAATAAAAATTTTGCAATTTTTCCATTTATAAAGGGGCATAACTCTAGAACGGTTAAAGTGACGCCACCAAAATTCAAACTTGATCTGTGTTTTGTGGTAATAAGCATTGTGTATAAGTTTAATAACATTTGGTTGAGGCAAACTTAAGTTAGAGAATGGAAACTAAAAATTTTGCAATTTTTCCATTTATAAAGGGGCATAACTCTAGAACGATTAAAGTGACGCCACCAAAATTCAAACTTGATCTGTGTTTTGTGGTAATAAGCATTGTGTATAAGTTTCATAACATTTGGTTGAGGCAAACTCAAGTTAGAGAACGGAAACCAATTTTGGGACGTACGTACATACGTTCGTACGTACAGACGGACAAGGGTAAAACTTAATGCCCCCACCGCTATGGCAGGGGCATAAAAAAAAAACATTCTCCAAACTTATCTTTATTTTTCAATAATTTTGATGTACTTTACATTATCTTTTAAAAATAAACTGCTTCGCTGAGCGCAGCAAGATACGCCCGCAGAGTTCCAACCCTGAACAGTTTGGGCAAAAATGGACACAATATTCAAGCTTGATTCAGGTCTGAATTTGGATTGTAATTAAATATTTGACATATTATAGGTTTCTGAATAAATGTAGACAAAGATCTTGAAATTGGTTATATGAATTGAATTTATATTCAATTAAAGATTTCTTGCTGTTGTCAATACTTAGTAAATCTGTTGTCAGACTTTAAACAAATAAAGTTCAATTAATTCTCAATGTCATATTAGAAATTTATGAAAGTAATAAGGGAGCTTACATCAATAGATATAAACAATTCACCAAAGTTTCATGAGAATTGGTGACAGCATTTTTGAGTTATTGTCCGAAAACTGGAAAATCACCCCTTTTTTTAATGAATAAAACCCCATAACTCAGAAATGTAAATTGTAAAATTTATAAAATTCTAAAGGGAGCTTACATCAACACATACAAACAATTCACCAAAGTTTCATAAGAATTGCTGACAGCATTTTTGAGTTTTTGTCCGAAAACTGGAAAATTCCCCCTTTTTTTATGAATAAAACCCTGTAACTCGGAAACGTAAAATCTAAAATTTATAAAAATCGAAAGGGAGCTCATGTCAATAGATATAAACAATTCACCACAATTTCTTGCAAGTTGGTGAAAGCATTCTTGACTTATTGTCTGAAAACTGAAAAATCCCCCTTTTTTAATGAATAAAACCCCATAACTCGGAAACGTAAAATCTAAATTTTATAAAAAACAAAAGGCAGCTCACGTCAATAGATATAAACAATTCACCAAAGCTTTATGCAAATTGGTTAAAGCATTTTTGAGTTAATGTCCGACATGTTGACGACGGACGGACAGACGGACAGACAGACACAGTATACCATAATACGTCCCATAAACGGGCGTATAAAAAAGACACCATTTCTGAAAATGTTCTTATTTTGAATTTCATTAAAAAACATTCTTAAAATATTCTAGAATGCTATCACTTTTAAATCAGCTGATATCAGTATAAATAAGAAGATGTGGTATGGGTGCCAATGAGACAACCCTCCATCCAAGTCAAGTGTATAAAAAGTTATTCATTAGGCTCCTGACTTAGGACAGGTGCATAAAAATGCAGCGGCTTTAAATGTTTTAACAGGCGCCAACCTTCCCCCTAACCTGAGACAGTAGTGTAACATTACAACATAAAAAGACACACTATAAAATATCACTTAAAATGGCTTAAAACAATCAAAAAGACATTTAAACAAAAACAAGTAAACATACACTGAACGAATAAGTTTGATCTATGACACAATATAAATACAATATTAAAACGTAGGTGCCTATATAACATAGACGTTACAGGTAGTAATAAAAAAAAATGTTGGAAGAGTGTCAATAAGACAACTCTTACCTGGGACAAAATGGCGTTAAATAAACAACGTACACAGGTAAATTTAAATAGAATAAAATCAGTGTCCATTTAATGAAAATCATCATCTGTTTGACTAATAATTTTACTACCTGAGAGAAGAATCTTCAGCCTGATTTTGTTTAAACATCTGTTCCAATGCAGCAGTAAAATAGACATTGTTTATAACAATATTATCATCTCTGGGTACTTCATCAGCAATTTTGATTGTAGAATGGTTCCAGATGACCTCTTGCTTGAAATACCTAAGATATAATGTAAAGTTATTCTTTAATGATATTCATTGCTGACTTTGATCATTTTTTTACATATTTTCTTTCAGTGTCCAGTTAATTCAGAAATTGTTAAAAGTTTTTTATTAATGCTTTTAATGTGACTGGGTGAGTATCGCAATAATAAGAACTCACATTCTGATATCTAATACATATATCTGTATGCAGCTTTTCCTTGAAATCACACAATAATCTATCTTGCATTTTTGTCCATTCTTCAAAAATCACAATTATAAGTGCACATAATAATTTCTGAATTTACAGTATATGTAAAAACAGATAAAATCTATTATATGGAATAGTGCAATGAACTTCAATCAATAATACATCGCTAATTATTAACAGAAAGTTATGGAATATATCATATGATTGATTGATTGGTGTTTAACACCACTTTGAGCACTATTCTGCTATTTCCTGGCGGTCAGTTTTTGTTGGTGGAGGAAGCCAGACTGCCCGGAGAGAACCACGACCTTCGGTAATAAAACTGACAATCCTAGTCAATTAAGATTGGAGTCGAGCTCAACTGTAACGTGAGGGATTCGAAATTCACATTCTCAGTGTTGACAGGCTAGTGATGCAGTAGTTCGAATAATTAAACTACTTGGTCACCAAGGCCCCTTTTATGATATGAAACTAAGGAATAAATAATTTTATTATTTCAGTAGAAATATTCTTACGGGATAAACTTGCGATCTTTGGGTAATTTTTCTGGGATATCAGAGTCTACATAGAAAGTCTCATTTAATGCTGACAAAGATTTCAATTGTAAACTTCTGTTCTCTGACAAAAACGTGTCATACAATTCTCCTACTTCTACTGCAAGTCTCTAAAAAATAAAATATACAGGAAATAATTCATGTCTTTGTTTAAGTTATAATTTCATTTACGAATTCAACCACAATAAAATGCTTCGCTGGGCGCAGCTTGATACGACCACAGAGGTCGAACCCTGAACAGTTGGGGCAAGATATGGACACAACATTCAAGCTTGATACAGCTCTGAATTTGGATTGTGATTAAATATTTGACACAGCATAGGTTTCGGACACAGAAAGAATGTGGTCTAAGAACTTGAATTTTTTTAATTTACCTATTATGGTCCAATGTTTAAAATCAAAATACATGGTTAGATTCAGCATATCAAAGAACCCCATATATTCAATATTTGTTGAAATCAAACAAAAATTTAATTTTGGACCCCAACTTGGACAATATTGGCCCATAATCAAAAATCTAAACACATGTTTAGATTCAGCATATCAAAGAACCCCAAGAATTCAATTTTTGTTAAAATCAAACTAAGTTTAATTCTGAACACTTTGGACCTTAATGTAGACCAATTTAAAAAACGGTACCCAAAATTAAAAATCTAAATACACAGTTAGATTTGGAATATCAAAGAACACCAATAATTCAATTTTTGATGAAATCAAACAAAGTTTAATTTTGGACCCTTTGGACCTTAATGTAGACCAATTTAAAAAACGGAACCCAAAATTAAAAATCTAAAAACACAGTTAGATTTGGCATATCAAAGAACCCTAATAATTCAATTTTTGATGAAATCAAACAAAGTTTAATTTTGGACCCTTTTGACCTCAATATGAACCAATTTGATAGAGGGGCCCACAAATAAAAAATCCAAATACATGGTTAGATTCAGCATATCAAAGAACCCCATATATTCAATTTTTGTTGAAATCAAACAAAGTTTAATTTTGGACCCCAATTTGGACCAACTTGAAAACTGGGCCAAAAATCTAAAATCTAAATACATGTTTAGATTCAGCATATCAAAGAACCCCATATATTCAATATTTGTTGAAATCAAACAAAAATTTAATTTTGGACCCAAACTTGGACAATATTGGCCCATAATCAAAAATCTAAACACATGTTTAGATTCAGCATATCAAAGAACCCCAAGAATTCAATTTTTGTTAAAATTAAACTAAGTTTAATTCTGGACACTTTGGACCTTAATGTAGACCAATTTAAAAAACGGTACCCAAAATTAAAAATCTAAATACACAGTTAGATTTGGAATATCAAAGAACCCCAATAATTCAATTTTTGATGAAATCAAACAAAGTTTAATTTTGGACCATTTTGACCTCAATATGAACCAATTTGATAGCGGGGCCCACAAATAAAAAATCTAAATACATGGTTAGATTCAGCATATCAAAGAACCCCATATATTCAATTTTTGTTGAAATCAAAAAAAGTTTAATTTTGGACCCCAACTTGGACCAACTTGAAAACTGGGCCCATAATCAAAAATCTAAACACATGTTTAGATTCAGCATATCAAAGAACCCCAAAAATTCAATTTTTGTGAAAATCAAACTAAGTTTAATTTTGGACCCTTTGGACCTTAATGTAGACCAATTTAAAAAACGGAACCCAAAAATTAAAAATCTAAAAACACAGTTAGATTTGGCATATCAAAGAACCCTAATAATTCAATTTTTGATGAAATCAAACAAAGTTTAATTTTGGACCCTTTTGACCTCAATATGAACCAATTTGATAGAGGGGCCCACAAATAAAAAATCTAAATACATGGTTAGATTCAGCATATCAAAGAACCCCATATATTCAATTTTTGTTGAAATCAAACAAAGTTTAATTTTGGACCCCAATTTGGACCAACTTGAAAACTGGGCCAAAAATCTAAAATCTTAATACATGTTTAGATTCAGCATATCAAAGAACCCCATATATTCAATATTTGTTGAAATCAAACAAAAATTTAATTTTGGACCCCAACTTGGACAATAATGGCCCATAATCAAAAATCTAAACACATGTTTAGATTCAGCATATCAAAGAACCCCAAGAATTCAATTTTTGTTAAAATCAAACTAAGTTTAATTCTGGACACTTTGGACCTTAATGTAGACCAATTTAAAAAACGGTACCCAAAATTAAAAATCTAAATACACAGTTAGATTTGGAATATCAAAGAACCCCAATAATTCAATTTTTGATGAAATCAAACAAAGTTTAATTTTGGACCATTTTGACCTCAATATGAACCAATTTGATAGCGGGGCCCACAAATAAAAAAATCTAAATACATGGTTAGATTCAGCATATCAAAGAACCCCATATATTCAATTTTTGTTGAAATCAAAAAAAGTTTAATTTTGGACCCCAACTTGGACCAACTTGAAAACTGGGCCCATAATCAAAAATCAAAACACATGTTTAGATTCAGCATATCAAAGAACCCCATATATTCAATATTTGTTGAAATCAAACAAAAATTTAATTTTGGACCCCAACTTGGACAATATTGGCCCATAATCAAAAATCTAAACACATGTTTAGATTCAGCATATCAAAGAACCCCAAGAATTCAATTTTTGTTAAAATCAAACTAAGCTTAATTCTGGACACTTTGGACCTTAATGTAGACCAATTTAAAAAACGGTACCCAAAATTAAAAATCTAAATACACAATTAGATTTGGAATATCAAAGAACCCTAATAATTCAATTTTTGATGAAATCAAACAAAGTTTAATTTTGGACCCTTTTGACCTCAATATGAACCAATTTGATAGCGGGGCCCACAAATAAAAAATCTAAATACATGGTTAGATTCAGCATATCAAAGAACCCCATATATTCAATTTTTGTTGAAATCAAAAAAAGTTTAATTTTGGACCCCAATTTGGACCAACTTGAAAACTGGGCCCATAATCAAAAATCTAAACACATGTTTAGATTCAGCATATCAAAGAACCCCAAGAATTCAATTTTTGTTAAAATCAAACTAAGTTTAATTTTGGACCCTTTGGACCTTAATGTAGACCAATTTAAAAAACGGGACCCAAAATTAAAAATCTAAAAACATGGTTAGATTTGGCATATCAAAGAACCCTAATAATTCAATTTTTGATGAAATCAAACAAAGTTTAATTTTGGACCCTTTTGACCTCAATATGAACCAATTTGATAGAGGGGCCCACAAATAAAAAATCTAAATACATGGTTAGATTCAGCATATCAAAGAACCCCATATATTCAATTTTTGTTGAAATCAAACAAAGTTTAATTTTGGACCCCAATTTGGACCAACTTGAAAACTGGGCCAAAAATCTAAAATCTAAATACATGTTTAGATTCAGCATATCAAAGAACCCCAAGAATTCAATTTTTGTTAAAATCAAACTAAGTTTAATTCTGAACACTTTGGACCTTAATGTAGACCAATTTAAAAAACGGTACCCAAAATTAAAAATCTAAATACACAGTTAGATTTGGAATATCAAAGAACACCAATAATTCAATTTTTGATGAAATCAAACAAAGTTTAATTTTGGACCATTTTGACCTCAATATGAACCAATTTGATAGCGGGGCCCACAAATAAAAAATCTAAATACATGGTTAGATTCAGCATATCAAAGAACCCCATATATTCAATTTTTGTTGAAATCAAAAAAAGTTTAATTTTGGACCCCAACTTGGACCAACTTGAAAACTGGGCCCATAATCAAAAATCTAAACACATGTTTAGATTCAGCATATCAAAGAACCCCAAAAATTCAATTTTTGTTAAAATCAAACTAAGTTTAATTTTGGACCCTTTGGACCTTAATGTAGACCAATTTAAAAAACGGAACCCAAAATTAAAAATCTAAAAACACAGTTAGATTTGGCATATCAAAGAACCCTAATAATTCAATTTTTGATGAAATCAAACAAAGTTTAATTTTGGACCCTTTTGACCTCAATATGAACCAATTTGATAGAGGGGCCCACAAATAAAAAATCTAAATACATGGTTAGATTCAGCATATCAAAGAACCCCATATATTCAATTTTTGTTGAAATCAAACAAAGTTTAATTTTGGACCCCAATTTGGACCAACTTGAAAACTGGGCCAAAAATCTAAATACATGTTTAGATTCAGCATATCAAAGAACCCCATATATTCAATATTTGTTGAAATCAAACAAAAATTTAATTTTGGACCCCAACTTGGACAATATTGGCCCATAATCAAAAATCTAAACACATGTTTAGACTCAGCATATCAAAGAACCCCAAGAATTCAATTTTTGTTAAAATCAAACTAAGTTTAATTCTGGACACTTTGGACCTTAATGTAGACCAATTTAAAAAACGGTACCCAAAATTAAAAATCTAAATACACAGTTAGATTTGGAATATCAAAGAACCCCAATAATTCAATTTTTGATGAAATCAAACAAAGTTTAATTTTGGACCATTTTGACCTCAATATGAACCAATTTGATAGCGGGGCCCACAAATAAAAAATCTAAATGCATGGTTAGATTCAGCATATCAAAGAACCCCATATATTCAATTTTTGTTGAAATCAAAAAAAGTTTAATTTTGGACCCAAACTTGGACCAACTTGAAAACTGGGCCCATAATCAAAAATCTAAACACATGTTTAGATTCAGCATATCAAAGAACCCCATATATTCAATATTTGTTGAAATCAAACAAAAATTTAATTTTGGACCCCAACTTGGACAATATTGGCCCATAATCAAAAATCTAAACACATGTTTAGATTCAGCATATCAAAGAACCCCAAGAATTCAATTTTTGTTAAAATCAAACTAAGTTTAATTCTGGACACTTTGGACCTTAATGTAGACCAATTTAAAAAACGGTACCCAAAATTAAAAATCTAAATACACAATTAGATTTGGAATATCAAAGAACCCTAATAATTCAATTTTTGATGAAATCAAACAAAGTTTAATTTTGGACCCTTTTGACCTCAATATGAACCAATTTGATAGCGGGGCCCACAAATAAAAAATCTAAATACATGGTTAGATTCAGCATATCAAAGAACCCCATATATTCAATTTTTGTTGAAATCAAAAAAAGTTTAATTTTGGACCCCAACTTGGACCAACTTGAAAACTGGGCCCATAATCAAAAATCTAAACACATGTTTAGATTCAGCATATCAAAGAACCCCAAGAATTCAATTTTTGTTAAAATCAAACTAAGTTTAATTTTGGACCCTTTGGACCTTAATGTAGACCAATTTAAAAAACGGTACCCAAAATTAAAAATCTAAAAACACGGTTAGATTTGGCATATCAAAGAACCCCAATAATTCAATTTTTGATGAAATCAAACAAAGTTTAATTTTGGACCCTTTTGACCGCAATATGAACCAATTTGATAGAGGGGCCCACAAATAAAAAATCTAAATACATGGTTAGATTCAGCATATCAAAGAACCCCATATATTCAATTTTTGTTGAAATCAAACAAAGTTTAATTTTGGACCCCAATTTGGACCAACTTGAAAACTGGGCCAAAAATCTAAAATCTAAATACATGTTTAGATTCAGCATATCAAAGAACCCCTTGTATTCAATTTTTGTTGAAATCAAACAAAGTTTAATTTTGGACCCAAGTTTGGACCAACTTGAAAACTGGGCCCATAATCAAAAATCTAAACACATGTTTAGATTCAGCATATCAAAGAACCCCAAGAATTCAATTTTTGTTAAAATCAAACTAAGTTTAATTTTGGACCCTTTGGACCTTAATGTAGACCAATTTAAAAAACGGGACCCAAAATTAAAAATATAAATACACGGTTAGATTCGGCATAACAAATAATAAATGTGGTCAAAGATTATACAAATCTAATGCGCCATACTGTGCAATTAAAGATTACTTCTTGAAATTTTTCAATATTTGAAATTTGAAAAAAAAAATAATATTTGAAGAATAATTCTTTTTAAATTCTGAAATCTGAAATGAGAAAAAATTTGACCCCCCACAATTTCTTTTTACCCCCCCCCCCCCCCTTTTTTCCCCCAAAAAATTCTTTCCCTCAAGATATGGTCATAATCTCAATTCAAATTTCCAATGGAGTTTGCAACCATAATTACCCATTTAAATTTACCATAGTGCTAACTTAATCTATTTTATAATAGAATTTTAAATATAGTGTCAAATCTTTCATATGGATTTTTTTGTAAAAAAAAAAGATGCAACATTTGCAGATATTTTTACTGGCCTTCCATTATAAATATGCATTTCTTTAAACATAATTTAAAAGCAGTGTAACATGGTGTAAGGGAAGTAACCAAAAAGTTGTATTTGGATTACCTCCCTTACACTGTTTTAAATTATCTTAATTGTTCATTAACCATTACTTTATACATAATTTAAAAGCAGTGTAAGGGAGATAATTTCAATGATGTATTTGATTTATCTCCCTTACACTGCTTTGTACTAAAGTATTTATCCATTAACCAGGACAACCTTGTTTTTCCCCCTTTTTTGCCCATAATTCCTAAACGGTTTGAGCCATAACCGCCCAAAGCAAATCCTAACCATCCCTTTGTGGTATGGAAACTTGTAGTATAATTTCAGAGAGATCCATACACCGTTCCACAGTTATTGTCTGGAAACTAGAAAATGCTTATTTTTGGCCCCTTTTTGGCCCCTAATTCCTTAACTGTTGGTACCATAACCCCCAAAATCAATCCCAACCTTCCTTTTGTGGTATTTAACCTTATGGTAAAATTTCAAAGAGATCCATTCACTTAAACTAAAGTTAGAGTGCAAAAACCAATGTGTCTTCGGACGACGACGACGACAACGCCAACGTCATACCAATATACGACCGCAAAAATTTTTTGCGGTCGTATAAAAAGGAAGCTGTGAAAAATATCAAACTGATGTGAACATATGTATCATAGTAAGATCAAAGAATGAATACGAAAAATATTTTATTCATACATGTTAACTTTTATCTTGCTTGATGAATACTAAACAAATGATTGCAAATATACTTTTTTAGCAAAGCTGCATTATTTTCATAGGTTTGATATAAAACCTGATCTGATTATTACTATGGAAAGCCTACATATACAGTATAATGTGAATGACTGTGCAGGTAGTTTCACTTTAAGAGTGAAGAGGATTCCCGGTAATTGTTTTCAAAAAAACAAAATGCAATAACAATACCTGTGCAGCTCTTTCCTTTTTATTGAAGTAATCACTCAGCTTTTCTTTCACTTGTTTGACAATTTCTTTTCCATTTTTCTGTTCAAAGGTGTATGTAGCATTATCCAAGTAACCCTGGGAGAAATCTCTACAGATCCCATCATTAGCTAGCTGTAAATCAAGTAAAATAGAACATTCTGGAGAATTCTAATGCTAATTTTTCCCATGAGTTAAAGAATGAATGCATACAATTATTTTTTTGATAATCTTTATTCATCTTCTACAAAAGTAATGATTTAAAACTAACAGAAAAGAATGTTATCACTCTTGTATGGCCAGTTCAAACTTTGTATAAGTATAATTTTGTCTTTTGGTACTAATTAGCTGATCATAAAATATATATATACAAAATTTAACCTTTTCTAAAAGAGATACATTGTACATAGCTACCGGTATTTGTGTCATGCCTATTAATGTGAAATTTATATTCTAATAATGCATATTTACTGACTATACATGTACATGTATATGTATGTGTTGATTAGATGTTATTGGTAATGTATAATTTCACATTTCATCAGTATACATTATGGTATCGATTTTACCTGCAAAATGTAGTTTTCTATCAGTTGAGCCCAGTTTTGTACATCTCCTTCTAATCTACCCATATCATATCTTTCCTCTCCAGGATAACATGTGAAGTCCTTTGGTAAGATAATCAACAGTATGGTAAACACAGATGAGAAATATAAATAATACATCATCTGTCACATGGATGTCACCCGCTATTTCGTTTTAAAGATGTCTCATCTGAAAAAACAAACCTGGTATATGATAAGTAAATTGATTCATAAAATTAACAAATTCACAGTTCCACACAATCATGACAATAATCAAATTGAAAGGAAAAGACATGAAATCTATTGATTTGTGCCTACCAGCCTATATAAACATGGTAGACAAACTTGCTTGTTGACAAGCTTGGGGTGTTGAAGGATAATTCAGGGTTAGAAATTAGAACTAGCCTATCACCCAGGGTGTATCTTACTACTAAACAAGTAATTTTTGGGTTACAAAAATGCATGACAGGCTAGCACAAAAAAAGTGAGTGAAACATTTGCTCCCCATGTGCGAGTTAGAGATGTATTTGGGGAATCAGTGCTGATACTTTGTAACTCGCAAAGTGTGGTTAATTCATCACTCTGGTAAATCTGCCATTCAAGTACTTCTGTTTATTTCATTACTATTCATAGTGTCTGCTATAGTTTGGATCAATTTCTTGGAAATATATATCATATATAATGTATCATGTATACATTAAATTACTTAGATAATATAAAGAAATGATAATTCCATTTTAATATGGATGTTTATGCAATATGTTAAATCTTCCATTCAAAGATGATATACCAGTACAGAAAAATACAGATTTAGGTTGTTCAAATGTCAGCATTTAGCATATTTTTTTTTCCATAAAGGATTGAGCTTTACAAAGGCATTTTAGAACCTTTTATAAAAAGCATATATGACGGCATTTTTATGACATAAGAAAATCGAAAATTAATTGGAAATACATGTAGTAAAAAGACGCAGTAAGCTTTGACGGAAAAATCTAAGCACATCAAAACATTACAGGATATAGCACGCTCACATGGTCTCCAGTCCTTCTTAATACCAAAAAGATCAAAGGGAAACAGCATGATATTGTCACGATAACGTCATACATGTAAATTTAATAACGTAATCATGTGAATTAAAACTCAAACATGATTTAAACATTTAAGATATATAATGAATAGAAAATAACTTGATTGTCTTTTCGTTTTATAAAAAATTACTTTCTTTATTGGAAAATTTAATTTTGACACACTTTCTACTGGAAATAAGTCGGATCAAAGAACTGGAAATCTTGCGACTAGTTTCCGTGCGGTTACACTGTCTTAGGATAAATGTATAAATTATTGACCACAATTTGTTTAGACCAAGTATAAATAAATTTGACGATCTTTTCTCCATTACTTGTCAATTTGAACTTCAAATATATATATGTTAAAAATTTCAAATAACATAGAAAGGACGTTATATAAATGGTTGAGCAGTGCTCTAATTTTGGTCGGACAAGAGCTTTAAATGCATCATCGCAGCATGAGCTTTAACATTTGTTTAACTTTAGGTGAGGCTATTTTAAGGTTTCTGCAAATAAATCCAAGAGACTGGTTTGCTTTTAATGTCATGTTATCAATATATTTATCCCATTTTAAGTTTGATTGAAGAGTTGGGCCTAAATATTTTGTAGAATCAACTTTTTTGAGAGAGTGATTTTATGTAATTTGTAAGTGAAGTCTAAAGGTTTTCGTTTTTGTGTTACACTGGGAATGTTGCATTTATCAAATAGTTGGTTTTACATGCTCTGAGCACTGAGCTCATGTTGTACTACAATGTATTTATAAGTTCCGACTTGATTTGATATTAAAATGCTATATTTGTTATTGCATTAAAGCATTTTATATATTTGCTTTTGTCATTGATTGTCCTCGATCTGTCGATTGTTTACAGTTAAGAAAATTGATTTTTTTTCTTGGACAGATGAAGGCCTCAATAAAGTGATATTAAACAATTTTTCAAATGATTTGAAAGGAAATTTCATTACATTTCGGTAACATATACATCTTATTTACCTGGTTATAAAATTGTATATTAAAACTGTAGTAGACAAAGGGATATTCGTAAGTACATCTTTTTGATGCTGCACTGTGTTTTCACAGCAACATTTTTATGCAGACGATTTTTAAAAGCCAAATAGTGATTGGAAGAATTTTGATGTTAGAATAAAACAAACGATTTGATTGGTTAAGTTGTCCACCGGAAGTTACACAAATGTTTTCGTTCTGAACAAGCACATGTCGTCGTAGTATGTCTGTCAGAGTAAGGTTACTTATAGAATAGGCAAATTTATGATGTTTAAAGCAATGTACGCTTTCTTTATATCTTACTCAATTGATCACTCCATAAAATATATAGTAGTCCCAGATTTTCTCTAATATTTTTAACAGAAAGAAAATAGTAAATACTTTTAATTAAAAAAAATAGCCCAGAATTTGTTTTAGTGTCACAGACTGGAACTGTTGATCCTTCTAAATATAAACGAAAGATAGTATAGTGTAAATTCTACAACCAGGACACAAATTGACGAATTTCCCATTTCCATTTTATGAATGAATGATGTATGGGTTTTGCTCATTGTAGAAGGCCATACACTACAGTGACATACATGTATACATTGTAGTTGTTAACTTCTACATCATTTGTTCTCTGGTGGAAGGTTGTCTCATTGACAATCATACCACATCTTCTTATTTATATCCTGGATGACCTGACATGTCACACGATATAATGACATAAACTTTCTTTGATAAAGCAGTTATTGGAAGATTGTGCATTATAACTGTCTTCTGTTCAGACTGTTTCAAGGGTGGTAAACAGGGTTATCTGAAAGACGAATGGGGAAATAAAAATGCTATGGTCGGACGGATTTCCTGTGTCCCACTTTATTTTAAACACTAAAGTTACATGATTTCTCGTAATTCTATGAAGTGTTGTGATAAAAAAAAATACATTAATGTCTTCTGCATGAAAATATCAACTCACTGCTGGTGTCACCTTACAATAGGTTTCCATCAGGGTAGGGGGTCCAAAGATAAAAGTTTGGCTACATTTTTTAAGTAGAAAATCTATTTAAATCATTTCCTTTCTTAAATTTTCAAGTGAAATGCAGATAAGTAAAAATATGTCATGTGATACAACATTTTAAATCTCAAAATTAAAACAACAGCTATCTCTAAACTCTCTTATTGATCTAAACAAATGAACTTTTAATTTTTTTGCACTGTAGAATTATATACTATATGGTGTGTTATATCTCAAACTTGTTGTTATAACCAGTTTGTGTTAATTGACCTGCTAAATAAGAGTCCTAAAAATGTGAACAAATTCATCAAAGATTATCAAAGATCTGCCATCAATGCGAAATCCTCTACATGACAAAAGACAACAACTGCTAGCCATAAGTTCCTAAATCTTGAATTGGAACATTACACAGTATGTGATGCTTTTGAAATCTCGACCCTTCCCTTTTAATCTTAATTAATAAAATAATATAATTTATTTGCAGAAAAAATACATCTGTTCAGAGTCTCGGATATGTCAGTTCTTAATAAGGACAAAATACTGGAACCTGGATTTTCTCTAAATCAAATTTCTATTTCACTTGTAATCACCACCTCTTTCACCAAAAATACTTTAAATATAAAAATAAGAAGATGTGGTATTATACTATAATTGCCAATGAGACAACTTTCCACCAGAGACCAAATAACATAGAAGTTAACAACTATAGGCCACTTGAAAAAATATTTTCACAAAGAGTTTTCTATGTCATGTATCTTATTAAATGAATGATTCAAAAATATCTTTTCACTTACATCTATAGGTATACAAAAAAGCTAAACATCATGAATAAACAACTGTAAAATCAAACATTGTAAATATTAAGTAGTCCTTCAATTCAGACCATTCTTTAAAAGCTCTTATCTTAATACATCTGAGGCAGGCCAATCCTACTTTGTGCTTAATTTTAGTTATTTTTTTTTTATTTCATAACATGACTAAGCTAATATTGTGATGAAAATAATGAAAAGATGAAGTGGCATGCTTGATTCAAGTATTTTGTGGGTTTTTTCCAGAATATGTCTACAGATACAGTAGAAGGGCAGTTTGATGATGCTGACATTGAAAGGTAGGATTTGTCACCAAAAATGATACAATATACATGTAATATAAAATTGTGAACTACATTAATAGCATGTTCCCTATTTTAAACGACCAGATTGATTTCACTTGTCTTTTCACAACTTATTTCATTGTATAAAACTTGCACATCTCAATGATTGTGTTGAGTTGCTGTCTCATTGATATCTACCCCAAATCTTCTTATATTCTCATCTTGATAATGAATTAGAAACTAGATTCATGTTGTATTTTTTTTCTGGAAATATTTTGAGAGCAGTAGATTTTTGTATCATTCAGATTGGTTTTTTATACGCCCGTTTACGGGACGTATTATGGAATACCATTGTCCGTCCGTCTGTCCGTCGTCAACATGTCGGACATAAACTCAAAAATGCTTTAACTAATTTGCATAAAACTTTGGTGAATTGTTTATATCTATTGACGTGAGCTCCCTTTCGTTTTTTATAAATTTTAGATTTTGCATTTTCAAGTTATGGGGTTTTATTCATTAAAAGAAGGGGGATTTTCCAGTTTTCGGACAATAACTAAAGAATGCTTTCAACAACTTGCAAGAAATTGAGGTAAATTGTTTATATCTATTGACATGAGCTCCCTTTCAATTTTTACAAATTTTAGATTTTACGTTTCCGAGTTATAGGGTTTTATTCATAAAAAAAGGGGGATTTTCCAGTTTTCGGACAAAAACTCAAAAATGCTTTCAGCAGTTCTTATGAAACTTTGGTGAATTGTTTATATCTATTGATGTAAGCTCCCTTTAAAATTTTACAAATTTTACATTTTACATTTCTGAGTTGTTGGGTTTTATTCATTAAAAAAGGGGGTATTTTCCAGTTTTTGGACAATAACTCAAAAATGCTGTCAGCAATTCTCATGAAACTTTGGTGAATTGTTTATATCTATTGATGTAAGCTCCCTTTTGATTTTCACAAATTTCTAATATGACATTGAGAATTAATTGAACTTTATTTGTTTATAGTCTGACAACAGATTTACTAAGTATTGCGCAACAGCACAGTGTATTGCACAACAGCAAGAAATCTTTAATTGAATATAAATTCAATTCATACAACCAATTTCAAGTTCTTTTACTACATTTATTCAGAAACCTATAATATGTCAAAAATTTAATTACAATCCAAATTCAGACCTGTATCAAGCTTGAATACATATTGTGTCCATTTTTGCCCCAACTGTTCAGGGTTGGACCTCTGCGGGCGTATCCAGCTGCGCTCAGCGAAGCAGTTTATTTGTGTTGGTAAAATATAGATGGAGATTACTTTCACTTTATCGTTGTGGTAGCCTTGAATAAATGAGATATAAATGATGGAAAATACAATGTATGGGGTATTCATTCTATTGAAAACAAGAACATATTCATTGTTATAGAATTGTACATTGATAGGTTAAAAATTTATTTTATTTTTCAGCTGTGTAAGTTCATCAAACAACAAAATAACAGAAACAGGTACAAATAATGAGTTTCAAGACTAAGAAAAGATAATGCATTTCTTCACTAAAAAGAGAGATAATTTAAAACAAAAAAAATTAAGAAGCACACATCTTAACTGTGAAAAGTTTGGTTGCTAGAAGTAAATGGTTTAATGAAATACATAAACAATTAAGATTTCAAGTTAAAAGTTACACAACCAACATTGTCAAGGAATGTCGCAATGGTTTTAAATTCCTAGGAAGTTTTTAAGAGTATTAAGCCAGAGAGTATAAAACACCATAACATTTTGATAGATGGTATATTTGAATTGTGCCAAATTCAACATTTTCTGTACCAAATTGTGAATTCTACTAGTTTATAATGGTATGATGTTGTCATTCATGATTGTCCGAAGACAATTGGTTTCCAGACAATAACTTGAGTGTAAGTGTAAGGATCTCTATGAAATTGTACCACAAGGTTCCATAACACAAAAGGAAGGTTGGGATTGATTTTAGGGGTTATTGTCCTAATTGTTTAGGAATTAAGGGTAAAAAACAAGCATTTTTCTTGTTTCAGGACAATAACTTGCGTATACATTTTGTAAGTGTATGGATCTCTATGGATTTTGTACCACAAGGTTCCATACATCAAAAGGAAGGTTGGGATTGATTTTGGGGGTTATGGTCCAAACCGTTTAGGAAAAAGGGGCCAATACAACACATTTCTAATACTTTGTATCAATTGCTTATTTCTTGTCCACATTGAGGTCTAAAGGGTCCAAAATTAAACTTTGGTTGATTTCAACAGAAATTGAATATATGGGGTTCTTTGATATGCTCAATGTAACCATGTATTTAGATTTTTGATTTTTGAGTTCTATTATCAAATTGGTCCCAAATGAGGTCCAAAGGGTCCAAAACTAAACATTGTCTGATTTCATTAAAAACTGATTTCTTGGGGTTCTTTGATATGCCGAATCTAACAATATATTTGGATTTTGGACCCTGTTATCAAATTGGTCCACACTGAGGTCCAAAAGGTCCAAAATAAAAGTAAGTTTGATTTCATCAAAAATTGAATTCTTGGGGTTCTTTGATATGCTGAATCTAACCATGTATTTAGGTTTTGGATATTGGACCATAATAGGTAAATTCAAATTCAGAGCTGTATCAAGCTTGAATTTTGTGTCCATACTTGTCCCAACAGTTCATGGTTTGGCCTCTGGGGTCGTATCAAGCTGCCCCCCTGTGGAGCATTTTATTATAGATCAAACCCTTTTACTTGTGTGATTTGATTTGATTTTTTGGTGTTTGAACGCCACTTTTAAGCATCGCTTTTGGGCTATTTCGTGGCGGCCAGTTTTTATTGGTGCACCCGCACGAGCGGGGTTCGAACTCACAACCTCAGTGTTGACTGGCTAGTGATTACAATAGTAACTACTTAGACCACTCGGCCACCGAGGCCCCTTTTACTTGTGTGACAGTCTCTCATGATACAATACAGTGACTTTTAAAACAAAGCATATTGTAAAAATAAATATTATTTTTTTGTGAAATTGTGTCAGAATTTGTAAATAAGCTTATACATATTTATTCCTCTTTAGACATAGTAGTTAAGGATGAAGATTGGGATGATGATTTTGATGATGATGATGATGATGATGGTGACTTATATGACTGGTATGGAGAAACAGGAGATTTCACAAAGAAATACAATGCAGCGGTATCAAATAGTCAACAGGTGACTGAAATAAAAACTTACTGATAAGATTATTATTATGTATAGAAATTTATGAATTTAGAATTTATTTAATTACATTTAACATGAATGGATAATGCAATTTAGTTAAGTTTCAGCTTTCAAGTAATATTGGTTTCTAGTCAAATAGATGTAATTCACTGCATCTTGTGATCAAGTACAGTAATTATTCTCCATATTTGCTTTAATTTAAAATCATACGATTTTTGTCCCCTGCGCACATAGAAATACTGGGTGTCCGTTCATCTGTCCTTCCGGTATGGTTAGCTCTCTATTGTGTACAATTCTTGCCAGATTTTTATCAAACTTGTATCATAGATTTATGTCAAAAATGTGTCAGACGAGTTTGAAAAATCAGTGCTGATGAACTATTTTAAAAAGAGTTTTGCCCCTTGGAAAAATTAATTTTATTGAAAATTGCATCGTTAGTGCTCTCATTTGTACAATTCTTGCCAGATTTTTATGAAACTTACATTGTAGGTTTATATCAGCAATGTCTTGGACTATTAGAAAATCTTTGCCGATCAATTATTTTTAAAAGAGTTATACCCCTTGGAAATATTAATTATATAAAAAATTGCATCATTAAAGCTTTCGTGTGTACAATTCTTGCCAGATTATTAAGAAACTCATATCATAGGTTTATATCAACAATGTCTCAGACAAGTTCGAAAATCAATGCCAATCAATTATTTTTAAAAGAGTAATAACCCTTGGAAATATTGATTATATGGTAAATTGCATTGTGAGCGCTCTCATGTGTACAATCCCTACCAAAATTTTATGAAATTTATATCGTAGGTTTATATCAGCAATGTCTCGGACAAGATTGAAAATCAGTGCCAATCAATTATTTTGAAAAGAGTTATGCCCCTTGGAAATATTGATTATATGGAAAGTTGCATTGTTAGCGCTATCATGTGTACAATTCTTGCCAGATTTTTATGAAACTTATATCATAGGTTTATATCAGCAATGTCTCAGACAATTTAGAAAATAAGTGCTGATTAAATATTTTTAATGAGTTATGCCCTTGGAAATATTAATTATATTGGAAATTGCATTGCATTTGCTCTCAAGCCTTCATTTCTCTAAGATATTTGTAAAAAGTTTTAAAGAACAAAAAAAAAATGGGCCTTGGACAGATTTAATATGTGTAATGCGGGGGACATTGGAACTCTGTTCTTTTGTAATGGATAAAAATTTTGTATGACACCTTAAACAACTTTGATGACCTTAAAGAATGTCTCTTTGTCTGTCAAATAGAAAAGCAAAGGAATTAAAGGTATTACTATGATAGAATTGTATATCTTAATGTTGAGTTTGGTAATGTTGTTTTTTTTCATTCACACTGAAAAAAATTATTGATTTAACTTTTCATACTTGTCATTGCAGCCAAATGCATTTAGAAATAAGCAAGTTAAGACAAATACTACAAAGAACTTCCAGCCTGTAGAAAAGACAATGAAGAAATATGTGGATAAGATAAACGTTGGTAAGAAAGTTGAAGGATTGTTAGTTTATTTTTATGATTTTTGTCTCACCTGTGACAAATGGTTTGGTGAAAAACTGGTTATCCTACAGTACAAATTTCGCGAAAGGCTTCCCAAACTCCGAACACCAAGTTTTTTCTTGGTGTGACACCAGGAAACTCCGACATCCCTCCCTAAATTCTCGGAGAAATTTGGGAGTATTCCCTCCGACTTCAGCGTAAATTCGCTACCTTTTGTTTATTGTATTAGCGACATCCCTCCCAGTCCGGTGTGACGCAGTGTCACACCAGGTAATTAATTGCCCTAATCCTTCTGATCTATACCGGCACTCGACAGTCAAGGTATGTGAGATTACTTATGTAATTAAACAATTGTATTTCCTGTCTATTGATAATCAGGTTATATTTCTGATTGCTTGAAACAAATAAAAGATTTAAAAGTAAAAAAGTTGTTGTTAATTCTTTCAATTACACTGTACATTTAAAAATAGTTTTATTAAAATAAAACTATATTTGATTTTTACCTCGTTTTTTTTCTGGTCAGTAAATTAATATTTAATTTACAAAAGAGATATACTTGTGTAAAAATAAACGGAGACTTACGCTGAATAAATGTGGGCAGTTTAAAGGAAAATTACATGTCTCAAAGTTTTGTATACAAGTAAAAAAGAAAATATTATTCACTATTCGTTATGCTATGTCCACGCCATTTTCATTTTACGATTACATAATTGCTTGAAACAAATTAAAGATTTAAAAGCAGAATGTTGTTGTTAATTCTTTCAATTGCATTAAAGTTTTATAACAAAAACTATACTTGATTTTGACCTTGTTTAAGTTCATCGGTAAATTATTTTATTTACGAAAAGAGACATACTTGCGTAAAAATAAACGGAAACTAACGCTGAATATAAAAGTGAGCAGTTTAAAGAAAATTACGTGTCTCAAAATTTGTATATGCAAGTAAAAAAGGAAAATACTATTCACCATTCGTTATGCTTAATAAGTCTACGGCATTACCTTAGGACAAATAATTACATTTCGGCTACAACAGGAATACTTCTATAGCTGCATCAACTCGTCGTTGCATAATATTCATTTACGCACAATGAACTTGTGTGTTGTATAAAGGACAGTGGTTTTTAATTTTTTTTAAAGAAATTAATTGCCGTGGGAAGACGATACACATCTCAGTGATCAACAGTCCGTGGTTGAACTTTGAACTTGACTTCGCTCACAATATTGAATGCTAAAAATAGTGACATCAATTTTGTCCACGAGATTTTTATTTGGCGGGAAATATTATCACGTAACAGTAAACTCAGGTGACCTTTCTGGATGACCGTGGGAAAATTCATTCGGGGTTTAAATTTGCTTTGGAATGATTGACATTTGTATGCCTTGAGATTGAGGCTCTAGAAGGTCCTTTTACAATTGATTAACCGAAATCTAAAATATAATCCTTTTCTGAAAAAACGAACACCAGCCTTTTAATTTTACGTTTATCAGTCAACACAGGACATAAACCTGGACATTATTTATTCGTCCATGGTCAACAATATACATAAATGGTAGATGAAAATAGGATCCTGTTGGGCGTTGGTAGAGATCCTCTGTGAAAATGTGTAGATCGTAAAAATCCGATCCACATTTTTTTCACATATTTCTTTCTATAATTTCATTTAAATATTCTATAGTATTAATTGTTGAAATACTTCTTTTTTTTATTTCGCTAAGGACTTTTAACGAGCAGTAAAATACGGATTGCGCCCATCCAATTTTATTTTAAATAATAAAGGATCAATAACAGATCATAACAGAGATAAACAACACATCATTTTTTTTTCTTCATATAATTAAATAAGGTTGTGATTATTGTGTTCTGGGCGGGGAATGTCTCTCAGTGTTGTGTTTTTATGAATATATGGCACATTGCATACAAAACATTTTCCCTTCGTTCAACAGAGTTGTCACTCTACAGTTTCTTTTCTGAGTTCAAATATTTCAAGTCGGTAATCTACCGAGGTATTTTACATTGCAAAATAAATTGAAAGTTACAGAGTTCACTTGTTGATCCGATAAATTAACTCTTGGGTTTAGATTGGACAAATTACCGTAAAAACATCATTTTGTTTTAAGCCAGTTGATATTTATATATTGAACAATTAATGAACCGGATATTGCTCACTGAGTAGGTTATAAAAGATTCTAATTGTAGTAAAATCGTCTTTGTTGAAAAAACAAAAATTATGACCTGACCGGACTATAATAAAAATACAAAATAAGTGTTTTATCCGTATTTTTATACGTTTGTACGTTTTATTTCAAATGACAATGACGTGGGGCAAATACATACAAGAATAATTATCTTATTTTGAATGAAAATGTCACATTTTTATCTGTCAAAGAAAGGAAATTATAATACCGTGTCTAAAAGCACACAGGTGCAATCAAGATCGATTAAATGTACAAAGGTAATAAATCTGGCTAATCCGATTATGTTGTCACACGTCATTAATTTTCAGTACATCCGATGGGCAATAAACCAATTAACAGCCACGCGGTGTTGGGAGAGAATCCTTGGAGGAAATTGGGAGTATAATCCGTGATTCGCGGTGTGACACCGCTACACTCCGAAATCCGTGATTAGAGTTCGCGATTACAAACTCTTTGTGCGTACTGTAGTTTTCAATGCACCTTGCCACAAGGGGGATTCAAACTCACAATCTCAGTTTTGACATACTAGTGATAACTGTAGATAAGCTACTTAGACCACTCCACAACCGAGGGCTCCTGAGATACTATAAGCAATCGGAAAACTATATTTGCGGTATGAATGATAGTAAGGTGTACATGTTCGTCTGGCAGGGGTCATCTGACCTTGACATCATTTTCATGGTTCATTGGTCAGTGTTAAGTTTTCTTAATAAGGTCTGTTTCTCAGATTAAGTTTTCCTGATTAGGTCTGTTATTTGCAATAGGTCAACAATATTTGAGGTATGCAATGGTCCTTATGTGTACCATGATGTGTCTGGCAGTGTTCATCAGACATTTGATCTAAGCGTCAGTTGTCACTGGTCAATACTAAGTTTTTGATTTCTTATATACTATAAGCAATAGTTCAACTTTATTTGATGAATGGGATGATTATAAGAACAGAAATGTACATGTCTGTCTGGAAGGGTCAGTCTGGCCTTGACATTTTTATGGTTCACCAGTCAATGTCATGTTTTCGTGGTTAGGTCAGTTTCACATATACTTTAAAGATTTGATGTATGGAATGATTGTAAGGTGTTCATGTACCTCTGGCAGGTAAAACACCAGACCTTAACCTCATTTTCAGATTATTGATAATGTAAAATTATGTAAGTGATACATGTTATAAAACCTTCATCTTAAAGGGGAATTAGCTGTCAAACTTATGTTTACCGAGATTTGACTCAAATTCTCATATTTGATTTATAACATACTAAAACGTTTTCCAAATTACAATAAGTCTGAAATAAACAATTAACAATGCATAGACTAGATAATATATATCAGCATTTCATGTTTATTTTAGTCTAGACGCCATCTAATTAACCATCGAGATGACCTCCTAAGACTGTCTACAGTCACATAACCTGATATAAACATAAATTTTAATAGATTGCGACCACATGCAATTGGTTTTTCTAGGTCTGTTTGATTTCATGTTATATGTTAAAAAAATGAATTAAACAACGTTTTTACCTGTATAAGAATGATTTTTTGTGGATCAAATCAGACAAGAAAATGGTTCACCTCTTTTTCAATGTTGACATTCTTTTCCTTTTAATGGCTGAACACGCATAATACATGTGTAACCAATCTCTAGCTAAGGGGTTAAATTGAAGGTCACATGAATACAGATTTAATGAAGTCAAATTATTCACTTGCAAGTGAATAATTCATCAGGAATGTTTCTTAGCTTATTTATACAAAATTGTAATAAACTGACTGCTAAAAGTGAATTATAATTTCACTATTTCACTTTCATTAATGATTAAAAAAAAAAAAAATCATATATTAATTTTTTTTATATCTCGTAACTAATGTCCCTTTAAAGACTTTCATCATGAATTCAATCATAATCAGTAAAGCAGGTCGAGACATAATCGTATGTGCACTCTTGTTTAAAATTAAACTCTGGATTAATGTATCAGAATATTCCAATATTTCACAATTTACCAATCTTTTATATTTCTGTGTGATTGCTAAGTAAATTGTCATTATGGTAAGCAATTCATCATATCTGTTGACATTTGTTTTCTGAAAATTACTTTTTTTTTTAAAAGACTGCTAAATTTTGCTTTAGGATCTTGCCATTGTTATCTTTAGAGATCTTTCTTACAATATAGTACAAATGTTATTTTCTATTTATGCAAGTCCTATGATATTTGAAAATATAATCTCTTGTTTTCCATAAAAAATGTGATTGATTAAAAGGTGGCATCCCCGCCTACATCTACAGAAGGACAAAACATTTGTAATTTAACACTATGTGTAATTTTAGCAAGTCCTATGATATTTGAAAATATGATCTTTTGTTTTCCATAAGGTGGCATCCCAACCTTCACCTAAAGGAGGACAAAACAATTATATTTAAAGGCTATTTGTAATTTTATTTTATGTAGTTTTACCAAAGTGTTATGTTCTTTATAAGTTTCTTCACTTGAATATATCTTTCATGTTTGGAAATTCTGTTGATTTCAGATGGCATATGCTTCTTTCTTTTACAGAGAAATATGCAGGACCACAACTGTCAAACAAAGCGATGTCAGCATTAGTAGAAAAAGGAAGGAAAATGGACAATGAAAGGTAAAGAGAATGAAGGTCAATGTTGGATAAACATACCTTTAAATTCTTTATTAACCAACTTAAGCATTAAATGACAGATTCACTTTGTTTAAAGTCTGTGTTATACATGAAATTTAATTTTTGATACTAAAAAAAATCAAGATACTATAATACAGTATTTTGTTTATTTTATTTATTAAAGTTCAATACCATATGTCTTATTTGGTAACTGGCAGCATGAGATGGATGGATATCTTTGATATATTATGGGATAGAACATCTGTTGATTGGATGTAAATGGATCTGTAAAATGTAATTTAACAAATCGAGAAGAGTTTTAAAAGTTTTTTGGGGTAGAGGGGAAGTAACTATGTATGTGATGGTCTAAATTTTCAAAAGCTACTTATTTTGTTGTTTATTCATAAACGATTTTAAAAAGCTAAAAAGAAAGACTATACAGCAGGAAAATGAAGATAAATTATAACTTGATTTTGTGTATTACATTATTATAGATACAGAGGGAAAGACAAAGCTGATAGAGCCACTGCAGAACAGGTTATGGACAAGAGAACACGTTTAATTCTCTTCAAATTTCTAAGTAAAGGTATTATATCGGAGATCAATGGTTGTATCAGTACAGGGAAAGAGGCCAATGTTTACCATGCTACAGGAAAAGATCAGGATATGGCTGTTAAGGTAAGATATTTGAATATTGAAAATTTCAGTTAATTGAAGTGATAGGGTTGATGTCATTATCTATTTAACTGTTTTCAATAATTTCATTAGGTGTTTATTGAAAGAATCTCATGATCAGCCATCTATTTGAACTTTAACAATTGTGTGACTTAAAAAAATAAGTTACTTAATGAAACAAATTCAAGAGGAAACAAGTCCAGAATAGCACTTTGACTTCTCATCAAACTGATAATTGTGTAGAGTTTTTATGAAAATATAGATAAAGTACTCACCAAAGTGTTCTCCCAAGAGCCTTATAACACCATGGTACCTGGGTGCTATCTAAATAGATTTTATAAAATATTGTACTATAAATGTGGTGCTATAATTTTGTTGAAACAGTGCTATTTCAAATCCAATGTTGCTATTTGAAAATTCTGGTGTGAACACTGCAACCAAACAAGATGATTTGTCTGTTTTCAAACTAATTCATGTAATACTAATAAAGTTATTATTTTATTTTTTTTGCAGTTTAGTACAGTGGAAAAGTTTTTTACTTTAGCTCATTTGGTACAAATGCAGTTTTTTTTATGTAATGCTTTTTCACCACTATACTACAAAAAGGTGTCTTTAATTCTTCTTGGACAATGTTAACTTATGAAGGGAATAAAATCCATTCTAATATGACGTGCTTCTTTCGCTTTGTAAACAACACCGTGATAAAATTCTCGATATATCTATACTTAGCGCAGACTCAGAGATGTGCATATTGGTGGCTGTTACTATTTACCTCCCACGTAAATCCACATGTATCGTTACCTATGTACAAACACCATGTCGATTTCGTTGTGTCCAAATTGAAATTGAAAAAGAAACTACAGAACCGTTATTCCTATTATATTGCATAACAAAAATAATTAATGCACAAGAGCCTAAAAAATGTATAAAATCAAAATAAAATAAAATTCCGCCAAATTTCATGAATGATCTTGGCGCATTAACGTCATGTCATAACATGATGTCATACGAATGAAAACTCTAAAGCTGAATGTTTTCCGTTACGTATACTCCCTAAGTTCGGAGAATATTGCAATAAAATGGAGTTTTGAGGTAGGTGTTGTTTCATTTTCTATTCTATTGCAATATTCGCACATTTGTGGATTTCAGCAAGTCAACATGGCGGCTCACTCCTTAGTTACGACATGTCAACTCTGGATTTGACAGTAAATAGTAGCCAACGAAAAATAAATGTTTGGGTTAAGAATTATGAGAATTGAACACATTTTTTTCTACTGCTTATTTGAGAAATAATTCATGTAAGACTTAGATTTATATGAAATTTGTAGCTTTTATCTTACAGGGGGTAAAATAGAACAGCCATACACACGGCAATCTTACGTTCGCTTCAGTTTGTAAATTACCGTATTTGTCCTATTAGAATCGAAATAAATCATAGAAGCCATAGCTTCCATGAATTATTTCTTAATTATTAACTTGACAGAAGACAAATCAAAAGTGTATCTAAAGATAAATAAGTAAAATATATGTTATAAAAAATGAACAAAATTATTTATTTAGCAGTTTTTCATTTCAACTTATATAAAATATTTCCAATTTAATTTCAGGTGTATAAAACATCAATATTGGTATTCAAAGACAGAGACAAATATGTATCTGGGGAATTCAGGTAAATGATAATCATTTAAACTTTTCCTCATTCATGATATTTTAATGCCTTCAGTAATGTTGCACTAGTTTTAAATAACTGGCTTCCAAAAGTATTCAGTTTTATAGCCAATCAGTTGTTTATTGTAATCTTATTGTAAGAAATATATATTTTCTACTGCTTTTACATTAAGAATACAATCTATGTTGGAACATTTGGGAATTTTTTATCTTTAAGAATTTAGAAATGTGTTATGTTTCATTGGTTGAATAGTTGCAATTTCATTTGACTATTTTAAATTAAAATGATTTCAGGTTTAGACATGGTTACTGTAAACACAACCCCAGGAAGATGGTACAGACTTGGGCTGAGAAAGAAATGAGAAATCTGATCAGGTTAGCTCTGGTTTCAAACTGAGGAGTAGTGATAGAAATTTCTGCTGTAAAAAGGAATAATTTAAAAACAGTATCAGTTTAATTAGAATTATGTGTAAGTTCAAAACATATCATGATAGAATATTTCTATTGCAACAATTAATTATTTTAAATTGCTCAACCCTGTTAAATTAAAGTAAATTCATAACTTATATATTCAATGATATATTATTTTTTTTAGGATACATCAAGCTGGTGTTTTATGTCCAGAACCAATATTACTTAAGAGCCATGTTTTGGTAATGAGTTTTATAGGTACAGATGGCTGGTAAGTATTAATGGTAACTTAATTGTGCTAAGCTTTTTATTTCCCATGTCCCAGTCATTTAGTGGTCGGTTAGCTTTGTTCCTCAATTCTACCTTCAATCATTTGGTCATTCAATCCTTCCTTTATTCTATCTTTCTGAAATCTAACAATTATCCTGGTTTTTTTTTCCATTATACCTGTAGAAACTAAGCTGATTTTTATTTTAAAAGTGTATAATGGTGAGTTGAAGAATGGGTTCCTGTTTTGTTTTGGATGACACACTGTTCACAGTATTAAAATCCTTCTGTATTAGAAGTAGACAGGGGCATGTATGTCAACCTTATACATCTAGTTTAATGTGAGCTTTTCACAGTATTAAAACCCTTCTGTATTAGAAGTAGACAGGGGCATGTATGTCATCCTTATACATCTAGTTTAATGTGAGCTTTTCACAGTATTAAAATCCTTCTGTATTAGAAGTAGACAGGGGCATGTATGTCATCCTTATACAGCTAGTTAAATGTGATCAATAAAACTTAGATGGCTTAAACTTAAAGAGATTGGCAAACAAAAATGTTTGAATTACCAATAGTTCGAAAATATTTCAAATAGCTACTCTTAAACTTTAATTAGAAATAACTACCTTGCAAGAAAAAGGGTATATGTTAATTGGTGACTTTTTATAGAAAGAATCTTAGGAGTAAAAATACTTAAAAAGTAATGAACAAGATCTGTTGATTCTTAAAAATGAAACATCTTGAAACAAATTTGATTTTTTTTACCTCTATTAAAATGTTACAACTATGGATTCAAAAAATTTGTATAATGTAAAAGTATTTTTCAACTATCTTATTTTAATTGTATATTTGATTTTGTTTTTGCAGGCCAGCACCTCTATTAAAAGACAGTGATATCTCAGAATCTAAGGCTAGAGAGTTGTATTTAGAGTGTATACATATGGTTAGAACTTTATATCATCAATGTAAACTTATCCACGCTGATCTTAGTGAATTCAATATGTTGTAAGTGTACTTATATAATTAGTAATGAGATGTTTTCTGAAGTTTTATTAGATATAAAATTAGTAATAAGATGTTTTCTGAAGGTAATTTATATAAAAACATTATACCTTAATAGTTATATTTTTGCTGTGTTAATATTGGGGTCATTAGGTCAAAGGTCAAGATCACAGCTGAATTTCATAGACTGAAATTTGGGCAAAATTTTGTCTAACTTTTCTCAAACTTGTTTCAATCGGTTGAGGATGAACCCTATTACATTTGGGGTCATTAGGCAATAGGTCAAACCTTAAGGTCATAGCATCTATTAATTTACTCAATTTACTGTCTGTCTGTCTGTCCATCCGTCAGTTCAGCAAATCAGTTTTCCACACTTTTTTTCTTCTTGCTTGAAGATATTGATTTGATATTTGGTGTATTGTTTTATCATGACAAGTTACAGATCAAGTTCGAATTTTGTTCCGGTCTGATGATTTTGTGCAGAGTTATGGTCCTTGAACTTAGAAAATTCACTCAAATAATCATTTTTCCTCACTTTTTTTTGTCATGCTTGAAGATATTGATTTTATGATGGGTATTTAGATTTATCATGACAAGTTACAGATCAAGTTCGAATTTTGTTTCGGTCTAATGATTTTGTGCAGAGTTATGGTCCTTAGACTTAGAAAATTCACTCAAATAATCAATTTTCCACACTTTTTTTCATCATGCTTGAAGATATTGACTTGATATTTGTTATATAGTTTACACCATGACAAGTTATAGATCAAGTTAGCATTTTGTTCCAGTACAATGAATTTTTAACCGGTAGGGGACTATGTATTGCAAGGCAATACTCACAGAATGCTTGTTATTCTTCTTTTGTAGGTATCATAATGGTAATATTTATGTGATAGATGTATCTCAGTCAGTAGAACACGATCATGTCCATGCTTTAGAATTCCTTCGGAAGGATTGTACTAATATTACAGGTAGGTATAGCATTAACATGCAAAATTACGTGGTAGATAGGATTTATTATCCAGGATAGGATATGATTCAAATAAGGTTTCAATTGATATGATTTTTGGTAGGTTCTTATTATTAAATACTTTTTAACAGAGTTTGCTGAATACAATTCAGTTGAGGTTGTCGGCTATTATGATACAGATGTCTAAAGTATAGAAAATATCCTGTTTTCTAGTTGATTGAAACTTGAAAAAGGGAGTGAAAGATCTCAATATTTACTTCAAATCAGATTTGATAAATGCTGTATTTGTGACTTTTTAACTCACAAGGACACGGGTCACAAATAAAAGATTTCTCTGAGAAATAAATTTTATGTTTTATTGTTGTGTGAAATTACCTTGCAGTTAAAAATGAGAACAATTTCATTTTTTTCTTTCAGATTTTTTTAGAAAGAAGGGAGTATGTACATTGACCGTAAAAGAATTATTTGATTTTGTAACAGACATTACAATTAATGAAGATAACATTGACCATTATTTGGAACAAGCTATGACCTTGACCTCTACTAGATCACATGATGATGTCACAGAACAACAGAAAATAGATGAACAGGTGAATTTTTTGTACAAGCATTAGTCCTGATCATAGGAAATATTAAAATGCAAATTTTTTTTTCCTTGAAATATTTAGTTATACTAAAATTCAGAGTCAACATTTAAACTTACACCTGCTATGTGTGTTTTCCAAATTTGTATTCGAAATTTCCAACTTGAACTTTTTTGTTTTGCATTTTGTACTGAACACAATTTTTAGTTTGGTAATGTTACAGACTGTTGAGCTTGATCTTAACATGCACAGAATAAAGACTTAACTTATGGACTGTTTCAGAAAACCTTTTATATAAAGATAAGAAGATGTGGTATGATTGCCAATGAGACAACACTCCACCAGATATTTTATTATACTTTTTTTTAATATATTTAAAATAGTGACTGTTACAATAGTAAACTTTCCCTTCTTTTTAATGATTACAGGTTTTCAAGAATTCTTACATTCCTCGGACACTGGATGAGGTCATTGATTATGAAAGAGACTTTATAAAGGCACAGAAGGGAGATTCTAACAATGTAAATATCACATGTTAAATATGCAGAAAAAAATAACATAAGGAACTAAAAGTTTCATGAAGTCTACATTTAGTTTTAGTGTCAGGAAATTTTAATGTTGACTTGCAATCGAACAGAACTTTTTTCTTATCTTAATTTATTCTGCTCGATACTGCAGTACATTTATTAATAGAGATTAAAAGTATTTTTTAAAGTATTTTCTGAACATTTCTATAAGATATGCTTACAGTTTGTTTAAATATTTGTTTTTATATAAATATGCCTTATATAAGACCAACATGTATAGATTAAACCTCAATATATTGAATCTCATCATTTTGTTGTAAAGAAGGAAAAATTGTAAAGCACATAAAATGATCAGGTTTTTGCATTGAAAATGAATTTTATTCTTTCAGCTATTGTACCAAACTGTAACAGGATTGAAGGCAGATTTAACAGGGCCACAACAGGTATAATATACCCTTTTTATGCCCCCGCCGTAGCGGTGGGGGCATTAAGTTTTACCCTTGTCCATCTGTACGTACGTCCCAAAATTGGTTTCCGTTCTCTAACTTGAGTTTGCCTCAACCAAATGTTATGAAACTTATACACAATGCTTATTACCACAAAACACAGATCAAATTTGAATTTTGGTGGCGTCACTATAACTGTTCTAGAGTTATGCCCCTTTATAAATGGAAAAACTGAAAAATTTTTATTGGTTAATAAATTAAGCAACAAGTTATTAAAAACCTCAATTGTTTTTAAATGGAATATTCAGATAATTTACATATCTATGATCTCCTGGTTTATGTTATTATGTTATTATGGTTTATGCTTTTCACAAAGCTAATTTATAAATCTGTGCCAGTCATATGTACTGTTACTTTGTTCATGTATTGATAGAAAATGATTAAAACAGTTTTTATACGATCGCAAAAAATTTTTTGTGGTCGTATATTGGTATGACGTTGGCGTCGTCGTCCGAAGACACATTGGTTTTCGCACTCTAACTTTAGTTTAAGTGAATGTATCTCTATGAAATTTTACCATAAGGTTCAATACCACAAAAGGAAGGTTGGGATTGTTTTTGGGGGTTATGGTACCAACAGTTAAGGAATTAGGGGTAAAAAAGGGGCCAAAAATAAGCATTTTTGTAACTTCCAGATATAACTTGTGCGTTAGTGTATAGATCTCTCTGACATTGTACCACAAGGTTCTATATCACTAAGGGAATGCTGGGATTGATTTTGGGGGTAATTGCCTCAAAATTTTAGGAATTAGGGGGCAAAAAAGGGGCAAAAAACAAGCATTTTTCTAGTTTCATGACAATAACTTGTGTGTAAGTGTATGGATCCTTCTGAAATTGTACTACAAGGTTCCATATCACAAAGGGAAAGCAGGAATTGAGTTTTGGGGTAATTGCCCAAAACGTTTAGGAAAAAGGGGCTAAAAATAAGCATTTTTTTAGTTTCCAGACAATAACTTGTGTTCAAGTGTATGGATCTCTCTGAAATTGTACTGCAAGGTACCATACCACAAAGGGAAGGCTGGGATTGATTTGGGGGGTAATTGCCTCAAAATTTTAGGAATTAGGGGCCAAAAAGGGGTAAAAAACAAGCATTTTTCTAGTTCCAGGACAATAACTTGTGTATAAGTCTATGGATCTTTATGAAATTGTCTTACAAGGTTCCATATGACAAAGGGAAAGCTGGGTTTGAGTTTGGGGGTAATTGCCCTTAACGTTTAGGAATTTGGGGCCAAAAAGGGGCCTAAAAACAAGCATTTTTCTAGTTTCCAGACAATAACTTGTGTTCAAGTGTATGGATCTCTCTGAAATTGAACTGCATGGTACCATACCACAAAGGGAAGACTGGGATTGAGTTTGGGGGTGATGAACCATAAGGGGGTTCAAAAAATTTTGGGGAGGGATTTTTTTTTCCTTTTTTTTTCTTTAAAATTTTCCATTTTAAATTGGTTATTTCTGATTTATATATAAAAGCAAATAATAATGATATGATTTGAATAGGTAAATTAAAATTTTTAAAGTTCTTAGACCACATTCATTCTGTGTCAGAAACCTATGCTGTGTCAAATATTTAATCACAATCCAAATTCAGTGCTGTATTAAGCTTGAATGTTGTGTCCATACTTGCCCCAACTGTTCAGGGTTCGACCTCTGCGGTCGTATCAAGCTGCGCCCAGTGGAGTATTTTATTAATATAGTGTCAAACATAATGTCAGTATTTTTTACATTTATATGTATTATGTTAAATTTTTTTTCAACATACTATTTTCAAATGTAATGGTGTGCATTAAACATTATGTTAAAATTGCTAACATTTTTTCTGTAGAGACCAAAATTATTAGAAAATGCAGATGACTGTAACAGGTTACAAGAAGACATAGAGAGTAACAAGGACAGTGCTTCTGATAGTGATACAGAATCATCAGAGAATGAAAATGATGATCAGAGTGAATCTAGTAATAAAACTAAATCTTACAGACCTCGAGAGGAATCACCTGATAGTAAAAGGGTATGTGATTGTTTAGTGTGGTTAGATATCTGTTTGACATGCTATCTTATCTCTCTATGTCTAATTGTCCATCTAACAATAAATATGGTGTGTTAATGTCTTAGTCATATTTTGATACTTTATTTAAAACCTGACTTGAGCTTTTTTTTTAACATATAGGACTATTGTAATGTATTACCTTTGTTTTACTTGTTGCTCTGTATTGATGCATTTGTAAAGCTTTGCAGTAAAATTGGTACTGTTGATGTTATTTTCCAGATCTAACAAACTTCAATTACTGGAATGATATTTTGTCAACTTGTACTTCTAAAATCGATACAAAGGTCCAAAAATTGCTTGACATTGACAGACATTTTAACCTTAAATTGCCTCTTGTTTGAAGGTCATATATACTGGGTTTTTTTTTTTTTCGCAAGACAGCAATTTCATGGCAACATATAGCAGTCACTTCTGTTGTCTTGTTTCTTTTGTGTTAGACTTTATGTTTATTTGCAACTCCTTAAAAAGGGCTTGACAAAATCTGTAGCTCCTGAAAACCTTTTTACAGAATTCCTCCAAACTTGGGGGGGAGGGAAGTTATCCTTTATCAAACATGATCTGCTTACATTATTTGAAAACACCAGGTGACACATGTCTTCTCTGGACTAATAGATTTTTCATGAAAAGATTGGTTGACCATATTGCCATTTCATGCATTTTAGACAGAATTTATTTAGTCTGTTAATACACATCCTTGATAAGAATGAAGGCCTAAATAAAATTGAAGTCGCTTAGTCTTACATTTACACATGATTGATTATGGTTATGGTCACAAAATTTACTTTAAAATAAATATATAGGTAATCATACACAGTTAGCAAATGAAACTAAAATATACTACATTTTTAATAAAGATGATGTGGATTAACATTAGGGATTTACAGAGAATTAATCTGAGTCTTTTTAATGAATTTACAGGAAAGGAAAAAGATAATCAAAGAAGAACAAAGAGAAAAGAGGAAAAACAAAATTCCTAAACATGTGAAGAAAAGAAAAGAAAAAAGTGGCAGTAAAAATACAAAAAAAGGAAAAACTTGAATCTATAAAATTGTTTTGTCATATTGCTGAAAGATGGACTTATAATGTGCTTGTGTTGGCCGAAAATCTCATGGAATATTGTTGATATTTAAATTTGAAAAGAAGTGGGTTATGATATAAGATTATCATGTCAATTTTCAGAATAATTGTTAAATCATGTCAGAAAAAATATAACTGATTTCATTGAAAGGGTATTTTGGCAGTGTCCATCACTTGGCATTTGATGTTTGTCTGTCATGAACTAGTCAAAACTCTATTTTAAAATGATCTGATAAATATTTTTTTATATCTCACTTGGACCTTTTAGAACATTAATTATAAAAATAAGAGCATGTGGTATGATTGCCAATGAGACAACTCTTCACAAATGACCAAATGACACAGAAATTAACAACTATAGGTCACCGTACAGCCTTCAACAATGAGTAAAACCCATACCTCATAGTCAGCTTTAAAAGGCCCCGAAATGACAAATGTAAAACAATTCAAACGAGAAAACTAACGACCTGACTTATGCACAAAACAATGAATGAAAAACAAAAATGATATACAGCAACAAATGACAACCACTGAATTACAGGCTCCTGTTTGGGACAGGCACATACAGAATGTGGCGGGTTAAACATGTTAGCAGGTGTCCAACCCTTCCCCTAACCTGGGACAGTGGTGTAACAGTACATCAAATGAACAAACTATAAAAATCAGTTGAAAAGGGCTTACCTCATCATATCGATACAAAGCACAAATACAAGTAACAAAAACACAGAGTGGATGTGGCAGTGTACGTATACATCCCCACAACATAAGACACTAAGTACAGGTCTGAGAGTACTCTCAGTTGCTGACAGCTAGTTCAAAGCCAATAACAACTAATAAAAAAAATTATGCATCTAAGACTAAAATATCAATCAGTACACATCCAACATCCAATGGATTTAGTGTAAAGATGTCATTAACAGTCAGAGAAAAACATGACCTTGTGCAATGCCAAGATACAGGTATCGACAGATTGTAGAGCCATGAAAGTGCATATGTATATAAAATAATATTTAGTTTGATTTTAATTTACTGATAACAAAATCAATATGAATACCAATAAAAACAATATTCAAAGATCTTATTATAGTGTTGAATTGGTAACCTTTTAGAATAAGTTTATTTAAAGGATCGATAAGTTTACCCGGATCGTATCTAAATTTCAAGGCTTGTTAAACAACATCTCCGTAAAAATAAGAATGTGCTATTCAGCTTAAAAATAAGTTTTCTACAGGTACAACCAAACTTCCAAACCAAATATTTATATCTTTGGAAGAATTTAGTAAAGGTTTTTAGTAATTTGTGGTAACAAAATCCCTAAGCATATGTTATCTATCTGTCAGTTAACTGAAATCACTTAGCCAATTAGAGCTATTATATCAATCCATGTTGACTTGCTTGTAAATTTGCTTTGTTATTAAGATTGACATCTGAAGACAATAGATAGGTGGAGTTAAAGTCAACCTTTCATAAGTGCTTCAAAATTCATTGTATAACAGGGACATCTAGATTGAAACTGAAATTGCAATATTATAAGAAATTATGAAAATTTGCTAAATTTATACCACTTTTTTCTTGCAACTATGACTGTGTTTACTGATGGTGAGGGTGATAGAGCAAACTGCTATTTGATTTATTATACTGAATGTGCTGTTATTATTGTCTTTTAAGATATTGATTTTAAATTAAAATCCTTGTCTTTTAAATTATTGATTTAATATTAAATTATTGTCCTCAATAATTTTGGTTAATGATTGCTTTGCACAAGAGGGTAAAATTAAAAACATTGTTAACCACTGATCCATATTTTAGAGAAGAATGCCATCCTCCAACTGACCAATGTAAAACTGGAATTTTAAGGTGACGTATATTAAAGATGATTATATCATCAGCTAGAAGAGCTAGATAAGCCATATTTTGATATAAATTGCTTAAAATGGTTGGAAAATTCTGTTTGCCATATGGCTGTTGACCTTGACCTGATTGTCATGGGTGAATGACTATTAAAAACCAGTATTCATATTCATATCCACAATAAACAGTTGTCAACCTGCTATGTTTGTAATATTTGTCACTGGACATTTAACACTAATTTATCATCTATTATATTTGGTCTAAAGATTGGTAATAAGTAAAGATGTCCCTGAAAGAAGTCACCTGACCTTGACATCTTTTCATAGTTAGGTCAGTTTCTCATTTCCCATGAGTAATATGTCAACTATATTTGATAAATATAATCAGTGTATGGTGTCGTTACAAGGGACACATAACCTTGGCCTCACTTGATAGTTCAATTGTCAGTATAAAATCAGTGCTTAGGTCAGTCTCTAATTTATTATAAGTATTTTCGACTTTATATGGTTCATGGAAGCAATTCAGAGTAAACATATGAAAACAAGAAGATGTGGTATGATTGCCAATGAAACAAATCTCCACATGAGACCAAATGACATAGAAGTTAACAACTATAGGTCACCATATGGCTTTCAAAAAAAAAGCAAAACCCATACTGCATAGTCGGCTATAAAAGGTCCCGGAATGACAAATGTAAAACAATTCAAACGAGAAACTTGGGGCCTGATTTATGTACAAAATAATAGACGAAAAACGAATATGATATACATGTCCTTTTGGCAGAGGATATCTGATGACCTCATTTGCATGGCTCAATAATCAGTTTCTAAGTTACTGTGAGTATTGTGTCAACTAAATTTGGTTTACAGAGTCAATGAAAGAAGTACATGTCTGTCTAACAAGGGTCATTTAACCTTGACCTCAAGGGTTCAAAATGGTTAAAGTTGAACTGAACCATCATCAATAAGATGAATTTGACAAATATCTGGGTTATTGACCATGGATATGTTTCACTTGTCATAGCCACAATAACATCCTCATTTTAGAGATTGTAACATCACCTGATGGAATTTATCACCAAGTTTTTACTTGTAATGATTTTATGATAGTTGCCCCTGCCTATGCTTCTAGAGCGCTTGAGTATACCTCCAGTTATTTGATGGGGTGCATGTTCCATAATCTCACCTTCTTGTGTAGTGTTTTGTAAATTGTCTCTTCAGTGTTTTTCTGTCAGCATATTATTCAGTTATAAACCTAAGCAGGTAAGACATTTCAGCAAGTGCACTCCTGTTTTATATTTTGGTTATTATTTTACACATCACTTAATAATACAGCAATAGCTATTCAGTTTTCAATAAATTTTACTAGAGTTTGATACATGTTTTATTAAAAAACTTAAATTTTACTCCACACATATCAGTGATGCAATCTTCAATGTCATTATTGCAATTGTACATCTAACTTTTATTTCTTATTTATGTGCACTGAGTCAAAATTTAAATAAGAACAAATCAAGGCCATGATATTAGGGGGATATAGTTAAGTCGTTATAACAAGCTAGTTAAGTCGTTATAACGAAATAGCTTACTTGTTATAACAAGTTAGAGAAGCCATTATAACAAGAGTTAGCATAGTTGTTATATTGAGTTACTAAGTTGTTGTAACGAGTTACTACATTGTTATAAAAAGTTAGATAAGTTGTTTTAACATGTAACTTAGTTGTTATTTAGAGTTAGCTAAGTTGTTATAACAAGTTATAAAGTCGTTATAATGAATAAGCTAAATCGTTATAGCGAGATAGCTTAATTGTTGTAATGAGTTATCTAAGTGACGATCCTAAGTAGTTAAAACGAGTTGTTAAGTCGTTATAATAAGTAAGCTAAGTCATTGTAACAAGTTACTAAGTCGTTATAATGACTAAAGATAAAGCTTAACACCCTGACGCTAACTGGCTTCTGTAATGGTAAGAGTTCAGTAAGGTAAACTATTAAAATCCTTGATATTACATGGGAAGAGGATAACCAACAACTTATCCCAGGTATTAGTAGTTACTATTACAGAGATTTTTATTCAACTAAACAAAAAAGTCATAGCAATATTCAATTCATTTTTTTGAAATCCCTACACTATTTCATACCGAAATAAAAATTATATATATTTTGCATTTACCCGTGGTGTGCCCCAGTCTTCAATCTTCAATCTTTGTCGTGATGACAGGGTAATCTCTCTTGTAAAGTATCCTCTCCCCAGACACACCTCCAATATTGAGTACTCTCCCTTGTACACATATGACAGAAAACAACGACTCGGACATATAAAGGTTAAGGTCATTTAACCGATAAACGTGGTAGTAGACAAACCAAATCCTGTTAGCTTTACTTTTTTTGGACTACAATGGAGAATTACAAACCTTTCCCCCATTTTGGTACAGATGCTACTCATGCTGGTCAGGATCCGGACAAGTGGAAATGTAGAGCTGTCGTTCCTTTGATTTCCATGTCGACAACCTTCAAACAGTCGGCCCCTGGTGAACATTCAGTGAGAAACTTTTATTTTGTACAACATAGAAAAAAATAAGCGCATTTTAAGCTCGTGTATTGAAGGAGACAGTTATATTTAATATTGTACTTATTTAGTTCTATTTCAAAACAAAATACACGTCTACATATATAGGTCAATAAATAGAACATTTATGATTGTCCCTTCATTGGTTGGGACAATTAAGTCACCACCAAAAATTTTCTTGTGCTAAAAAATCCAAACGTTTTAGTCATGGATTTAATCAGTTTTTGTCAGTGCTAGGGATATAACAGTCCGTTGTTAGCAAACCTTGCTAGGGATATATAATGTGCACCAGAATTAAGTTATCTTGCATTGTTTATTAACCTCTATTGATGCAATGATTGCATTGGTAACCAGACCTGCCAACTATCCCGATTTTGTCGGTATGATCCTGATTTTCATGCCTCAACCCGAATCCTGATATCGGGATCGTAAAACATGTAAAAATTCTGATTTTAACAAAATCTACCCGAAAAAATAGTTGGTTACTGATTTCGAAGTTTTTCTGATCAATTTCTATAATTCTATAATTTTACCTGGCGACATATTTATGACAAATTTACGACCCTAGCTAATCAACGGTCACACCAGGTGTCATAATTTGTTGTTACAGGTAATCTGCTTATCCGATGGGTCATAATGATCCTCAAAATTTATTGATTTGTATATATATAGAATCGGTCAGTCAGCAATTCAATTTTAATCAATTAATCATACAATCACAATTTGCAACATTTACTGTAGTTTCATGACAAAAGCGTAATTAACTGAAAGACGAAAACTGTAATAAACTCATTAGGAAACATCGTTTATCTTGATTCTGTTAAAATTTTTGAAATCAGACGTGTTTCTGCAAACTCCGTAACAGCGGTGACGTTGCTTCTCTAAACTATCAAAGTCAACGTAGCGTAGTAAGGAAGACGTTATCATTGTTTCAGAGTTTGGTGTTTCTGTCCAGTTCTGATTTAAAACCAACGCCATATACGCCAGTTCCGGGATACGGTAGTTCGATGAATCTGTCATGTGACTTCCATCACCACGTGACCAAAATGTAGGCATCGTCACATTCATTACATGTTGAGCGAAACGGGTGAAAAAGTTTGATCTTATACTGCACAATATATTTGGGAAATTAAAATCTAATAAGTTGGTCACCCTCCCTTCAGTTGTACGGGAATTAAGATTACGTACTTACGGAACATCAATTATTTCTAGACTACCCCGCAGAATGACGATTCTGAAAGTGCGTGAAACTTTAATTGTGCAGGGATACAGACGCGCCTTCTATCTGGTAAATAACATCTTAAAGGCATGCGAAATCTTTTCCAGTGAAAGACATGATTTGAGAAATAGCCTATTGTATTCACTTCTACTGTGTATAAGCCTCCGCCGGTAGGAGTACCTTTGAATACCAAGAAAGATAACTTAAATTTTATCCATTTTCTGATTACTGATAGACAAACTCGAGAACTGTCTAAATCCTTCTAACTTTAGGACATATAGGTTTCAGTCTTTTGAGTCATGGTGCAAAGATTAGAAGGTCTTTGTAGGGAGGGGGTGGTGTCTTCATTTTGTATTCCTTATTTTTTGGGCCATTTTTTTTCTATTCTTGAGTTATTTTGCCAATTAATGAGTACAAGAAATAAAAGAAAACAAGGTTTATTAGCTCATCATCAGTATACCAAAAGAAAAAGAAGAGATATGAGACTATTTCTAGAGTAAAAAACAGTGCACACAGAAATGCCGCAAAAATTGTAACCCTTAAAAATCTGGTAACGCACTAAAACCCCCATGGGGATTTTCAAAAGTTGGCAGGTCTGGTTAACACATAATGGAAACCTTCATATTACAGTTAAATTAGAGTCTTTCCAGATTACAATGATTTATTTGGCCTGCCTTGCATACCTAAACTGAAAATTTACATAGACAGAGGTGATAACAAACATATATCAATCCTACTTATCATCAGCAGCGTCAACATTATGCTCAGTCAGTGGTTAGGTTAGGGTTAGGGTTAAAGTTTTAAGACATCAATAACTTTGTCAAATCTTCATTGGATTTAATCAAATTTGGACAGAAGCTTTTTAATGATCGAAAGACAGCAAATATTCATAGCAAAATTTTGAAGAACATATTTTTTTTTCATTTTCCCTTATTTTACTGATAAAATGACCTACCTTTTTTAGGTATTTAAGATTAGCATACAGTGTTTGGTTAAAGTTTTTCAGACATCTAAAAGTTTGTCAAATCTTCAGGGAATTTTTAGAAACTTAAGACAGAAGCTTTTCATCATGTTCATGATAAAAGAAAGTACAATGTATTCAGAGCAAAATTTTTTAAATATTTATTTAATGTTTCAGTATTTTACCATGATGACTAGTTAAATGACTTAGAGTTTTCAGACTTGTTTTGAACTTGTTTTTTTTGCAGATAACATATAGATAAAGTCTTGGGTTAAAGATTTTTTTGACATCAATAACTTTCTCAAAACTTCATAGAATTTCATAAAACTTTGCCAGAAGGTTTTTTATGATGGAGAGATAATGTTTTATGCAAAATAATAAAATATGGATAAGTGGACTGCCCATTTATCCATATTTCATTATTTTGCCAGCCAGACAGGACAACTTTTTTTTGCACATAACATTTTGATACAGTCTTGGATTAAATATTTTAGACACAGTCTTGTGTTAAACATTGAAGACATCAATAACTTTGTCAAAGTTCAAGTAATTTTATGAAAGGAGACACAGGATTCCACTGAATCTTTTACATTTTTTTTACAGTTAAAATTAAGATACATTCTTGAGTTAGAATTTCAAATGAAAATTTATGAAACTTTGATAGAAGATTTTGTCATGATGAGGAGATAATTTCTGAAGCAACATTTATATATTTCATTTTTAACCAGATTTTCAAAGGAAAATATTGGTTATAAATTTTTGTTGATGTACGTCGGGCTTGCGGCCGGGCAGACGGCTGCCGAACAGTGTCTTTTCAAATTTAGATATATTGTTTCCTGTGACTAAATGAAGGTCAAGTTCGATTTTCATGATTTTAGCTTTTATCGTTGTTGAGTTGTAGACCTTAAGTAGTGAAAGTGATACTGAGAGTATTGTCAGTGCAATAACTTGAAAACACTTTGACGAAATCTTTTCAAATTTAGATTTGTTGTTTTCTGTGACTAAATGAAGGTAAAGTTCGATTTTCAAGATTTTAACTTTTAATGTTGTTGATTTGCAGACCTTTAAGTAGTGAAAAGTGATACTTAAAGCATTGATGGTGCAATAACTTGAAAACGCTTTGACGAAATCTTTTCAAATTAAGATATGTTGTTTCCTGGACTAAAAGAAGGTCAAGTTCGAATTTCACGATCATTCTTCCATCGACCATGCATATATTACAAGGCAACAACCGATTGAAAGTGTGTTTCTGGAAAGTTATTGGAGTGACCACAAGATTCTATGGTTTCATATTGAATAAGGTTAAAGTCTCATAAACATATTTCTTTCATTATTGACTTCATGATTTCTGCCTACCCACCCCTGCTAAACAAATATGTGTACCTATTTACTCTCTTAAATTCCAATATTATGTCACTTAGGATAAATAGGTCAAGATTGATTTTGGCCTTTCCATTTCTGAACCCAACAAAAATTCAATTATTTTTTTTACTTGATCCTGTTTGGGGGTCCAGATTTGCAAATATCATTTTCATGCATGAAAATCCAGTTTGTTGTCAATCTGACAGCCCCTTGTTCAGTATTTTACCATGTTTACTGATGGATGAACCTAGTTTTTATACGACCGCAAAAAAAATTTTGTGTCGTATATTGCTATGATGTCGTCGTCTGTGTAGTCGTTGTCGTCCGAAGACACATTTGGTTTCTGGACAATAACTTTAGTTTAAGGGAATGGATCTCTATGAAATTTTACCAGAAGGTTCAATACCACAAAAGGAAGGTTGGGATTAATTTTGGGGGTGATGGTACCAACAGTTTAGGAATTAGGGGCCAAAAAGAAGCATTTTTGTCGAGCCTTCGACTTTAGTCGAAAAAGTGAGACATAGCGATCCTACATTCCATCGTCGGCGGCGTCCACAAATATTCACTCTGTGGTTAAAGTTTTTGAAATTTTAATAACTTTCTTAAACTATCCTGGATTTCTACCAAACTTGGACAGAAGCTTGTTTATGATCATAAGATAGTATCCAGAAGTAAATTTTGTAAAAATAAAATTCCATTTTTTCCGTATTTTACTTATAAATGGACTTAGTTTTTCTGCCGGGAAATATTACATTCACTCTGTGGTTAAAGTTTTTAAAAATTTAATAACTTTCTTAAACTATCCTGGGTTTGTACCAAACTTGGACAGAAGCTTGTTTATGATCATAAGATAGTATCTAGATGTAAATTTTGTAAAAAAATCAATCCATTTTTTCCTATTTTACTTTTAAATGGACTTAGATTTTCTGCCAAGAAACAACACACTCACTCTGTGGTTAAAGTTTTTAAAATTTTAATAACTTTCTTAAACTATCCTGGATTTGTACCAAACTTGGACAGAAGCTTGTTTATGATCAAAAGCTAGTATCTAGAAGGACATTTTGTAAAAAAATAAATCGATTTTTTCCGTATTTTACTTTTAAATGGACTTAGATTTTCTGCCAGGAAACAACACATTCACTCTGTGGTTAAAGTTTTTAAAATTTTAATAACTTTCTTATACTATTTTGGATTTGTACCAAACGTGGACAGAAGCTTGTTTATGATCAAATGCTAGTATCTAGAAGGAAATTTTGTTTTCTTCCAGTTAACATTACATTCAGTCTGCAGTTAAAGTTATTAAACATTTATTAGATTCATAAACTATCCTGGATTTTTACCAAACTTGGACAGAAGCTTCTTACAATCAAAAGATAGTATCAAGAGGAATATTTTTATTGATTTACTTCCTCATTTTTGTTGAGCCTGTGATTAACAGAAAAAGTAGGCGAGACACTGGGTTCTGCGGAACACTTACGAATGTTTGTAGTTTCTAGACAATAATTTGGGTGTAAGTGTATGGATCTCTCTGAAATTGTACCACAAGGTTCCATATCACAAAGGGAAGGCTGGGATTGAGTTTGGGGTTAATTGCCCCAAACGTTCAGGAATTCGAGGCAAAAAAGGGGCCAAAAACAAGCATTTTTCTAGTTTCCAGACAATAACTTGTGTTTAAGTGTATGGATCTTTCTAAAATTGTACTACAAGGTTCCATACCATAAAGGGAAGGCTGGGATTGAGTTTGGGGGTAATTACTCCAAAAGGGGGTGTGGAGGGTTCAACAAGTTGAGGGGGATTTTTTTTTTTACAATTTTTTTTTGGGGGGGGGGGGGGGGGGGGGGGGGGGGTTCATTTTTTTTCTTCAAAATTTTTGAAATTTCAAATTTTTGAAATCTTCAATTGCACAGTACTGCGCATTAGCAAGAAATCTTCAATTGCACAGTATTGGGCAAAAGCAAGAAATCTTCAATTGCACAGTATTGCACAATAGCACAGTATTGCGCAAGAGCAAGAAATCTTCAACTGCACAGTATTGTGCAATAGCAAAAAATCTTCAATTGCACAGTATTGCGCAATAGCAAGAAATTTTCAATTGTACAGTATTGTGCAATAGCAAGAAATCTTCAGTTGAAAACAAATACAAATGTTTGAACCAATTTCGATGGGATTAATTAAGTCTTTAATTTTTGGAGGTTCTAACCTTGTATAATTTTTTTGGATATTGGGCCCCATTTTTAAATTGGTCTACATTGAGGTCTAAAGGGTCCAAAATTAAACTTTGTTTGATTACATCTAAAACTGAATTATTGCGGCTGTATGATTTGCTGAATCTTATTGTGCATTTAGATTTTTATTTTGGGCCCTGTTTTCAAATTAGTTCATATTAAGGTTTGAAGGGTCCAAAATTAAACTTTGTTTGATTTCAACTAAAATTAAATTATTGGTGTTTTTTTTATTTGCTGAATCTAACCATGTTGTTAGATTTTGGATATCAGACCATTCTAGGTAAATTAAATGTCCCATTTCAAATTTTTAAGATCTTTAACCTCATTTATTTTGTGTCAGAAACCAGTATTATGTCAAAAATTTGATCACATCCAAATTCAGACAGTATCAAGCTTGAATGTTGTGTCCAAACTTGCCCCAACTGTTCAGGGTTCGACCTCTGTGGTCGTATCAGGCTGCACTCAGCGAAGCATTTTATTTGCAGTTAACATTTGCTTACCATGCTTACAGGAAGGGATTATTTTTTTTAGGCATCAATAGATTTGTTAATCTTCATAGAATGTTATGAAACTTGGACATAATCTTCTTCAGTATTACATGTTTGTTGGCAACAGCATCTTTCAGATAAAAATTTGAATTTTTTTCTTCAATATTTTACTGATAAATGGACTTAGATTTTGGCAGTCAACATGAATTTTTACACTGACAATAGCATGATCTCAGAGGAGATGCTCATTTAAATGAAATTCTTTTCGAATTTTCTTATTTCATTGAAATCTTGGAAAATGTAACAAAAAGATGTAGTATTATACACAATAAAATATTTTAAGAAATACATATTGAGATTGACAAATATGTTTAGATACAACTGAATTTGGCCTGTCTGTATATGTAGTAGTAAAGAATCTATATAAGATATTAAAAAAGTGTGGTTTGAGACAAATTGGGAAATGCTGAAAAGTTTAATATCTTAAAGCGCTTAGACATTTGCCATTCCTTCTTCATTGTAGAATTACTTTAATTTCTAGGGATTTGAATATTCTCGTAGTGGTAATCCTACCAGGAACTGCCTTGAAGAGTGTATAGCTAAATTAGAAGGGGCTAAACACGGTAAGTGTATTATAAATAATCTACAACTTGAACACTCTTTTCAGGTCATATGATCCGTCATTCTCTGGGATAAACTTACCTATTCATGGTAATTTACATTTAAAGGACCAAAACAATGTTGTGTGGGGACAACATGATGTAGAATTATGCCCAGTGATGAGGGTACATCCATTTAACAGTTTGGAAGTAAAGAGACACAGTAACATTCATTGGGAGTTACTGTAAACTAACTTATTTTTGTGCATACTTTATTTCGCATTCAGTTCTTTCTAGCTATTTATTTTTGATATTTTTACATAAGGGAAGATTCAAGTTTCACATAGTTAGCACGAAAATAAATCGCTTGCAAAAATTAGTTCGTTATGGTAGTACATTGTACTTTAAATTGTAATAGTCTGTTTTGAGGAGTGCCATCATCTCTGTCATGATATACATGATATTCTTTAATATTGTAGCAATGGTGTTCTCATCAGGATTAGCCTGTACATCAGCTATAACACATATGCTACAGGTTGGAGACCATATAGTCAGCATGAATGATGTCTATGGAGGTATGTCTAGTAATAAATAAACTTCTCTGATCCATCTATTTTTGAAAAGATCCTAAAGTTAAATATTTCTGAGCATGAATGCTTATTGTATGAAAAGCTATATTGCATTATTGATAGTAGATCAAACTTTTTGGCATCAAAACTTACAATTTTTATTTCACTAGAAAGTGTCTATTCAATCATGGCATTTGCATTGTATTTGTAGAGGAAATAATATTGCTATAAATGATATTGACATTTGATGATTAATTGATAAATTTTATAACATAATTTAACAGCTCACATTCAATTGTATGTGGAAACCCATGCTTGGTTCATACTAAAATTAAAGAGGTTGAAATTGAACTAGTAGACTCGATGACTCAAGAACAATTTTTTTTTATTTTGAATAGAAAATCAATGTTTTTTAAAATATTTTTAATATGAACTAAAACAATTAGATACATTTTATCTTAAGTCAGACCCCCAAGGGTAATATGGTCATTCCTGGTCTTCTTCCGACCGGCAGTAAAACCCTTGCCAAAGTGGGTCGTCCGTTTGACTGTGCGGGATGTACAAGTACACAGTCACGTCTGGTCAGAATGTGGACATTAAATCTGATGCTTTCTGTAAAGAGATGTACACACTCTGCATGTTAAGAACCCTTGCAACAACTCTTTGGGGGGTCTGTAGGTGGCCTGTTGCAAGGCAAAATTTCTGTCCCTATCCAATAAACCCTCATTTTCCTGTTGCAGTCCAAATTTCCCAGACGGCCTTTTATTACATGATCTACCTTTTGTATTTATTGTTAATTTGTTCTGGTCCTGAACATGCATGAAATATTTGCCACTGGACATTAAACAACCAACAATCAATCTATGTAAAGTCAGGTTTGTATAACATAAAAAACGCAAGCTCTCAAATGGGTTTATATATTGCTCTTATTTTTTATATGACCGCAAAAATTAAAAATTTTTTGGTCGTATATTGGTATGACGTTGACGTTGGCGTCGTCGTCGTCGTCGTCGTCTGGCGTCGTCCGGCGTCGTCCGAAGACACATTGGTTTTCGCACTCTAACTTTAGTTTAAGTGAATGGATCTCCGTGAAATTTTACCATAAGGTTCAATACCACAAAAGGAAGGTTGGGATTGATTTTGGGGGTTATGGTACCAACAGTTAAGGAATTAGGGGCCAAAAATAAGCATTTTTGTAACTTCCAGACATAACTTGTGTGTTAGTGTATGGATCTCTCTGACATTGTACCACAAGGTTCCATATCACAAAGGGAATGCTGGGATTGGTTTTGGGGGTAATTGCCTCAAAATTTTAGGAATTAGGGGCCAAAAAAGGGGCAAAAAACAAGCATTTTTCTAGTTTCATGATAATAACTTGTGTGTAAGTGTATGGATCTTTCTGAAATTGAACTACAAGGTTCCATATCACAAAGGGAAAGCTGGAATTGAGTTTGGGGGTAATTGCACAAAACATTTAGGAATAAGGGGCCAAAAATAGCATTTTTATAGTTTCCAGACAATTACTTGTGTTCAAGTGTATGGATCTCTCTGAAATTGTACTGCAAGGTACCATACCACAAAGGGAAGGCTGGGAATGATTTTGGGGGTAATTCCCTCAAAATTTTAGGAATAAGGGGCCAAAAAGGGGAAAAAAACAAGCATTTTTCTAGTTTCAGGACAATAACTTGTGTTCAAGTGTATGGATCTCTCTGAAATTGTACTGCAAGGTACCATACCACAAAGGGAAGGCTGGGATTGAGTTTGGGGGTGATGAATCATAAGGGGTTTCAAAAAATTGGGGGGGGGGATTTTTTTTTTTTCTTTCCTTTTTTTTTCTTTTAAAATTTTCCATTTTAAGTTGGTTATTTCTGATTTATATTTAAAAGCAAATAATAATGATATGGTAGGAGATACACACCAAACAGGATGTGTAAATTATTATATAATAAGTATTGTGCAATAGCAAGAAAATTTCAATTGCACAGTATTGCACAATAGCAAGAAATCTTTCATTGCACAGTATTGCGCAATAGCAAGAAATCTTCAATTGCACAGTATTGCGCAATAGCAAGAAATATCCAATAGCACAATATTGCGCAATAGCAAGAAATTGTCAATTGTACAGTATTGCGCAATAGCAAGAAATATTCAATTGCACAGTATTAATTGCTTATTTCTTGACCAATTTCAATGGGGTTTTATTCTTGAATTCTTGGGGTTCTTTAATATGCTGAATCTAACCGTGTATTAAGTTTTTGGATTTTGGGCCCCGATTTTAAATTGGTCCACATTGAGGTCCAAAGGGTCCAAAATTAAACTTTGTTTGATTTCATCAAAAATTGAATTATTGGGGTTCTTTGATATGCCGACTCTAACCGTGTATTTAGATTCTTAATTTTTGGTTCCGTTTTCAAATTGGTCTACATTAAGGTCCAAAGGGTTCAAAATTAAACTTAGTTTGATTTTAACAAAAATTGAATTCTTAGGGTTCTTTGATATGCTGAATCTAAACATGTTTTAGGTTTTTGATTATGGGCCCAGTTTTCAAGTTGGTCCAAATCGGGGTCCAAAATTAAACTTTGTTTGAATTCAACAAAAATTGAATATATGGGGTTCTTTGATATGCTGAATCTAACCATGTATTTAGATTTTTGATTTTTGGGCCCCGTTATCAACTTTGTCCACATTGAGATTCAAAAAGGGTCCTAAATTAAACTTTGTTTGATTTCATAAAAAATTGAATTCTTGGGGTTCTTTGATATGCTGAATCTAACCATATATTTAGATTTTGGATATTGGACCATAATAGGTGAATGTCCAATTTAATAAAAAAATTTAAGTTCTTAGACCACATTCATTCTGTGTCAGTAACCTATGCTGTGTCAAATATTTAATCACAATCCAAATTCAGAGCTGTATCAAGCTTGAATGTTGTGTCCATACTTGCCCCAACTGTTCAGGGTTCGACCTCTGCGGTCGTATCAAGCTGCGCCCTGCGGAGCATTTTATTGTAGTCCTATAATTGAATTTCCAAGGATCACAATTAGACTTCATGCTGAAAAAGAAATTTGTATAAAACAGCATTGTATATTTTAAGTGTAAACAATTTTTATTATTAAATGAAAGTAATATAAATACACATTAACTACAATTTGAATACTTTTAGTACAACAGTTTGAACAGTAAAATATATTAATTAATTGATTGCTTTTTGCTGAATATTCAATGATAAATGAAATTAACCCTAGAAGGCTCTTATGATCTATCAGGATGGAGGATAGAAAATTTTGACTTGATTTGGAAAGAGAATGCAACAAGGGCAGGAAATTTGCCTTCCAATCTGTTATCCTATGACCTTGAGAAAATGGATATTTTAGTATCTGTAAGAATGTTTTTAATTTGCAGGTACAAACCGTTATTTTAAGCAGTGTGCCTCCAGGATGGGTATAGAAACATCGTTTGTAGATTGTACTGATCCAACAAAAGTCCAGAAAGCAATCAAAGCCAACACCAAAGTTTGTAATTTGAAATACTGTTGATTCATTTGGGTACTAATTTTTTGGTTGGGATTTAGAAAATGTTGAACACTTGAAATTGTGGTTCACCTGTACCACCTGTAAACCCACAAAACACAGGAAAAATGTGTACCCCATGAAAAATAATGAATATAGATATAAAGGGATGTGGTATGGTTGCCAATAAGACAACTATCCACAAAATTCCTAAGGATGAAAAGGGGAATAACTCCAGATCACTTATAATCCACAATAAAGCTATATGTTTTCAGCAAAACAGAATTTTAAGTCCCATGAATTAACAAGATTAATAAGCATTCTGTTTAGATTTTGATTTCATTAATCTTGCTTATTAGGCTGTGAATTCATTTATTTCATATTGTATTTGATTTGCCTGAATTTGCCTTAACAATTGAAAAAAACATTAATGTTTCCACAATTTTATGCATTACTACTCTTCACACTGCTCTTGTGTAACTGAGATACTGGATGCTGATACACTTCTTATTAAGTATCATTGAATTATAATATCTCAAATAGTTTGTTCAATTACAAAAAAGAAAACTAGTTGACAACATTGTATCAATGTTAATAATCCAAAGACCTATAAATATTTAGGATTGTTTGAATGTGGCAGATCTGTGATAGCCTTTTTATGTTTTCAGATGGTATGGGTTGAAACACCCACCAATCCCACAATGCAGTTGGTTGATATAGAAGCTGTAGTAAATGTAGTACGCAGTAAGAAACAGGATATCTTTGTAGTGGTGGATAATACCTTTATGTCATCATGTATGCAGGTACATATCATCTAATCTATTTTTAGTTTAAGATTAAAAAGATAGAAGAGGAAAAGAATATGTGTTCATTTTAATTAGATTGTATTCAAATGAAATTTCATGCTTTGTTCGGTTACAAAAACTGTTTAAAAGGATTTCTGACTGAGTAGCGAGTCCAGGGGGGTCTCTTCCTACCGGTATATAAAAGTATACACAGATGTGGCGCTGGTCTAGGTCACTTTTTTTGAATGTCATATATATCATTGGGGTGCTATTTTACGGAGGTAATATGCCAGTGGGTTGACATGTACTTGTCAATGGGTTATAAATGTTCATATTCTGTTAAGATGTCTGTGTAAACTGTGTTCTGATAAATTTATCTAATAATATGAATGTATTGTGGTTAACGTCTTAACTAGATGTCATGATAGCTAGGAAATATGTATAATCGGGTTGTAATTTTCCTATGTTTTGATGGAGTGAAAAAAAGGTTATGTTACTCAGGCTATCAGTATATTTTGAATTATCCAGAAATCTGAGTTATCAAAAGTTACTGTGCTAAAATTTTATAGGCTGTGAATACATGTATTATTATGTTATTATTCTAAAATTTGATGTGATTAATAACAATTTTTAACATATTTCTAATTTAAACAAGTTTAACTAAATAGACATAGAAGGCTATGGAACAAATATAAAACTGGTATCATACTTATGGTATTTTTTTGTACAATAACCTTATGTTAACATGATTATAAATGACAAGTTACAACAATATTTGCCACTTTGTTCTTGATTATGACTAAAGATAACAAATTTTACCAATTCTTTGTTGATTTTCCAGAGACCATTAGATTTTGGCGCCGATATAGTGATGCATTCTTTAACCAAATACATGAATGGTAGGTTTAACTACATTTGCTTTAGTTACTTTGGATCATATACCTCCAATGGATTAATAAACTGATGGTAGAAGTTTGCAGAAAGTCATGACTATTATTTCATACAAGTTATCCGCTCTCTTTTAATATCATTTATTTTATTCATTTGTTTTGTTTTAAATTAATGGTTAAAAAAGAAATATTGTGAGAAGTAACAGATAATAAATTTGTATTTGTTTTCATTTGACCTGTGTGAATGAATTGCCTCCCTTTGATGAAGTTCATGACAATGTTTCTTTGTCTGTGTAGGTCATTCTGATGCAGTAATGGGAGCCTGTGCAACAAACAGTGATGATAAGGCGGATAGACTGAGGTTTTTACAGAATGGTATGGTATTGTTCTACACTTTGTCATTTATCAGAATATTTACTTGTATTGTTTTATATTATCTGTAAATCTGTCAGAAATCTGTACTACTAGATTTGGATAGTTAAATATATAAATCAGATTTTATGGTTATTGATACCAAATACCAGTTACTATAATAGAAAAGAACGGACATTGAAATCAAATTATGACTTAAAAATAAATACATGTACATGGAAAAAAAAGGAACAAAGCTTGTATAGAATTCTTTCTATTTAAGATGTTTCATTTATATTGTAGCTTTTGGACCAGTCCCTTCACCATTTGATTGTTTCCTGGTTAACAGAGGCCTGAAAACTTTACATGTTAGAATGAGGGAGCACATGAAGAATGGTTTAGCTGTAGCAAAATACTTAGAAAAACATCCCAATGTTGAAAAAGTCATCCATCCAGGTATGTTATCAGTTAAGGGATGAAAGGATCATTTTTTGTCTCGCCTTGACAGAGTCAAAAAGCGAGACATAGGTATGCTGTTTCCGGCGGCGGTGTTGTCAACAATGTATTAGTTTGTGATTAGGTCTAGTTCATGGTGAACCACTAGTGGTAGGTCAATGCTATTTGGTATGCATTTGTATTAGCATTGGCACATCTCATTACCATGGAGATTATTTAGCCCCGCCCCCTCAGTCAAGGTCTATTGACTTTGAAACTTTGCTTAGTTTACATGTATTAGTTTGTGATTAGGTCAGTTTATGGGGAACCACTAGTGGTAGGTCAATGATATTTGGTATGCAGTTGTATAAGCATTGGCATATCTCATTTCGATGGAGATTATTTGGCCCCGCCCCCTCATTCATGGTCTATTGACTTTGAAACTTTTGCTTAGTTTTCATGTATTAGTTTGTGATTAGGTCAGTTTAATGTGAACCGTTAGTGGTAGGTCAATGATAATTGTATGCAGTTGTATTTATAAGCATTAGCACATCTCATTTCCATTGAGAATATTTGGTTCTTACCCCTCAGTCATGGTCTATTAACTTTGAAACTTTTGCTTAGTTTACATGTATCAGTTTGTGATTAGGTCAGTTTAAGATGAACCACTAATGTTAAGTCAATGATATTCGGTATGCAAATGTATTGTTGGCATTTGCAAGTTTCATTTCCATGGAGATTATATAACCCCACCCCCTAATTATGGTTCATGGACTTTGAAACTTTTACATAGTTTACAAGTTAATGTTTGTGTTTAGGTTTGTTTAAAGGGAACGACTTATGAAAAGTCAATGGTATTTGGTTTGCAGTTGTATTAGCATTGGCACATCTCATTTCTATGGAGATTGTTTAGCCCTGTACCTTCAGTCATGGTTCATTGACTTTGAATATTTGCATAACTTACATGTTAAAGTATTGCTATTTTAATTTCAACATTTGCATTATCAAAATAACAAATAGGCGAGACATATCTCTGTGTGAACAGTTTATTTACCTTTACTTTCATATCCTCTAGTTCAGAATTAGTCATGGTCCTTGTATACATATATTAACCTTATTTTAAGTGTTTTTGGGATCTTCACAAGGGACATGGGCTCATATTCCCTGTTAGTGTTTAATGTCCCCTGAGATGTAGGGTGAATGGGTTATAGGGCACTTAAAAGGAATATGAGCCCATATCTCTTGTGAAGCCCCAATAACAATTATATTATCTGCAGTGTCCTGTTTTTTGTCACAGTGCTCTCAAACTTGGTAGGATTACTTGCCATCATATGCAGCTGACCATATTATATCATCATTATAATTTGACCTTTTTATACGACCGCAAAAAATTTTTTGGGATCGTATGATGTCGTCGTCGTCTGCGTCATCGTCCGTAGACACATTTGGTTTACGGACAATTACTATAGTTTAAGTAAATGGATCTCTATGAAATTTTTCAAGAAGGTTCAATACCACAAAAGGAAGGTTGGGATTGATTTTGGGGATGATGATCTCAACCGCTTAGGAATTAGGGGCCCAAAAGGGGCCCAAAACAAGCATTTTTCTAGTTTCAGGATAATAACTTGTGTATAAGTATCTTGATTGCTCTGAAATTTTACCGCAATGTTTAATACCACAAGTAGAAGGTTGGGATTCATTTTAGGGGTTATGGTGCCAACAGTTTAGGAGTTAGGGCCAAAAAGGGACCAAAAACAAGCACTTTTATAGTTTCCGGACAAAAACTTGTTTGTAAATGTATGGATCTCTCTGACATTGTACCACAAGGTTTCATATCACAAAGGGAAGGCTGGGATTGAGTTTGGGGTAATTGCCCCAAACATGCAGGAATTAGGGACCAAAAAAGGGCAAAAAACAAGCATTTTTCTAGTTTCCAGACAATAATTTGTGTTTAAGTGTATGAATCTCTCTGAAATTGTACTACAAGGTTCCATGCTACAAAGGAAAGGCTGGGATTGAGTTTGGGGGTAATTGCTCCTAGGGGGAATTCAAAAAGTTTGGGGGAGGGGATTTTTTCCAATTTTTTTAAGGGGTTCATATTTTTTTTTCAAAACTTTTCCAATTTCAAATTTTTGAAAACTTTCAAGAAATAATCTGCAATTGCATAGTATTTCACAATAGATTTGTAAGATCTTTGACCACATTTATTTTGTGTCAGAAACCTATTTTATGTCAAAAATTTTATCACAATCCAAATTCAGACAGTATCAAGCTTGAATATTGTGTCCAAATTTACCCCAATTGTTCAGGGTTCGACCTCTGCGGTCGTATCAGGCTGCGCTCAGCGAAGCATTTTATTTATCATTGGAGTTATGGGACTTTTACCATATTTTGACTATTGTACTACAACGACACATTGTGACACACAATTTAATTTCTCATTTATACACTGGGTGGGGCATTTGTTATGGGTAGCAATCTTGTGGGACTATTGTATAACAATGGCACCTTGTTCCGCCTAGTGAATAACAGGAACAAATACAAAAGCATGAAATACACTTAATGTAATCTATGTTCCTGTTCTACAATTCTATACAGTAAACATAAATTTTATTCCTCTTCACACAACAACAGGGGGAAATTTTGGTACGTCATAGCAATCTTGTAAGATAAATCACCATTCTAATCTTTTGTATTCGTTCACAAGGTACATTGTCACATATACCCTGTCAAGGTTTCCAATCAGTTTGCATGATCAGCTGGGATATTTCACTCTTGTATAGGGGGGTGGGAGTCATAATTTATTAAGTTACAGTTTTTCTAGTTCATTTATCTTTTTGTTGGAGAGCAATAAGGTATAATGCATTCTCACATTTTCACCTAGTTCCAAGTTCTGTTAATATTGACTTGGTAAGAGCTGTTATTTTCACCACTAGATACACTAAGGGATGTTCAATACTAGATTTCTTTATAGCAACCATATATCACATTCATTTGGAATTTAGCATGAAATTGCTGCATTGTATGGAGTATTTTTTTCTATATTTTATACACTATTTGTTATTAACCTTTCCTGAAATCTCATATTAGAATTTGAATGACATGTGTTGTGGTATATAGCAAGGTGTTAGAGAGTTGTGCCATGCATTTTCTTGGCACTGAGTTTATACCTGGTTATATGCTTTTAATATTTCCTCTATATATCACTTTTATTGCAATCTTTTTGTGACAGATTTCTAAGCAACTTTGTTTATTTTTTTTATAAGTCGTAGAATGTGATTTTTTTTCATCCTATAGGCCTAACGTCACATCCACAACATGAACTGGCTAAAAAACAAATGAGAGGGTTCAGTGGTATGGTTACTTTCTTTATCAAAGGAGGACTGGAGAATTCTAAAGCTTTCCTTCAAAATCTCAAGGTAAAGTTATATATATATTTAGCTGCTTTTACCGACAAACATTAATTATTAAAAACAAATGATGGAGAAAGACATTTAACAGAAGTCACTAATGTGTTACATATTCAGTCATACTGACCAAATGCATGTCCAGGATGTTTGCATCGGTTTGACATTTTGATTTTTTAACCTTAATTGTAATGGAAAAAAAATGTAAAATCATGATAAAGAAATTTTAAATCAGATTTCAAAAAGGTAAATTTATGGCTATCAAATGCATTTTTTCAAAATAGAAGGTAATACTTTGTAATTCTTTTAATTTTGAACTTATTATTTATGATTGTTAGTCATTGCATTTAAAAATTGTATTCATATAAAGTCTCACCTCATTCATAGGTATTCACCCTAGCTGAAAGTTTAGGAGGATTTGAAAGTTTAGCTGAACTTCCGTAAGTTTTATACACCTTGTTTGTAGTTACTATGATGCTGTACTGTATTGGGAATGTGATGATAGAATTTTATTGGAGACTTATACCAGTTACCTTTGCCTTTTATTAGTTACTCTTGCATAAGTTCTTTCAAATGCATATGTAGTTTTTATCAATGATTATCTCTATTTTTTAACATTTTAACTTTCTGTTAGGATAATTTTCCATCCATCTCCGACTACTTGACTTAAATGGGTTCTTCTCAATTTGAAATGTTTGGCTGCCATTTTCTGCCTTTTGATTTATCTTTGTGATTTATGAATTGGTTAGTGAGGAATACAAAACAATAACTTGTCTTTGTTTACTTCATTATACCACATGCATCAGTTAAGGAGATTTTGAAATTTAGAAAAATAGAAGCACAAGATGCCAAGGGGACAAATATGCTGCATGAACTATATTTTAATTTGGAATAAAAGGAGATGTGGGGTTAATGTCAGTGAGACAACAACACAAATAACCAAAAAAGCATATAGAGGTCAACATACAGTCATCAACTATAGACAGGTGTTAATACAATCAAGCTTTTAATTGTCCCAAGTCGAAAAAAGTTATGAATAAACTTAACAGAAATTATCAAAGATAGCTGTCTACTTCAAATTCTTCCAATAACAAAAAACATTAAGAAATAATATATACTTCCACTGACAAGTTTCCTGACTTAAAACAGGCATATGAAAATGTGGCTGGATTAAACTAGTTTTCTTTAAGATCTCAACTGTATTCACTATAAATGAATCAATGATATCAATGTATTCTGTTTCTATAGATCTGTTATGACACATGCCTCTGTACCAGAAGCAGAAAGAGCTGAGTTGGGAATTTCAGACCAACTTATACGACTGTCTGTAGGAATAGAAGATGAAGAAGATATTTTAGAAGATTTAAAACAAGCTCTTAAGGCAGCTGCAATGGTAATTAAACCTGTCTGTTTGTAGAATGAATCATAGACATACAAATAAGAAAAGCTACCTGTAAATAGAATATGGTATTGAAATTTAATGGCTGTTTCTTCTTTATAATCTATTGATACATTGAATAGAAATTAGAAAATCTCATAGGCATGCAGGAAGTTTAAGTATTGCAGCTAGATGGACCAAGCCTTTTAGTCTTAGCATTGTTCAGGAGGGATACTTAAGATTTTTGCCATATAAATGAAACAATGTAGTGATGTACTTAAATGTTAAATTCTGGAGAAGAAAAAGAATATTTTGTCATGTTTCTTGTTCAAGTGTTAAAAAAAAAACAAAGACAATATCATGCTAAAAAAAAAATCATATACTAGTAGTTATAACTACCATTTAAGGGATGCTTCTATTAGATATATTGCAATATGTTGCTTTGTGCCCCTGTCTTTATCATGGTCCAGATCATGCTTTAAACATATAGGTCTTGAGCACAGTTGCATTTTGCACCATGGCACTGCAAAAATTTAAATCATACACCCTGAATTGGGTCAAATCTATGGAGTAAAATTAAGGCATAGTTTATGTTGGAAATCAGAAATTTAAATCATGTTTATTGTTGTACATGACAGTGTTCTCCCCAGAAATTTTGGATAGCATCACATTTGTCGTAAAAAAATAAATTGTATTTTTTTTCAATGTCATTTGACGTGTCGCAGCGATGCTCTATTTCCTTTATGTTATATATATGTTTATAATGTTCAATTCATTACTGAGAATACAATTAAACTTTAACCATGATAACAGTTGTTTCAGTTTATGTTTTCTATATTCATTTATAGTTACAGAATTATTTTTTTCCTCTTGGGCCAAATAAAAATATATGTGTGGTTCCAGTTACCCTACCTACGCAACTAAACGAAAGAATGAATGAATTAATGGTTTATTATAGTACAACCTGTATATATACAATACTAAATATCTAGCAACAAAAAAAAAATGGTTTTTATATAAAAGTGGAAGAGAAAGTATCATATAGCAATAAAATTTCAATTAAAAAACTTTTTTCTTTTTCATGTCTATGAAATTCATTGTTTCATGGTACTCAATGAATTAGTCCCAGTTGTTTCTTTATATCAAAATGATATATATTTTTAACAAAGTTAAGCTACTTCAGTCAGTATATTAAAATGATGTATTTTCAAAAAGAATACATTTAGCAAAGATATCTAATAAATAGTCTGTTAATGCGTGTGGAATGCGTAGTTTTCTCTTTTGTGATCATTTTTTTCTGTCTACTGTGCCATTTGTGCATCTGTAGTTATTATCGTAAAAATGCGGAATTTTGTCATATCTGGTCCGGTTCCGATCCGTAGTTTTCACAAATATTTCAATGGCGGCGGAAGAAAAATTTACGTAAATAAACAATGCTTGACAAGAAATTGGGAATGAATATGACGCTTTTAATGCATTAAATGGATGAAACATTTACTAAAGCCAATTATGATCTCTTTCTAAAGAAGTATCAAACTTATTTATTATTATAACTAGTTATACCGGAAATGAAAGAAAGTAATTTTTTAAAAGTTGTAAAAATATACGACCTAACCTCTTTTCTAAAGAGAGAACTCGTTTGTATCTTTGAATTTGGGTTATGCAAACGTAGATTTCGAATTGTTTTTCGATTTTCTGATTACATTTTCTCCATGTCGAAATTTGCGATTGGACCACGTGGTATTATTCATGTCATAAGTGTCAGCTTGGGGTATTCGTATCCATTCAGTTATCACCCAAAGGTCAATTAACACCTATGTAATCACTCTAAATTGCCTCTATTGTCCAACTTGAAGGGATTACAATTAAAGGTGATATAATTTTTATGATCACAAGCGGTAATTAGATGAAAGTTCAATATTTAGGACATGGTTTTGCGATTTACACACAAGACAAATAGCATCCTCAAAATAATTATAGCGTCGCGGAAATGATTATACCATCACGGGAAAAAAATATTGCGTCTTGGTGCCGTGACGCTAAAACGGCCTGGGGAGAACACTGCATGATCACTTATGGTGTCCAAGTCTCAATCATGTGTATTTTGTGTAAGATACAGACAAGATTGCTTTACTTGATGATTAGCATGAAATGATAGCTGTGATTCATTTCATGTTTTTGCTGCAGAAAATTATTACAAATGTATATAATTTAGTATTGGTTGTACATTTTATTTCTTTCATGTTGTTTAAATCCTGAATTGTCATTTACATTGTTCATTCAGATTGGACATAGCTACAAGGTAACTCTACACAACTATGCCAGATGGCACTTTGATTTTTCAAGGCATTATATGTAGAACTTTCAATAAGTTTTAGTTACTTTTTCTTCATACAAATGTTGGTGTTTGATTTGCCTTTTCTTATTGTAGTCACTTATCAAAATGAATAAAATGAAATATTGGATAATCATCAACCCAAAAACAAAAGTTAACTAAACTAGATCTCTAGAAATAGCCCTGCAGTTTTCATGTTTGTAAGCGCTCATCTCCCTAAAAAGTTATGAATTGTCTTCACAAGTTTAAAAAATTCAACAGAGCTAACTTTATCTATGAAACAATACAAAAATCTCAATATGGAAAAACCTATGATAACCACTGATATGATTCCTGGCTTGTGTTGAAATGTCAGTATATTCATTATAGAAATATTATTTTTGGTTACTTTACATATCTGTTGAGTTTAACCCGTTCAATAAATATTGTTTTCTGTTTTGCAGGTATAAACTCCTTTTTTAACAACTTGGGGAACAGATCTGCATTCCATAGTATACCTTTGTAGATATATTATTAATTTATCATCACAACTGATTTTTTTGAGGATTATCTTCTAAAAAAAAAACCATCATTTTACTGTATTACAGATTATACTTAAGATTGAAATTTTTCTCTTTTGGTAAAATAATGTATATTGCTCAATTTGTTATACATTAGTCCCAAATCTGTGCTGTGCTGTTATACTTTATAATTGTATATACTTTGTGTCAATTTCTAAGGACATAATTTGTGTGGATGTCTCTGTTTGAAATATTCATATTTGAAGAACAGTTCCAAAATTGGAAAGAAACCAAAACAATCATTTGAATCAAAAAGTGAAATTGGAGTTACACTATGCCATAAGGCTTCTATACAAGTTTCATTGAAATCCAGTATCTGGTTAAGGAGTAGTTGTAAATACAAAGTCCTGATTGACAAACTAATGATAAAAAAAATGAATGAACAAACAAAGGAACAGACAGATGGACAAAAGGACTAAAACATCTATATATATTACTATTTAATAAGTAAATTATTATACATGTAATTTAAAAAAAGAAATTTGATTTTGTAATCCAATCAATCATTGATCAATGTCAGAATTTGATCATGTCACTTGAAATTTTAAGAGATTCCTCATATTTTATATAATCAGATCTGACTTACTTTCTTTACGTACAAGATTTGATATATCTTTTCAATTTAAAACAAATAAAATCATTTATATATGATCTTTTTAAGTATATTTTTACAAAATCCTTTTATTGTGCAATTGTAACTTTCACTATTCTAAATAGATATTTGATCACAATCCCAAAAAAAAGAATTCAACAATACCTGCATTATTTTTGTTGTAAGAATCTCGTACTTGTTAGAAGCAGTTTGTTTTTTATCTATATTTACCAAATTGAGTGATTGTTTATCAAAGTATGAAATGACTTCATTTGCGTGTTTTACATTTAATAAGTGCTAGAATTGTATCAGTTATTGTATTTAATAAATGTTTTATTCAAGCATAAAAGTTGTATTGAATCAGATCATTTTACACTGTCTATTGCTCTGAGGGACCACTTTTCTGTCATTCTGACAATGGTATACATTTTACTTTTTGTCTGATATTTCTGTAAGATGAAAAATGTGGGTTGTGTTTTTCGTTGTAAAAAGGTTTTTTTTCTAAATTAACCTTTTGCAAAGTTAATGGAAGTGAATATTTGTTGCTATATAATATATTTATATGTCTGTGTATACATTACTTTAGGTTAGTTAATATATGTCTGTGTATACATTACTTTAGGTTAGTTAATATATGTCTGTGTATACATTACTTTAGGTTAGTTAATAACAATGATATCAAGGATGCTCAGAATCAGGTTTGACTGATGATTGCCATCAGCATCACATCATAACCTGATCAGATCATATACAATGTTGTGTAACAGATATTTGCATATTACTTTTGAATTGGATTTATACATTTGTATGTTGGTAACTGTTCACACAATTTTTATACGCCTGTTTATGGGACGTATTATGGTATACCATTGTTCGTCCGTCTTTCTTTCCATCCGTTTGTCCGTCTGTCTGTCCGTCGTCAACATGTTGGACAATAACTCAAAAACGCTTTAACTAATCTGCATGAAACTTTGGTGAATTGTTTATATCTATTGACGTGAGCTCCTTTCATTTTTTTATAAATTTTAGATTTTAAGTTTCTGAGTTATGGGGTTTTATTCATTAAAAAGGGAGATTTTCCAGTTTTCGGACAATAACTCAAAATACTTTCACCAATTTGCAAGAAACTTTGGTGAATTGTTTATATCTATTGACATGAGCTCCCTTTCAATTTTTATAAATTTTAGATTTTAAGTTTCCAAGTTATGGGGTTTTATTCATTAAAAAAAGGGGGATTTTCCAGTATTTGGACAATTACTCAATAATGCTTTCAGCAGTTTTCATGAAAGTTTGGTGAATTGGTTATATCTATGGACAAAAGCTCCCTTTTGATTTTTATAAATTTTAGATTTTACGTTTCCAAGTTATGGGATTTTGTTCATAAAAAGGGAGTGATTTTCCTGTTTTTGGACAATATCTTTTAAGTGCTTTGAGCAGTTTTCATGAAATTTTGGTTACTGGTTTATATCTATTAAGATAACCTCCCTTTAGTTTTTCATAAATTTCTGAAATGACATTGAGAAGTTATCGGGTGTATCATGCGCTCATGGTGCAGATGTTTATTGGATATTAGCTTTGTAAACACATTTTGTGAATACAAGTACTTTTAAAATCAGTTAGTCATTAATTTTTATGAAATAAGAAGCTATAGGTATATGTCAATGAAGAAATAGCCATTTACAGAAAAAAAAAACTTAAAAGGCATCTAGAGGTCATCATACCATGCAATACAATAGACCAGTGTCTTCCATGAACATCAATTTCTTTACAGAACACATGTGGCAGGGTTACAACTAACAATTATTTTTCAGATTCCAAAAATATATAGTTTGTAGTTCTTTTCTTTGAAATGAAGGAGATGATTAGCTACTTCCAGTTGGCTAAGAATCGTTATTTCCAGTGTCAACTAATAGCTTACTTTTTCGCTGATTCTGAAAATATATGTGTTTTTTTGTCTCGCTGGCGACAAAAGTCTTAGAATGCAAGACATAGGTATCACAATCCGACAGCAGCGATGGCGTAAACTATTTGTATAAAGCTCTATATTTCAAGAGCTAGAATACCTGGATGCTTCATACCTTGTATGCAGATCCTTATGTTAAGAAGTATGTCCATTGTCCTTGACCTCATTTTCATGCTTCATTGACTGCTTGAAAAAAAATTAAAGTTATTTAAAAAGTGAAATACTCACTTATTATGAGCAAGAGGATAACTACATATTGGTATATTGGTTACTTGCAAGGTCTACATGTCTGTCAGGTAGGGTTCACCTGACCTCAACCTCATTCCATGGATCAGTGATCAAGGTAAAAGTTACATGGTCAAGTCCGTATCTCAGAAACTATAAGCAGAAAGTCAACTTTAGTGTATGGAATGATTGTAAGGTGTACATGTCTGACTGGCGGGTTTCATCTGACCTTGACCTCAGTTTCATGGTTCATTGGACAATGTTTATTTTTTGTGGTTTGGTCTATTTCTCAGATACTATAAGGAATAGGGCCACTATGTTTAGTATATGGAATGATTATAAGGTATACATGTCTGACTTGCAGGTTTCATTTGACCTTGACCTCATTTTGATGGTTCATTGGACACTGTTTAGTTTTTGTGGTTTGGTCTATTTCTCTGATACATGTATTATAAGCAGTAGGTCAATTATATTTGGGTGTGGAATGATTGTAAGGTGAACATGTCTGTCTCGCAGGGTTCATATGACCTTGACCTCACTTTCATGGTTCATTTGTCAATGTTTAGATTTTGTGGTTTATTCTGTTTCTCAGGTACTATTAGTGAATAGGATCACTATATTTGGTGTATGGAATGATTGTTGGGTGTACATAGATATAAGAAGATGTGGTATGAGTGCCAATGAGACAACTCTCCATCCAAGTCAAAATTTATAAAAGTAAACCATTATAGGTCACAGTACGGTCTTCAATGTCTGTCTGGAATGGTTCCTCTTACCATGACCTCATTTTCATAGAAAATTGATAATGTTTAAGTGTATGTGATACTTGTATTAAAACCTTCATATTACAGACTTTCAACATGAGTTCAATGATAAGTAAAACAGGCAAGACATTTCAGCATGTGCACTCTCGCTATGAATAAGTGAGCTTTACTCATCACTTGGCATCCGTTGCCTATTGTCGTCGAACGTTAACTTTATCAAAAATTTTCTTCTCTGAAACTACTGGGCCAAATTTTAAAAGGTAAATGTCCAATTTCAAATTTTTCAGTACTTTGACCACATTCATTTTGTGTCACAAACCTATGCTGTGTCAAATATTCAATCACAATCCAAATTCAGTGCTGTTTTAAGCTTAAATGTAGTGTCCATACTTGCTCAACTGTTCAGGGTTTTACCTCTGCAGGAAATCCGGTTTGCTGTCACTCTGACAGCCTCTTGTTGCCTAATATCTTAAAAAAATCTTACCAAAACTACTTTGCCAAATTTAATTAAACTTTGTCACAATCATTATAAGGGTATCTAGTTTAGAAATTGTGTCCTATGACCCAGCCTGCAAACCAACATGGCCTAAAATAGAACATAGGGGTAAAATGCAAGTTTTGCTTATTATCTAGAAAGCTGCTATGAATAGAGAACTTCTGACAGGGGGACAGAAATATTTTTGCCTATTATTTTGAAAACTATAATAGATAGAGAAACTTTAATCCGTAAAAAAATATCATGGGAACAAGATCTACAAAGTAGTCAAAAGGCTATATTCATCAGAGGACTTGTTATTGTAGTTATTGCTCTTTAATGATGATTTTTACCATTTTTTTTACATTTTTGCCTATTATCTTGAAAATTATAATAGATATACAGAAACTTTAAACAGCAAAAATGATCAGCAAGACAAGATCTACAAATAAGCCTTTATGGCTTAAATCTTGAGTCGCAACATTAATGGAGTTATTGCCATTTAAAGATGATTTTTTACCATTTTTTTTGTTTTTGCCTATTAACTTGAAATGTATAATAAACACAAATGTAGATAGAAACTTTCAAAAGCATAAATGATCAGCAGGACAAGATCTACAAATAGGTCAACATGACTGAAAAGTCACTTAACTCTTTAAAGAGTTATTGCCCTTTCACAAGAATTTTTACCAAAAAGTGGCCATTGTTGAAGCTGCAGGTGAGCAACACAGGCTGTTTAGAGCCTCTAGTTATGAAGTTCTTTTTGGAATTAGGGAGATAATTGTCACCTTCAGTTGTACACAAGTCCACTTCCAGTGTCATATTATAGCTTACATTACACTTATTAAAACAACTAGAAGTTTCTAAATACATTTGCATTTGCATGAATTAAGGGAGATAACTTGCTACCTCTGATATAAGAAATTGCATTTGCGGTTTCATACAAATGGTTGTTTCAAACTATTTCTAAAAATATTGTTTCTAGATACTTTTACACGAAATTAGTGCAAAAATATCTACTTCTGGTTTACACAAGGTCACTTCCAGCTGACCTTTTTTCAAGTCATATGTTTTGCAACCTATTTTAAAAGACCTTATGACTTGATTGTATACCAGTATAAATTTATAGCAGAAATCAATATCAGGAATGACAAATCAACCTTTGCCTCTAAGCTCAATTTGGTCAAAGGTCATTGATCTCAAATCAAAAGACCCAATGTCTAAAAAATCGTATGGTTAAAAAGTTACATGTATACTTCTATAATTTAATTTGGATGTAATGCCTCTTCTGATTGGCTGAAGTTGTTTTGTTTATCAGCTCATAGACATAATTTTGTCATGTGACCGTGACGTCATCAACGTTTTTTCATGGTTTACTCAGGTTTAAAATGGAATTTAGAATTAAATTATAAGAAATGACTAATATTTTTTCTGTCTATTCGAAATAACATAAAAAATGTGGTGCACACTTTAAAATAACCCGCTACGCGGGTTATTCAGAGTGCACCACATTTTTGATGTCATTTCTTCATAGACAAAAAAAATATTACAGTCATTCCTTAAATCTAAACAGCTTACTGTAAAAATCGTTTTAGATATTCAATGTTAAATGTCACCAGAGTGCTTCGCTCTAATTGTATTGGTGTTGTGTTAACTCATACAAAAACTTTTTGTCGATAACTTTTGCAGTTTCTGAGGAGTTGTGATAAATAGGCAAAGATAAAGATTTTAAACATGACCTTGACCTTTGACCATGACCCCAATTTCCAGCCTATAAACTAAGGACCTCTTATCAAAAGGTCTCTGGCATAGGATTTATGAGTTACATCAACATACCACTTGTGTCAAACACAAAAAGGGAAAAAACTCTTATTTCATGTAACCAGACCGCTTTAGGTCCATATTGAACAGATCATTCTGAGGAGATTACAAACATTTTGGAGAACAAATTTAAGCATATCTTATACAGTTTCTCAGAAGCCACAAACAACAAAAACAGTATTTTGAGAGATAACTCCCATATGGTAAAGTGTTAGGTTGATATGGGTGAGTTTCAAAAGCGCAAAAACCCTTTGATATCATATATCAAAAATCCAGTCGACTATTTTTGAAACGAAAGTGGTGGAAGAAGAAATATATAATTGAACAAAATCAATAGGTCTTTCATGGAAAGGTGGAAAGACCTAATTATTGTCATTTTTTGTTTAGGAAAGCATCTCATAGTGCAAATGACCATATCAAGCCACTTTTTAATTTTATATGAATTGTACAGTAGTAACTTGCTGGTTACATAGATTATTTTATGTTCCCCTGAAAAATTTGGGAGCATATACTAATTGGTTTGTCCGTCTGTCTTTGTCTGAAACAAATGGTTTGCAGATGTTATCTTGGTTATCCCCTGCTTGATTTGAATGAAACTTCTACAGATGGAAGATAAATTTGGAATAGAAAGAGCCTTATGGATTTTGGGGTCAAAGGTCAAGGTCACTGTTAAAACTTTTTATAGAAAAAAATGGTTTGTGTATGGTAACTTGAGTTTCCCTAGATTAATTAGAATGATACTTAAACAGATAGAAGAAGCCATTTTACACTTTATCATGTAAAAAAAAATAATCCCTTACTGTCTGCTTATGTTCATTGCAAAAAACTAAGTTCATCTATCAGTATAATACCCAAAAATGACAAAAAAATGTATTTTAAAAATTTTGCTTCTGACACTATCTCTTAGGGAGCAACCATTTCACTACAAGGGGGGGGGGGGGGGTGGGGATTTGGTTAATTGTCTGAGTCAGAATTTTTTTTTCTTCAGTTTTTCAATGATATCAATCAAATTATTTTTTTCAAAATTTAAAGGGGCACTAGTTATAAAAAATCTAAAGTATGATTTTTTTGGTTCAATCATTAATAAAAGTGAAATAATGAAATAATAATTCGCTTTTAGCAAGGTTCAATTTTGTCAAATTAAGCTAAGAAAAATTGATGATGAATTATTCACTTGCAAGTGAATAATTCGACCTCATTGAATCCGTATTAAAGTGAACTTCAATTTAACCCCTTAGCTAGAGTTGGATAACGCATGCATTGTACGTGTTTGGTTATTTAAAGGAAAAGAATGTCAACATTGAAAGTGAAACAAAGGTAAATCATTTGATTGACTGATTCGATCCACAAAAATCATTCTTATACAGGTAAAAACGATGATTAACATATATTTTTAATCTTTAATATGAAATTAAACAGACATAGAAAAATCCAATTGCACGAGTTTCGCTTTCTATTTATATCTATATTTATGTTTATACCGCTTATATGACCATCGGAGGTTTCCGGAGGTCAACTCGATAGTTAATTAGATGACGTCAAGACTACAAAACACACACGAAACGAAGTGACTAACAGCAAAATTAGGCGAGACACTGGGTTCCGTGGAACCCTTACGAATTTTTTAGTTAAAAAATATATTACCAAGTTTCATGCAATATACAACAGAAACATATAAAACTTTACATTCAAAGATTAAACTATCAAAATAGTAAGTGCCGTTAAGTAAGTGTATTTAAAATTTTCAGAAAAAATCATTTTAAAATCCAGGGCAGATAATTATAATGAATTTGATAGTACAATTTGTGTTTTTTTGGGGGGGAGGGGGGGGGGGTATTTTCAAGAAAATGGGCTCTTGAGTCGTGACACCCTATTTTTATTTGTTATTTCGGAAAGTATTTATGAAAAGCACTTCTCTCATTTAGTTTTGACCAATTCTATCGTTTAATTTGTCCGAGGCAAGGATTTGTATCTAATAAGGAAAAATTGAGTTTCCCTTATATAACCTATATAAAATAACTATGCTTTCTTTGATTTCAATGTATTTTAACAGAAAAAAGTAAGGTCCGTGACCGCCAGTTCTTATATTGAAATTTGAAAGTATATTTACCCATGCAGAAGTTTAAGAAAAATCTATCGTCGAACATTTAGACACACTAAACAAACTAAGTCTGTTTATCAAAAAAATGAAAAAAAATATTTTCGTCATCATGCTCCGAATATTGTCTTTTGCTCATACAAAAGCTTCTGTCCAATTTTTTTTACAATTCCATTGATTTGACCAAGTTATTGATGTCTAAAAAAAACTGCTACAACTGCCTATCCACAATGTAAAAGGTTTTAAACGTTTGTCCCTCCTTACTTTATTATTGTAACAAAACAATTTTTTTTATATTGAATGAAATTCTATTGTAAAGGATCTGTCGTTTGCATAGTTGGAAATAATGCCAGGTAAAGCTTTGCTGGAACATACATGTTAATAATAACCAGACCAGTATGCTTTAGTGAAAGACTCTTTGCTATTTCGTTTGTAAGGCAATATTTCATGCAAGCAAGGTAAACAAAAATGTTAGTGAGCTACGCATGACCTCTAGCTTTAGGATATCCTTAGTCAAAAATTATTGCTGGACTTCCACAATTCGAATTCAAGTATCAATAAATCATCGAGGACCTCCTGAAATATTTCTGGACCTCCATACATCTCCAGGATATTTCCGGACCTCCACAATTCAATTTTATGATATCCTTAAATATTTATGGAGATCCACAATTATACTTGAGGACCTCTATAATTCGATTAAAGGATATCCTGAAATCGAATTGTAGAGTCCTGAAATAATTGAGAATCTCCATAGATATTTAAGGATATCATATAAATGAATTGTGGAGGTCTTGTGTAGGTAAAACCTATTTTTTGTCTTTCATTGGCGGAGTCAAAAAGTCAAAAGTATGCTGTTTCCGACTTCAGCGGCGGCGGCAACAACAGCAATGTATTAGTTGGTGATTAGGTCAGTTTATGGGGAACCACTTGAGGTAGGTCAATGATAGTTGGTATGCAGTTGTATTAGCATTGGCACATCTCATTTCCATGGAGATAATTTAGCCCTGCCCCCTCATATGTTTGCTTAGTTTGTGATTATGTCAGTTTATGGAGAACTGCTAGTGGTAGGTCAATGATATTTGATATGCAGTTGTGATTAGCCTGACATTGGCACATCTCATTTCCATAGATTGTTTGGCCCTGTACCTTCTGTCATGGTTCATTGACTTTGAATATTTTGCATAACTTACATGTTAAAGTATTGCTATTTTAATTTCAACATTTGAATTTTACTTTCAAAATAACAAAAAGGCGAGACATATCTCTGTGTTAACAGTTCATTATATATTTCAGTTGCTCCTTCAAAATATTAATTTTGACTAAATCTGCGCCTCGTATGATCGAAAGAAGAAAAGCATAGCAGGTGCTCATGTGATCGCAATTATCAGGTGTTATTGTGTTGCGGAGTTGCTGCCTGTTGACGTAAACCAAACATTTTCTATTTAATTAGTTTCGAATCTTCTTGTAATTATTATTGCTCCAAGCCTAGTTTGAAATAGATATCCTGTTTCAATGATACACATCGAATTCTTTTGAATATATAAAATTGAGAATGGAAATGGGGAATGTGTCAAAGAGACAACAACCCGACCATAGTAAACTACATGTACTTTATAAAATACTAGGGATATACTATACTGAGTTCGTTGTGAAAATGCTGAACAATTACGCCATGCATTTAATTGCATCTTAATAGTCAGTTCAACATACAGCTTGTTGTGATACATTTTGATAGTTTTTACCTAGAAGGCCAATCTTACGATTTAAGGGACAAAAATTAACCTTCAATTGTCAAAAAATTTAAACAGACAACATTATGTCAGTTTAAAAAGAAAATGGATTGGTTATAGAGATAAATTGATGTTTGTTTTTTCGACCGATTTGTCAATGTCAACGCAGTCTGTACGAATGCACATCTATTCTAAGAGTCTAATAAATTACATCATAATAATGCATCACCTTTAGAATTTCAATTTATTCAAAGTTAACAAAGTGCCAAAATTGTATGGAAAATCTAATAAAATCTGCTTTGCAACTGTTTCTTGACCTCAATGTGAAAACTACGGTGTTCCTTTTCCACAAGTTTATTTTTTGTTTTGCATGCTCTCTGAGACAGCTGTTTTACACAGATGTAATCTTTGATGCGTTCAACTGGATTTTAAATTGTTCAATATTCCCACTGACTTTAAACCAAGATTACCTATGTGCATATATTTTAAGACCAAAATATTTTTATGTACAAAATGTAAATGCGTATATTAATTTGCATCCATAGCATGATGTACATCAATTAAATAACATCCTTACTGTTAAATTTTTCGTATAGTGTGTAGTAAACTTGGTGTTATTACTTTAAAGTTGACGTTTAAATTGAATATTTGCCAACTGATATGAAGATTTATGGGTTTACGTAAATAGGCATCCTTTATGTTACAGTGGAATTTATCCGTTATTTCACTTCGTCTTAACACCAAAATGGACACGAATTTAAGGTTGTAATTTTGAGGTGGACCAGAGAGTCATGCCATGGCGTGTACTTGTCTCGGTATGTATAGATGTTTGTGCAATATAGAAATTGAAATTGACAAAAGAAAAGGGTGAGGATTTTATATATCAATTTATAATATGTCAGATATATCTATTTAATTTGACTAGGTTATTTTATTGCTTGTCTGATGTTTGAACCTTGAAATTGCAGAAATCCATTTCATTTCTAAATATAATTATGATAATCATATATTTCTCCTTTAGCTAAACAATCATCGTTAAAAAGTTACATAGTCGCAGGAGGATGAGTCTGTTACTCGTGCACAGTTTGTCTCCAATGAACTGTTTGTCAACGTTAAATCGAACTATTTTCACTCTAACTATGTGGAAGCGACCAAACGCGGATCCGGGATTTTGAAAAGGGGGACCTATGGCAAGCCGTTTTACTATTTATTCTAACTTCAAGTTATCTAATAAACTGTATAAGATATCTCATATAGTTTAAGGTGGAATAATATAAGATATCTTGTATATTAGGCCAGTGTTTGGAGTGATACTTATAAAAAGTCTATGCATTTAGTATATATGAAGCTCCATAAGGGGGACCCGGGCCCCATGGCCCCCATAAATCCGCCTCTGAGCGTGACGTTTTTCAGTCTCCCTTTGGAAAAGTCGCATCATCTTCAGACACTGTAAATTTCGTAACAGTTATTTCCTGCAATTTCTATGAAATTGACATGTTATTTCATGTTCCACCATATAGTGATGAACTTTCAGCAAATAATTTATAATTTTGGGACTTTTTTTTGTCGAATCTATCACATTAAACTTTAAATATAGAAAATCAAGGATACTCCAATATAAACTTCGTGACTTGAAATACATATGGATGTTGAAAAAAGAAAATGTATGCCGTTTTGAACATGATTAATTTTCTGTGCAGTGTTCTGTAAACTACAGTGCGTACTTTTCGTCTTTGTCTTTTTTTTCGTTTAATGCAATCGGTGATGGTGACTGTCAAGTGGCGTATCTTGACCCTTATTTCAAGATAGGCAAACAGTTTGAAGCTTCGGAGTCAACGCCTCAGTGCGAAATAAAAGACCGCGATGCTTTTTGGGAATTGGTGGTTTAAGGGAAACTTGCGTCGCAAAATAGTTTTCAGCATTTACATATGCTTACAGTCGATTTTAATACAAGTTTGATCGATTGATTGATTGTTGTAGGATAAACTTTCCATTCACTTTCACTGGACGAGAACAAATTACCACAATGGGTTAACTAGGATAAAGGGCAAGAATTAAAACCTTGCAATTGGTCACCTGCGACCTCTGAAAGGCAAATTTCATTTTCCCTTTATCTCCTTTGATTCATATGAAACAAACTTCATATTTCTTTCGATGATAATACATCCGGGGACTCCTTATTATTAATATTGAATATAAAGGGTAGAAAAGTCAAATGTTTGGATCCATCTTCACTCTTTTTTTGTATAAACGTATCTCTCTTGACCCTTCTTATTTTTTCCATTTATTTTTTTCTATGTAAAAAGTTTGGAGGGGCCTCACTGCCTTAATGGAAGCTACGCCACTGCCTGTATTTCGATTTTTGGTTAATGGTTGCCCACTCCTTTATGATAACTTCAGACTTTCATTTCAAAGAAAATTTTAAAATGTTTATTCATCATTGAGATATAAAAAAAAATAGTTTAACCCCGCCAGATGTCAAAGTGCCTGTCCCAAGACAGGACCATCATCAGTGAATGTCTTTGAGTTTTATACCCCATCGTTTTTGTCATTAAGAGAATTGGTTTTGAAGGCAGACTTTTTTGAAAGACTGAGTATTCACAATTTTTCTAGACCCTGGAGACTTAGAGCTTGACAAATTGTATATATCATATTGTTGACGACCGTATGTTAACCTCTAGTAAGATCCTTATATTAGGCGATAACAGACCAAAGAAAGAGAATTGGAAGTTCGATAAAAGGTAATAAAATAACAAAGGAATTACAAATAGAGAAAAAGCTGAGTGTTTAAACGACTGTTGCATGGTGAAGTATGTGATTTTCAAATGTATCCAGTATAACCTGACATGAATATGGTGTAAGCAGTGCAACTTCATACTTTATCAATCGGCCAATATTATCTCTCCCCTGTTCCTTTCCATCAACTGCATAATTAACTGAGATTCACGATCTTTTGGATGTCTCTACTGAACATCCATTTTTTCCATCTTCAATTGAGACCAAACAAAAGAGAATTAGATATTATCGACAATGTATAGTGGTTTATGTACCTAGGTAAAACATAGCATACAGTTATACAAAATCAAAGTAGATTTCTTAAAAGGAATGCATGATTTGTGTGCTGAAGTAAACCAAATCAATGTTATTGTGTAGTAATATATTTTAATATTGTTTTTATCGGTACTAACATTGAATTTGTTTTTAATCATTCAAAACGTAACCAAGTATTTATTGCTTTACAGTATGTTCTACAATCTGTCGATACTTATATTTTGCATTACACAAAGCCATGCTTTTTTCAGACTGTTCAACATCTTTACACTAAATTCTTTGGATGTGTACTGATTGAATTTTTTTCTTGAAAAACATGGTTTATTTATAAGTTGGAATTGTTTACTTAATGTTGTGTAAAAAGCTCGTATATGTAAGTATAATTCATTGAAACTTATCAGTGAGACCGTCAAATTTTGGGCTGCCATTTTTGTCTTTTAACTTTTGATGTTTTACGCTTATTTTTAGTATTCTGTCTAGTTGGTCTGTCTCTTTTTTATGTATGGGTCCCATATGACATTTTTAAGGTGGTCTAATGATTATCGATGTCAACTTTTTGATTGCAGTACTCTTTGATTGTTGTGCCAAGTTCGTGAGGTCTTCTTTGATTTTTAGTTCATTTGCTTTTGAATAGGTCAGAGACATATATATTCATTTAGTATATATGTCTCTGAATAGGTGTATCTTTTCATCGAGTTAGTCTTTTTGTAAAAAGCTTTTATATCTATATCTATGTTATTTTGCTGCATGGTTTGATATTCCTATCATGTTGATGGAAGACTTTACCGGTGAATGATTTGTTGTAAAAAAAATCACGGGTCCAATATGTTTATCTGTCCTGTAGGTTTTGTGTAATGCCCAAGCAAATCTAGATTTGTTTAGTGTTAGTGTTTACCCAATATGTTTGTGTTATGCCCAAATAAATCTATATTTGTTTAGTGTTAGTGTTTACCCAATCTGTTTGTGTTATGCCCAAATAAATCTATATTTGTTTAGTGTTAGTGTTTACCCGATCTATTTCACAGTTGTTTATTATATATCTAGCTGGTCTATTTGAAGCAATATTATAGTTCTTTATTGTATATGATAAAAGTGCCTCGCTCCTATTGTTCCTTTGCCATTTCTGTATGTTTCGTAGTTGCCTGGGAATATCTCGCTTGATTTAATTGCGTCCTTTGTTGTTTTATTTTCCTGGTTTTATCCCTTTAAGCCATGACTCTGTGGCAAGTACTATGTTTGGTTTTGTGTATTTCAATAGAAATTCAGATTTTTGTTTGTTATCTCTGATACTACTGCATGTGATGGTCATAAGTCTTAGGTTTCGTTTGTTCTCTGTATGGTAAATTAATGTATGCTAGAGTTTCAAGTCTCGTTGTTAGATCTTCTCCGTATTAGTTGTTCTGGTTTGTGTAACCATATGAATACGGTTAATATAAAGCATAAATTCATGTCACATGATGTGTAAATATCAGACGCTGTCCTCTATGCTTGCATGAATGTGCAGTCAAGAGTATCATTTTTGCCTGAAACAATTAAACTCACAAGAGAGCGTAACAATATCTAAGAACTAACGGTATCGCGTTTCAGTCTAATCGTAACTAATACTTGTGGCCTCGGTGGTCGAGTGGTTTAAGTAGTTCTACTACTGTATCACTAGCCTGTCAACTTTGAGGTTGTGTGCTCGACTCCAATCTTAATTGCCAAGGATTGTCAGTTTTCCTGTCGAAGGTTGGTGGTTTTCTCCTGGCATTTCGGCTTTCCTCCCCAATAAAAAAAAGCCACGGAATATAGCCAATAGACGGCAGTGCTGAAAGTGGCGTTGAACACCTGAACCAATCAATCAACCAGTCTGATTTTAACCTCCTATGTCTGGTGATGATCAGATTGTTTTTTTTTTATTCTACTATTGTGTGTTTTATTTTCCCGAGTTTTCAGTACAGTCTAGCATCATGAATTTGTGACTATCAGACGGATTGGCGCTTCTTTGCTTAACTTGATGTCTCACTTTGTGTCATATGAATAAAAATAATGTTACTGAAACCCAAATAATACGGTTCCGAAATCTGCGTTAGTGTAATCTGAGACTGCTAATACACATAGTCTCGGGTGTAATAGTCTCAGCCGAAACCGAAAAAAACTTTGAAAGCACAAACCAGAGACATATAATATATGCATTAAAACTATTAAATATACTGAAGAAATAAAAATAGAAACTCCCTCTCTTTCCCCACAAACAGCACAAACAAAAACACAAAAGTTGACGTATTTTATGATACTGCGAAGCACTCCGTACCTTTTTACAAAGGTTAAAATTGTTTATTCCTGTAACTACCTCGAAATTCTCACCGACAAAACAGAAAACCGTAAAATGACACATATCTTTCTCCCATATCCGATTTAATATTACTCTCGCATAATAGAAAATGGCGTCGTTGGATTCAACTCAAAAATTTGAAAAATAATTGCAATTTAGTATTTTGAAGGATTTAAACAGATAAAACAAGGTGAAACGACAGCCCACATTACACTTAAATATAACCTTAATGGATTGTCAAGTCAAATACAGACAAACAAATTGTCTATCTTTAAAACAAACGAAAACAAAAAAATGAGTCACCATATTTCATTTATTTATTTTAGTAATACTCTGGTTTCATAGTAGTACTGTACGAATCCTTGATTTCATGAAGGGAAATTTTTTTTATTCATAGTTTACTTGAAAGCATACATTAATAAGTGTTATGTGCAGTTTTGTTATGTTGTC